AAGACCTTCCGTCCCAACATCTGATATCATCAGTTTGACGCCAAGGAAAAGGAAACTCACGAGGTGGCGGGACGAAGAGTAGAGGGATCCATGATGTACTCCTCCTTCTCGGAGTTACGGCGAGAGCCAGGAAGAGAGTGACCAGCAAACCGATCAACAGATCCGTGAGCTGCATGCGAAGGAGCTTGCGGCGAAGTAATCTGGGAGCCGGCAAACGCATTGAAGAATCCAGGAGACGATGTCACACTAGAGGTAGAAAAGCGACCAGGACGAGAGATTGCAGTAGATACCGGGGCATCACGATACTCAGGCGGAGTCGTAGGCTCGCTGACAGGATTGGACAAGCCAGCCTTCGCGAGGTCACGAGCCAGTTGGTCCATTTCGTTTTTTTCCTTTTCGTGCTGCATGTCGAGCAATTTCATGTCCTCTTCAAAGCGACGTTTCTGCTCACGCATGTACTCAATGTGTTGTCGCTTTCTTTCGAACTGGGTACAGTCAGACTGATATTTCGAAGAACAAATAGAGTAGCAATGTCACACAAATGTATGGCTTCTGCAGGGCAAGGGGAATTGGGTCAAAGGGGTAGGGATTGAGGGAATGTCGCGGTGGTGTCACAAGGACATCGAGAGAACAGGGAAATCGAAGGGTAAAAAAGGCAGAAAGAAAAGACGAAAGGAGGTCGAGGGAGGTGAATTTTAAAGAAAGGGGAATCAGGCAGCAGAGAGGTTCCCGTAGATACAGAGATACCTCAATGGTATACCTCAAGAGGCAGCCATCCAGGCACATAGGTGGAAGCACATGCAGAGTAAAAGTGAATGAGAATTCGGGGTTGCTCGAACACGAAGTGAAAGTGATAAAGTTAAGATGAGATGGCAGCCTTGAGAGATTGGAACAATCGGTGCTATTCAGAAGTCCAAATAGGCAACGCGACTGAGCGTGATCGTATATCAGGCAGAAGATGCACGCCGCTGTGTCCCAACGCTCTCAAGACTGGCAGATTCATCTTCACCGCCACATTTGCACAGCACGTTCATTGATTCTCCCACCAAAGATAGGTGCAAATCAGACTATAAGGAAACACTATGCTTACCGAGGATAGTAGATCCAGAGGATCCGGACTTTGGGCAGGTCCCTGGCTCAGATAATTCCATGATGATACCTTGCTCGAGTCCGTTGTGAAGCGACGTTGCAGGTTGGCGCGGACATCCCCCGTGGGACGCGAGAATCCCGGAACATAGTTCGAATGGCCTGGCGAGAGCGCACTATAGCCTGGAAAAGCAGACTCTGACGGAGGGGATCGAGGAGACGGAAATCGAAGCTCGTCGAGGCGTTCGCTGAGCCCATTTTTAAAAGCCATGGTGGGCACAAGCAGCCGAGAGTCCAACTACAGTCCAACGGAGCTTGGTCAGCATGAATGTTTCCAACCACAAAAAGCTAGCAACGAGCTTTAAGACTCCGCTCACAACGCCCCAAGTATACGGCAGCCAAGCCGCGGTGGCAGGGACAGGGTGAGGGGTATTTGTGGTGGGCTGGCGGTGTGGGCGTTCGGAGGGTCGTCTCAAGTAAGGGGAAGGGGGTCGGAGAGGGGCTGAGGGGTGCGGCGGACCCGATCTTCGCAAAAAAGGACCACACTCACACAAATGAACGCCTCGAGAGGATATGAAAGAGCTAGTTCAAAGGTCGATATCCAAGGACCGAGTCGAAGTCATCTAAGGATGTTTGGTGGGAGAAAAAAAATCCAAGGTCGGTGTGTACCTGAAAAGTGCGGAGATCAGCCGCAGGGAGTTGCAGAGTGGGATGGAGCAACTTACCGCTAACCCTCCACTTAGCGAAACACGGCGAATACAACAAACGAATGTGTCAACGCGAACAGAGAGCTAACAGTGTCAAGGAAAGGGGAAAGGGGGAGGAGGATGTTGTACACGGTGAGAAGGAGAGGGGCGAAAGTTGAAGAGGCTGGGAAGAAGAAGAGTCCAGAGCGGGGAGACTTTAAACCCTAATCGGGTTTGGCCGTACGAACAACTATTTTCGACCCCGATTTCTTCGCCAATTGCATCGATTAAAGTAGATGATTCGGTTCTTGCCATTCTCGATCTTTTTACATTTGATGAATTACTGCATCCTGGAACCCCAGCGGGGTTTCTTTCGCGAAGGTCAAACTACGCCAGTGGGAAGTTGACGGCCACAGCAGATGATGCCAGAGTTACTCGGAAATCATTTGGGGGCCGAACGTGATTGGAGAGGCTCTGGGTTCTGCACTACCTGAGTGCAGCTCTCGACGGAGCCTGGGGTAGACCCTCGTCGCTAGGGCTCGAGATCCGATGGTCAATTCCAAGTCGGACTGATACCAGTCCCGTCACCGTCGCTGTCCCAGGGAACAGGCGCAAGGGGGCCGAGGCGGAGAGCGAAGAATGCGCTGTTCGCGAGAGCGTGGCAGATGCAGGTGCATCCTCCACGCCACTGTATCATTTCAGTCGAGTGGAGACGCGCCGAGTGGTGCAGCGCCCGAAGTTGTGACAGCGGATCGCCCTCTAAAGCCACCGCACGGGGCATGTCAGATGTACCTGATCGGGTTTCAGTGTCGGTCCCGGGTATTTGTACCGAATGGTACTTGGTAGATAGATTCTGAAGTGCTAGTCTCAGGTGCTAGTCCCAAGTGCTGGAATCACCGAGTCAAAGAGGTAGTCATATCTAGGATCAAAAGGGGCGATGGTTCGTGGTTCGCGCCCCGTCGTACCCAAGGTTCGCTGTGTTTCTTGTGGACACGCGCCAGGAATCACCCCATGGACTAGCCAAAAGAGATGATAAGGACTCGGGCCTCAAGAGAAGCGGTGAACGTGATACAAGCCATCCGTGCTGATCGTGTCGGCTGAAGCCCCTGATCCACCGAATGACGAGCATACCAGCGCTGGTGTGGAGATCCTGCTCGAACCCCAGTCGTCCCCTCTGAGGGCTCTGACTTCCTCTACTGTAATCGGACTTGCGATCGCCAATCATTGCCGAACACCTTTTCCCCTCTCTGGAACCCGATTCCTACTGTACGATCGCAGGGATCTCTCACTTGGCTGTGACGTGATGATCTACCCGTTCTCCAATCTCCAATCGGGGTAAAATGATACATCCAATCCCTCTCCGCGGAACTACTGCCTGCTATTATGGTTTCTTCTGAGAGCCGAGCCTGGCGCCCTTTGCTTTTGAGAGCCCAAATGAACCACGGAATTGGGGGGCGCTTCCATGCCCAACGCCAAAAATTGCGCCTCGACCGATTCGCAATAGCTTCGTGCGCCAGCACCAATTTTCTAACCGAGAATCCATGTTTCGGCCTTTGACAATTAGAGTAATCCACTTGCTCCCCAAGTCTTGACAAGTACATTGAACAGTGCATGGCCATCTGGCCTAGGATCTGGGCAAATCAACCCTAAAGCTCCGCTCCACTCCCCTGCACCAACTGCTTCTAGACCAATAATCGCGATTCGGGTCTAGCCCTATAACTAGTAAGAATAGTCCCGGATATTAATACGTCTTTTTGTCTTACGGTATATTATGATACATTTGAACGGCATTGGTTTATCCGAGGTGATGAAGCTTACAGAGGACCCGCTACACAGGCTGTGCCATGCACTGAGGTCAAAAGGCCGGTATAGATCGGTCGGTAGCGTAGGGGCACCAGCCGTGTCATTGCGACAAAGGAGCCCAAAGATATACCCGCTGCTCCTAAGCCAGCGATACTTCGTCTGACGATAAGTCCCACTGAGCTCGGCGCCATTGCGCAAAGGAGAGACCCAACCTCAAAAACAGAAAGTGACTAAAGAAATACCCATTTCGTGGCAAATAGAGAGTAGATCTTCCCGAATTCTAACTGCACAGCATGTGTGGCAAAGAGATAAGAGCTTCCGTACCAGCCCACGTCATCTAGAGAATGGAATTTAGTTGTACCAAGGACGGGAGTATCATGTAGCACAATAGTTTTAGTTATCGGTGAGACATGGAAATCACTTGCACTTACCAACAAGACGCAGAAAAGAGATAGCCTAAGTGGAATTGTCAAGAACATAGAACATTGACTGCCAGCGGGCTATTTCTAGCGCCTCCACCGATTCATCTTAGGTAGTACATTTGTACAGTGTCCTCTGCGCAGTCATTTTCCTTCGAGTCTCCATGAGTTCATGACCTAAATAATTCATGCATGACGTGCCAACTACTGGAACTGTCACAGACATCGAAATATATCTGGTGCTGGCCACGTTGTGTGAAGAATCGAGGCTGGGACCCACTGGAAGATCCAATCGGGGTTGCACTGGACACAATCCTGACTCTTTGAGACATGGACATATATATTTTAATATGATAGTCTTCAGCTTTTATGAAAAGGCACCTGAGCAATACCTACTGTAGGTTTCCAGCTGGTTGAACCAGTAGAGTCGCTGGTGGGTTCCCGCTTTGGTTCTTGCCTGCACGTATGCAACTTTAGATAACCCTGTCACATGGAACAGTGCGCCAAACATTATTGTCAACCGGTCTACACTATTTGTATGTCTTCCGATGTTCTCCCTTTGCCTGGGCATGAATTGTGGGTGCTTTTTGTGCCAAGACCGTGCTTGCTGTTGGACAACATCTGGAAGAAAGCCCCGCAGATATATACTAGCCTCGGTATGGGGAGAGTAAATCCCAACCGTAACCGCAACCCTTCGATGTACAATATTTTTGTATATCATGACTTCAATGAACAACATTCGCCACCAATAGACATCATACTGCACAGCGAAAGTAGAGCAAGTCATTTCTGATTACTTGTAGATAAGACGCGATAACTGCCTCAGGTGTATATGCACTAACCGGATACGGATAGCTGACTGATTAGATAAGCGATCTCCAAATTTCTCGGCCTTTCCCCTCCAAGAGAAATACGACGACGCATACCAGATCAGCCTCTCTCTCACAGACATTTATGTGGCTTTGAATCGCGAGATCGCAGAAAAATTGCCATCTGCTCTCGAAATATGCCGCCCCGCAAGAGGTCGCAACCCTCTGCGGCCAGCCAGGCCCGGCGCCCGTCGGAGGTAACAAAACTTTTTTACCCGCGCATAAACTCGTTCCTGACGGTCATGCTAATTTTCAATGAAACAGGCTTCGAACCAGTCAGCCGCTGAAACCCCTAGGGGCAAGCGCCATTCTTTCGCTGCTACGGACTCGAACCTGCAGAACCAATCCAACGACGCCGCCAATGATCAGCGTCCCAAATACAAGCCCAAGGATCCCTTCGATGCACTTCTGGAGCCCTTCTACTACAACAAGTCCCTGACCGACCCGATCGACACTGCTAGAGATAAATGGAACCTGCTCCCTGCTTTCCTTAAAGTCAAGGGTCTGGTGAAGCAGCACATTGACTCATACAACTACTTTGTCGAAGTGCAACTGAAGAAGATCGTGGAGTCGAGCTCGACTATTCGCAGTGACGTGGACCACCAGTTCTATATTAAGTTCACCGACATCTACGTTGGCTCGCCACGACGCTCCGACGAGACGCAGGACTCTGGTATCGATTTCCAGTCCGATGTGACACCACAGGAGTGTCGTCTTCGTGATACGACTTATGCCGCGCCTATCCTTGTCGACTTTGAATATGTTCGTGGACGCCAAAGGGTCATTCGACGGGGTGTCGCTATTGGACGGATGCCGATTATGCTTCGCAGCTCCAAGTGTGTGCTGGCGAACAAGACGCCTGCGCAGATGACGGTTCTGAACGAGTGTCCGCTGGACCCGGGCGGTTATTTCGTTGTCAATGGTACAGAGAAGGTCATTCTTGTCCAGGAACAGCTGAGCAAGAATCGAATTATCGTCGAAACAGACCCGAAGAAGGAGATTGTTCAGGCCTCAGTGACTAGGTATATTGGCAAATCTCATTTGTTGATGTTGATTCATCCTTACTGACTCTCCTGATAGTTCTTCCAACGAGCGAAAGTCGAAGAGTTATATCGTCCTCAAGAAAGACAAGCTTCATGTGAAGCACAACGTGCTCAGTGAAGACATTCCGATCGTGGTGTTGTTGAAAGCCATGGGAATTCACACCGACAAGGAGATGTTGCAGCTCGTTGCCGGTTCCGACTCCCTGTACCAAGAAAACTTTGCGATCAACTTCGAGGAGGCGATCAACCTGGGGATTTTCACTCAACAGCAAGCCCTGGAGTGGATCGGCACTCGGATCAAGATCAACCGCAAGCAAGGCGCTTACCGCCGTACTCATGTTCAGGAGGCTGTTGAGGCAATTGCTACCGTTATCATTTCTCACATTGAGGTCAAGGACATGAACTTCCGACCAAAGGCTATCTACGTCGCCCACATGGCGCGTCGTGTGTTGATGGCTAAGAACGACGCGACGATGGTTGATGACCGCGATTATCTCGGAAACAAGCGTTTGGAACTGGCTGGTCAGATGCTGGCTTTACTCTTCGAAGATCTGTTCAAGAAGTTCTGCTTCGACATCAAGATGAACATTGACAAAGTCTTGAACAAGCGCAACCGAGCCGAACAGTTCGACGCATGGAGTGTCATGAGTATGCATGGAAATCACATCACCCAGGGAATGAACCGTGCTATCTCGACGGGTAACTGGAGCTTGAAGCGTTTCCGCATGGAGCGTGCTGGCGTGACCCACGTTCTCAGTCGTCTGAGTTACATTGCTGCCCTTGGTATGATGACTCGTATTAGCAGTCAGTTCGAGAAGACCAGAAAGGTCTCTGGTCCTCGTGCTTTGCAGCCTTCCCAGTTCGGTATGCTGTGTCCTGCAGATACCCCCGAAGGAGAGGCTTGCGGTCTGGTCAAGAACTTGGCTCTCATGACACATATTACCACCAACGACGAGGAGGGTCCTGTGCGAAACTTAATCTTCATGCTGGGTGCCGAAGACATCTCAACGGTTGGTGGAATGCAACTTTATGCCCCTGGGTCCTACACTATTTCTATCAACGGAACACCGACAGCTTTGACACGACGACCCAAGTACTTCCTGAATTCCTTCCGCAGGCTTCGCCGCATGGGAAGAATCTCAGAGTTTGTTAGCATTTACATCAATCATCACCAGCGCGCTGTTCACATCGCAACTGATGATGGTCGAATCTGTCGGCCTCTCATTGTCGTTGAGAATGGCAAGTCGCGGGTTCGTCGTCACCATCTTGAGAAGTTGCGTGCTGGTACCATGGAATTCGATGATTTCCTTGCTCAGGGTCTAGTCGAATATGTCGATGTGAACGAGGAGAACGATTCTTACATCTCCATTTACGAGAAGGACATCAACGAGGCCCACAGTCATCTTGAGATCGAGCCCTTTACCGTCCTCGGTGCCGTTGCTGGTCTTATTCCCTACCCTCACCACAACCAATCTCCTCGAAACACATACCAGTGTGCCATGGGTAAACAAGCTATTGGCGCGATTGCTTCGAATCAGTTCCAGCGTATTGATTCTATTCTCTATCTCATGGTGTACCCCCAGAAGCCCATGGTCAAGTCACGAACCATCGAGTTAACCAAGTACGACCAACTGCCTGCTGGTCAGAATGCCACTGTGGCTGTGATGAGTTACTCTGGTTACGATATTGAGGATGCCCTGGTTCTGAACAAGGGCTCGGTGGACCGTGGATTCGGACGTTGCCAGGTCTTCCGCAAGTACGTCACCAATCTCAAGAGTTACCCCAACGGCTTGAGAGATCGTCTCCACGGACCGGAATATGAGAATGATGCTCCCATCCGCAAGCATGCTCTCCTCGAGAGTGATGGTTTGGCCGCAGTAGGTGAAGAGGTCAAGGCCGGCGAAGTTTACATCAACAAGGTTACTCCCGACGCCGCGCAAGCCATGGGCATTCCGGGCTCTGACTCCGGCAAGCCAACTGACTGGAAGCCAATGCCCATGACCTACAAGCTTCCCGATCCTGCTTACATCGACAAGGTCATGGTCTCAGCTACCGAGGGTGAGACTCAGCTCCTCAAGGTGCTGACCCGCCAGACCCGTCGCCCAGAGGTTGGTGATAAGTTCTCCTCTCGTCACGGACAGAAGGGTGTCGTAGGCATTATCGTTGATCAGGCCGACATGCCCTTCACCGACCAGGGTATCAACCCAGACATCATCATGAACCCCCACGGTTTCCCCTCGCGAATGACCGTCGGGAAGATGCTGGAACTTGTTTCGGGCAAAGCAGGTGTCCTTTCTGGTCAACATGGCTACGGTACCTGCTTCGGCGGTAGCCCTGTTCAGGAAATGTCCCAGATTCTGATCGATCACGGCTTCAGCTATGGTGGAAAGGATATGCTCACCTCCGGCATCACGGGTGAACCGCTTCCGTTCTACGTCTTCACCGGCCCAATCTATTACCAGAAGCTTAAGCATATGGTTCAAGATAAGATGCACTCACGTGCTCGTGGTCCGACTGCTACTTTGACTCGCCAGCCTACTGAGGGTCGTTCGCGCGATGGTGGTCTTCGTCTCGGTGAGATGGAGCGTGATTGTCTGATCGCCTACGGTACCAGTCAGCTTCTGCTCGAGCGTCTCATGATCTCCTCTGATCGGCACGAGGTCGACGTCTGTGAGAAGTGCGGTTTCATGGGTTACCTTAACTGGTGCTCTCGATGCAAGTCGTCTCGCTCGGTTGTGAAGATGGTTCTTCCTTACGCCGCGAAGCTCCTCATCCAGGAACTCATGAGTATGAATGTTTCCGCTCGTCTAAAGCTTGAAGACGAGTTCCCGGAGATGAAGGGTCGTTAGAGAAGGCCGGGACTGGAGTTACCGCCACGGTGTTATGGAAAAAAAAAGCAGCACAACAGTGCATCTGGTTACGCTTAGTTTATGTATATGGTCTTGTATGAATGGCATAGCGCGGCGATTTGAATGTTATATGGCCCGATCTCTCGTAGATGTAGATTATTGAAGACGTAAACATTTGATTAATTTGGATAAAAGTACTCAAAACCTAGAGACTAGCAAAATTTCCACGCCGCATAATGAAGGCCCCCGCCCTCCCCCTTACAGCATCAGTATATTAGACTCGAAAGCAACATGCTGATACCGCATGAACTCAACCAACTCTTCCAAAGCCTCAACCCTGTATTCCTGCGCTTCACTCAAAGACATAGGCATATTCCCCTTTTCGTTTTTGTTATCAAGCGCCAATTTCGCCATCGTAGCGGTGAGGTTCCCCCCATCATCCTTGATATCAAGTGTCCAATCCAGTCTTTGAGGCGGGACATTCGCCGTTGAAATAATCCGGATATTCGGGTCGACCAGGTAAAACACTAGTACGCGTAAATGGCCCGTCTTGGTCGGGTCCAGAAGCTCGAATCCCGTGTACCGATGCTGCACTATACTGGGAAAGATTACAGTCCGGCCGACTGGGCATTTGACGGAGCCTACGTGTTGGATGGCTGGCTCGCCGTTTTCAAGGCCGAAGACTTGTTTCAGCCAGATAAAGTCGTTGGGCTCATGCTCGACTTCTTCGAGTGTACCCCTATCGACTATGTTGCGGAATTCCATGCTTGCGTCTTTCATGTTGTCGGCGTCGAAGTGCACGAATGCTGCCGCGCAGATGTGCTCGTTCTGTTGTGGTTTTAGTCCATATCACTGCGCGGGAGTGATTCTGCTTACCATCTGGCCCTCGACGTGCCAGTCTGTTTGGTAGAATGGATCCTCTGGAGTCAAGTCTAGACCGATCAATCGGGTGATCACCTGCAGTCCGCGCTCTTTATAGTCCTCGTTGAGATTGACGGGTTGCTCGATGCGCACCGCGCTGGGTAGATCTTCTGGTAGTTTGGACATCAGGCATTTAGGGACAGCCCAAGGAATGAATTGGCAGGCATCAGGTTGAACCGCGATATAATTCTCCATTCTCCACTTCTCGTACCGCTCATTGAACTCGCTCTGTGCCTCCTTAGTCTCGATCTTTGGCTCCGAATCGGCCACTTCCTTCGAGACTGGGTAGTATTCGGCTTTTTGGTATTCAATGCGCGCACGGGAATGGAGCATATCTTTCAGCGGCGTCATGGACATATTGAATTGCGGGATCAAACAGTTGAATGCGTCCTCGATAACCTTGTAGATATCCCTGCACTTTACTGGATGGAGGTTGTTTATGTAGGTCGCAATATGCCACCGTCCATCATCCCCCAATTCCCAGTCCGACGGGAGGATTTGGAACAACCGGCTGTACGGTTTTACTTGAATGTCAGCTCGAGCAGTCACGCGCCATGCAATGTCCTCTCTGGTGACTCCGCTCTCTTTGGGGACCGGGATAACTTCGCCCTGGCCAGCGTAGCGTAGTGCATCATCAAGACAGATGACACGGTCCGTAAGGATGCGGCTCTTGCCGTAAATGAGCGGGTACAAAGCCATCGAGAGCAGATCCCGTTGTTTGCTCATGCTGCCCGGGTGGTAAAATTGCAGCTCTTCTTCCTCAAATTCCAAGGTTTTGGCCGTTCGTCTCAGTTCTTTCATAACATCATCAGGCACGTTGGTGTCGGATTTGGTGATGTCTCCATTGTACAACGCTACTGCGCTGCTTTCCTCGTAAATCATGGCTTTATATTTCAACTCCTCGATGATCCAGTTGGCCATATTTTTAGTGATATCTCTACCGCTTTTGAGGGCCATTTTTTTCCACTCCGCGGGAGTTCCAGGCTCGTGGATCTAAAGTTTTAGCTTCATTATCGTGAATTGGAAGGGGAAAGGATCGCCTCGTACTTTTCTCCACCATTGGGGGATGTCCGTGATATCTTCCATGGTTTTGACCATTTCCATCTCTCGAAGAGTCAGAGCAGGCAGACTAAGCGAAGTTAGCAGGCTTCTGAGTGATCACTAGGAAGACTGACTCGGTGAATCCATAGTCGATGTCTCGGTCATCTAGCGCAGAAGGGAACATGCTCCGGCTCTCCACGCCATAGATGTTTTGCTCTCGTGGTGCAAAGTCCAGTGGTCGACCGAAGCCTGGAAGAGCCAATCGAAAGTCTCTATTATTGCTGACTGACAGGAAGCCTTCCTCATTTGCACGTTGTTGAAACATTGCAGGCGAGGCGGGGATTGTCTCACAAGAGCTATAGCCTGGTGGGCAGGTCAATGCCGTGAGCAAAGTCCCTTAGGTCAACTTTGAAAGTGACACTTACATCCGGGCCAGCAGTACCGCCCAAGTAGAAAATAAAATAAGAACATAAAGGGTGGCCCGAGAGCAGAACTCGGCATTGGCAAGGTAAATTCGTGGTTGACGTCGTGATTGACCAATGTGATCCGATGATGCGCGACTGTCGTCGTTGCTAGCCAATTCTAAAGGAACAGTCAATAGGTCCAACCTTTTCCGGAATTGTACTCCGGTCTTGAACCCCGGGCCTTAGTACCTAGGCACTCCGAGGTCAAGGTCATTGTGACTGAACAATGGTACTGTCCGGAGAACGTCGAAACCCGGCACGTTGACAAAATAATGAAGAACCAAAGAAAGAAAAGTGATATGAAGATTAAATATAAACAACATCTCATCGAATTATCCTGCTCATGCCTCAAGGCTGGGTTCTAAATACGACTTGACGATTCCCCAATATCGATCCGGCTCAGCTCTCATATGGCCAACGTGGGGCGTCCCCTTGAATAGTTCACGGTGCACTATCCACCCGCACGCTTCCGACTCAGATGCATGCATCTCCACGTCATGAAAGTCCACCAGCTCATCTGCGTCCGAATATATGTAGCAGCGAGTGGGCACACCCTTGGGGTTGACAGCCTTCACCAAGGAGGTATCATTAATCACCTTGCGAGCAAGGCCGATAGGGCCAGGAGATCTCCTGATAGTCTGAACTACCTTGACCAGAATCAAAGAGAGCCATAAAAAACTCTTGCTAATCAACCGCAGGATCCACATCTGCGGAAGCGCAAAAGAGAAGGCTCTCATGGCAGCTGCGATAGTCGCAGTCCCCGGAGCACTATCGATGATCGTTGAAGAGATAGGTAGTGGTTTTCCCGTTGCTTTGAAGTATGCTTGTAGCAGGTTGGTGGTGTTTGACAGTCCGCCGTTCGAGAATAGATGCATAAACACGGGACTTTCAGGGGCCAACGTGCGGAGTGCTTCCACTGCCGGTGCAACTCTGGCTTGCTGTGCGCGTGCATTCGATCCCCAGAAAAAGTCGTTTGATGAGCTGCGCATGAAGACAATCCGAGATGAAGGCATCATGCGTCTATACTCAACCACGTACTTGGCGAGGGCACGCGGCGGCGCGTTCATCCAGAACGCAATGAAAATCAACGGCTGACTGTCATGGCTGATCGAGTCTGCTGGATCCTGCAGATAGACAGAAGGTCCTATCTTAGCAAAAGGCGCTAAAGGGTCGGGCACTGAGGCCATATTGAGCCGATTGTCTATCTCTAGAGGCTGAGATGGAATGGGAAACTATCGAGATTGCGGTGGACCTCGGCTTGCCAAGAGGTGCATCGGGGCGCGTCGGACGAACCGGTTACCTACAAGTTGATTTTTAAGGAGATATAGCTTCAATTAGAGATTGATAGACTCTGCACTAAAGCTAAAAGAACACTGCCCGAAACGCCTGACCCATGCTAAGTCCGTATATAAAGAATGCCTGCCACCAATCCAGAGACTACATCTAGAGTTTTTGAGGTATTGTGCACGGTCGTCATCAATAGAAGCGATCGTCTAGATCAGCGCTTCCCCAGGGTTCGCCCACTAGAGCTGCCCTTACCCTTTTGGCTGTCGGCTTCGCTTCCTGATGTGGGAGTAGCCGACCCACCCACGTCCTTCTTCTTCCCCCGCAATGTCTGACCGATACCCTGGAATTTGGGCTGATCTTCTTGAACAAGTTGGCCGTTCTCATCACGAGGCTTAGCCGGTTTGATGGCATATCCGAAGAAGAGCTGGTTGGGAGGAAGACGCAGAGGTTGCGGACCATTGGTCTGGCGGGCCGAGGGAGGGTGTTGGGCGTTGGTGGCTCCCGGGGTAGGAGTAGAAGCTTGAGGAGTAGGTGCCTTGCTGCCCTTCTTCGCGCTCAGGCGCTGTCCTCCCGACAAAAAGTTGGAGGACACGGCCCTGGCACCAGCTGCAGCATCGGTCGCCTCGGGTGCAATGGCGGAATAGTTGATAGACTGTGCCATAGTACCATGGGGATGAAGCAGTCCGCCAGCTGGGAGTTTTCCCTTGCCCCCGCTGACGACACTTCCAGGTGTGCTAGTGCCGCTAGTGCGTTGAGGTTCTTCATATCCAACCGGAGGAGCGAAATCCACCTCCAAGTCGGTTTCCAACACAGAGACCGCGCTCTTAGCCCCCGCAGGCTTTGTTTCAAGAACCGCCATTTCGTAGACTTGATCGTTATATGCGAATGTGAAGACATCGCCCTTTGAAAGACATGAGAAGTTCCGGAACGCGTTTTCTAGGACGGCTTTAGGGTCGCTAATGTCGAGGAAAGAGGTTGACTGCGCTTGAAGTTTGATGAATTGACCGGGAGGAAGATCGGTGGACTTGATTTGAAGCAGGTCACCGGGCTCCAAGAGAAGAGTTTGCATGAGCTATGCCGAAAATCAGTATTAGTAGTGTCCTGTATGAGCTCCCCGCCCCCGCTCAGGTGTGCAGCTCGTACTCACCCAGAATGGAAGATAGATCTTGCCCTCCTCAGCAATAAACTCGAGAACACCAGCATGTGTCATTCTCTCCTTGGCGCCGTTGTGCAGCTCGAAAAGCATGGGGTATGTGATGTGAAGGCGTGTAAGCTTATCCAATGCGCTGGGCGGCATAATGACCTTGCCGCCATGGTTGACGTTCTCTCTCTCAGGTCCAGGAAGCATCGCAACGGGATAACAGCGGTAGTATTCATCGAAACGGCGAGCTGCGCCGCCTGAACGCATCATCCCGCCCATTACGCCCTCCATGGGGTCGTCCATGAAGTCAGGTCGGAACTGGAGCTGTTAGATGTAGCTCAAGAATGCTGCGCAGAGAAGTAAAATCAAGCAGGAATGAACCTACCATCGTGAATATGGCACAGGAATAAGATTGTCAAGATGTTAAATTTTCTTGAGAAAGAAAAGCGTCGAAGCTCAAGGTGAAGGTGAACTGCTTTGATGGAACTCGCCGAGAGTGACGCAAGTTGGCTCCGCTATGATTTTCCGATCCGACCCCGGATAAGGGAAATCCAACGCAAGTTTGACAGCTTCACAAATGCTATTGTCTAGCTTTATTTCCACTATCTGAGCAACATGGAAAGCTCGCAACCGCGACCCAAGCGAGCGGGCGAAGATTATACCCGCACTCACCAAGAAAACGACTCTGAAGAGCCTTCCAAGAAACCTCGATTCGACCTTCGCAACCCCTCCGCCCTCGCGCCCGATGCTCTCGAAGAGGATGCCGTTCTCGATGCCGACGAGATAGGTCGCCGCGGCCAGCAAGTGCGCCGCAAGGCAGTCAACCTTGACGGTTACGACTCGGACAGCGACAACGAGGGATTCTCCGCGCGCATGGAAGAAAAGGCCAAGCGCGAGCGCGAGAAGAAAGACGATGATGATGACGATATGTTCGCCGAGCTACAAGAAGATTTTGGCGAGGAAGGAGACGATCACAATGAGATGATCCGCAAGAATAAAAAGAATGTTCGGTTCTTACGCGACGATGAGATCGAGGGCCAGATCGCTTCCTCAAAGGGTGGAAAGACATTACATGCGGATTTGAGCAATGCCGACGGTACAAATGAGGCCGAGGAGGAAGACAGCGACAGCGATGTTGGAGAAGAGGAACGCGCCACGGTCGACGAGGTGGTCGACGAGGAACTAGGTGCGGGCGCTAAAAAGAAGCATGCACCTCTGCTTGATGCTTTCAACATGAGTGCGGAGCAGGAGGAGGGTCGATTTGATGACCAAGGCAACTTTGTGCGCAAAGCCCTCGACCCCGATGCTGTCCACGACTCCTGGTTGGAGGGTGTGTCCAAAAAAGATATTAAGAAGGCTAAAGATGCTGCTGAAAAACGCGAGGCCGAGAGGAAGGAGAAAGATCGCAGGGACGATAGTCTCTTGACAGCCGATGTCCTGAAGACCATCATCACGCATCTCGAGCTCGGCGAAACGATATTGGAAGCTCTGGCTCGACTAGGGAAGGGTCTACAACGGAAGCCCAAGTGGCAGAACAAGAAGAACAAGAAGAACAAGAACAACGGCAATGAAGATGCTGAGATGACGGATGAGAACCCTGATGAAGTTAATAGGAGGAAGGCGATCGACTCAATTACTGGCGCCGCCGATATCCTTATGGGCCGAGGTCAACCTGAGATCTATGACACAGAGCGCGAGCTTTTGACAAGGCAGTATCGCAATGAGACGGGCGAGAACTGGGTTGACCCGCCTTCAGCGACGCCCAGGGAAGCCGAACAGGGGCCGACAATGTGGGAGTATCGCTGGTCCGATGCTCGGGACGGAGGAGATGCCCATGGGCCCTACGATGGCGGGATGATGGATTTATGGAAATCTGCAGGCTACTTTGGTGAGGGCGTTGAGTTCCGCCGTGTTAGAGATACAGGAGCGTGGAGTAGCAGCGTGAACTTCGTGTAAAGATAAATGAAGTGCCTCAATTCAATTCCAAAGCAAATAGATCACCTCAACAAGCGCCAGTCCTATCATACATCATTTGATGTGGCAAGAAACAGAGAAACCATTGTAGTTTTTGACCCGCTAAAAACCGTCCGATCCGAAAATTATGAAATCTCCATGGCATCGCCGTTAGTGGCTGCCGAAAAGTTGACCGTTCCTTGGTCACCGATGAATCGCTGTTCGTACTGGTTGACGAACTTGACACTGCGAGACGGGTCGTAGAACAATCGGAAGCTGCGCTGGACGTCGTCAGCACTGACCTCCTTGGCCTTGCGCTTCTGGCTCAAGAGATGGGAGGTGGTGATGATGTTGCTGGCATAGCGAAGGTTAGATTCCTGGCCGATCTTGGTGAGGAGGGCCAAGGCATCCGGCGAAAGGTCGATTTCCTCTTCCTGTGCTCGGATGGCGAGAATTTGCCGGATCTCATCGGCGGAGTATGCCTGGGTGCTCACAATCACCACACGGTCGAGGAAGTCGAGGGGCAGACCGTGAGGAGAGGTGTAGCTGGTTCCGCGGATCTTTGCTTGGCCGCGGTTGCTGGCCATAATGACGATGGGTGCCAGCTCAGCCTCGAGGGCACGGTTCACGTAGGAGAAGCACTCAATGTCGAGCATGTGAACTTCATCGATAAACAGAACACCGGGAATAATCTCGGCCTTGCCCTCTTCTTTCCACTCGGCAACCTTGGTGTTAATCTGGTCGCGAACCTCGCTGCGAATCTCGCCAGTGTCGCCAGAGAAGAGCGCCAGGAATCCTTGTGATCGCGAGTTGATAACGTCGATTTCGTGCAGGCTAACGGTGTGGACAATCTCTTTACGGACCTGGAGTTCGCCCTCGGGGCATTGAACGAACTTGGTGTCCGCACCCATGGCGTCGTAGTCTCGTGAGCGAGCATATGAACGGCCGAGCTTGGTGATTTTGCCTGAAGACTTGTCGATCGAAATCACATCACCCGCCATCACACGTTCCTTTGTCATCGAATCAATCATCTTGGTTCCCATGTCGTAAATTGTTTCCATGTCCGTGGTCTTGATCGTGAGCTTTCCTTGTTTGTTGCCCTAATTAAGTCAGCAATCACTGTTGTAAACAGAAGCGCTTGGAAGCACGTACCCCAGTGACACTGCGGTCAATCTGAATTTCCACAACTTCACCCTCGATAATCTCGCTCTCCTCCTTAATTCGCACGCCAATGGACTTACGGAACGCCTGGGTGAGAGCTTCCGTCTTTGACATCTCCATTGAGAAGATTTCCGAAGATGCGAGCATCGTGAAAGGCACATCAGAGCCGAGCGATTGGGCCATGCCCATAGCGATCGCAGTCTTGCCCGTGCTGGGAGGACCGGCGATCAGCACGGCGCGACCTGCAATCTTGCCCTCCTTCACCATCTGCAGAATCACCGCAGCGGCCCTCCGAGCCTTCTCCTGGCCGACAAGCCCCTGAGATGACCCACGGGGCTGTAGCGTATCGACATCGACACCGAGACCTCTGATATGCGAATGAGCGGCGATGAGGTTGAGGCCTCGGAGCTCCTTGCTCTCCGCGACGGTGGAAATTTGCTAGACTCAAGTATTAGCAAACACGGTGCAATGGCAGGTCCAGCCAGTACTCACGGCAGCCATTATAATTAAGAACCGATTTCCAGGCGCTCAAAGTCAAATTGGGGATACAGAGCTAGAACTCGAAATGAAGCGCAAAGGAAAGAGCAGATCGCAGAACGAAGGAAGTCACGCTCACCGCCCGGCAGTAACATCTGGCCGCTAGTGTTCACTCTCTTTCATTTCTTTCATTCACTTTGTCCTACCTTGTTCGTTTCTTTTGCTGTAACAAGCTTTCCAATATCCTACCATTTGCTTGTAGTATCTATAAACCCGACTTTTTGCACACGTCCGCGGCACCGACACGTGTTGGACAGTCTCCTTCAAGCCTTCTCCCGCAACCAACGAGAACTATTACTCCCAAAGTGATAAGGAAGTGACTGTGGCACGAAAACTCCTGATATTCCGATTTTCGCTTGCGACAGCACCTCCCATATTTCACTGCTATACACCAACGGAAATGGCTCTTTTGATACTGGTGTCAATAAGAAGATATGGATGGTGACGGTACACGCCGATTCACATCGTCTAGACCCCCTGCCCGACATGCACTCGCAGCACAGGATCCTCGACGTTACCGATCGACGCCGGCTTCCACGAATTCCTCTCCTGTCCCCCAAAATGCAACGCTAGCTACCCGCCACAACGAGAGCTCCTCGCTATCGGCTGAGCGCTCATCCCAGCCAACCGCTCAGAATGATATTACAACCAGCGATGCTGTCACAGGCCAGCTAGCCAAATCTCTAAGTTCTGAAACTCGCGACAGTGACTCCATCATGCCCCAGTTCCTCATATTCTTCGATGCTTTTGTCTCTCTGTGCATAAAGCAAAAAGAGAAAGAGGGTCTGCAGGCGAGCATTGAGAGGGAGTCAAAGGCTGAGGAAAGAGTCAAGACGATGTTGCACCACCCAGGATACAAACAACTCGCGCAATCTATTCGCGAAGGTGGCAATGAGAACTTAAAAAGAATTGAGGCGAGCATCAAAACGCAAGAAGCTATTTGCCTACAAATTTTGCCAGAAGCGATAAAGAGTATACAAAGCGCGCTTCGTATTGTGCCACCTTCTTTGAGCAATGATACGATCGCAAAGCTAGAGTCTGACATCGCGGACAAATTTGAGGCTAAGTTCAGAGCGAAGCTGGAGGCTGAGAATGAAGCCAAGGAAGCTCGCCTTTCGAATATCATCGAGGCTAAGCTCAGAGCGAAGATAGAGGCTGAGGATGAAGCCAAGGAAGCTCGCCTTACGAAAAAGCTTGAGGGTGAACTCGAGAGAAGAAACGTCACATTCCTGAAGAAGATAGAGGATTCCCATGTCAAGTTAATGGAGCAGATGGAGGCTAAAATTCGAACCGCGCAGCTACTATCCATCAATCCTCAAGATACGATTGAAGAAATGGAAGTGGACCCAGGAAAACAAAAGTCAAACTCAATGGAATGGTACAAGCAAAAGTACAGAGAACATTCTCCCCGTCTTCATGAGCTCGAGGTATGGAAAGTCGATGAATTACCTAAACGTCTGGCAACTTTGGCTTCAATTCAAGACTGCCAAGCGGCCCAGGCAAAAGCCGAAGTGGCGATCCAAAGCGTTGGAAGACTGGAGTCTATTTTGCAGAGCGGATTAGCGACAGTAAGATCCGACACGACGATATTGCGGTCCGAATTTTCAGGATTGATCCCAGACCTTGATGCTCGTTCAAGCACGCATGAATCGCACAACATCCCAGGCTTGGGAAAGAGTTTGACAAACAACTTCGATAACCTACTATTAGAACATGAAAATCAGAACCATCGAATCACCAAGCTGGAAACGGAATCTGCCACCATGTTGACGAACCTCAATTCTCTCGCGGAAAAGCAACAACCACCGGGCGATCATTCCGCCCAAATGGTTCAGACCCTTCGGCATGATCTTTCAGCTTTGATCGACAGATTTTCTGGTCTCCAAGAAAGCGTATCAAATGAGCTACGTAAACACAGAACTTATGTTGATGCTAGTCTTCAGCAAAATGAAGTAGCTGTCAAGCATGCAAACGACACCACGGAGACACTGCGAGTTGCTATACGATCGCTGGAAAACCGGTACTTGAATATCACTACGGAGGACCTGTTCAAAAACATGGTTCAGGCCATGAAAGAAATGTTCCCGTGGATGGAAAGCCAGCATCAGGAAATCGCGGCCCTCAAGGAACAGTTGATTTTCCTGGTTGATCAATCCATGACCAAGACTGCGTTTAGCAATGAGATCGATGTACTCAAGTTAGATGTTGCTCAGAGGATCGATGCGCTTAAGATTAGCACGGAAGATGCGAGTCCACAGGCATTGAATGATCTGGTCAAGGATGTCCAAGAATTCTGGACCAAGATTGAGAAGCTGAAAGCGGCTCAGATTGGGCAGACTGTCGACATCGTCAAACGAGTCCAAGAGCATGCTGCTCTTCGCAACCAATTTGAAACACAGTCAGACGCTGTAGAAGAACTTGCAGAGAAGGTTTCAGACTTAGCAGAGATCTTTGAAAAAGTCAACAGCCTGGAGAGCAAGTATGAGAGGCTCAAGAAGGATGTGACAGAAATGCACAAGCCCTCAGGGAATTCGCAGAGGATGTTGCCAGACCCCAAAGGGTTCTGCTCACCAGACACCGTCAATATGATCTGCGAGAACTTGATTACACGGCATGAAAAGGCTACCACAGAACCAAGGTTTGACCAGCTCATCAAGATGACAAACGAAATTGGCCAGCAATGGGCCAATTTCAAGACTCAAGAGTTTGCCAATTTGCGACTCCGAGAACATTCCCCTTCCCGGCCACGAACAAACGGCTCACGCTCCGAGCTAGAGCGTGAGAATGAAAAAGCCTTGTCGCCTCGGTTACTGCGAAGCTCTCGGGATTCGCCAGGAGCTTCCCAGGCATCAGTCACGCTCCAGGTTCCCGGTAATGAGCCTATCGACGCGCTTCCGCCACCCCGATCCATGTCCAAACCCTCCTCCTGTTCGATCACCCCCGGGTCTAGCGATAAACTATTGCAAACCAAAGCCAAGACACCACAAGAAGAGAACGATAGTCCTTCCAATCCCTCTCAGGACCAGTCTCTTGGTTCTAGGGTCGCTCCCAGCGATATTGCCCGTTCGTCTTCCCCGTCGAAGGTTCTCCCTAGAGCCAAGGAATCCCCACAGTCTATCCTCGAAAAGACTAAAAAGTCTTCCAAAAAACGTCCAAGGAAGTCCTCTCTACTCAGTGGAGATCTCAATGGAAATTCGCTTGGTACTGCTTCTCCTGTAATGAGCGAGGCCTCGCCCGCCCCTTCCTCGAGCTCGAGCCTATCAAGGAAGAAGAAAAGGAAGAAAGACAAGCACCCATCAAAGCAATAAAACCAGGCTACGCTCGAGTCATTTATGAGTGGTGTCTTGTTCTACATCATCTCGAAAAGATCTTTCGGGTATGATGATAATAACCATTCTGCTGTGTGATACGTGAGCCAGACAGATTTTCTATATCCATTCTTGTTAATAGCCAATTTAATTCTACCTACCTGTTCTGGAGGCTAGATCACAGTGCACATAAACCCCATATATTCTTCTATCGGTCTATTGTTTTCCAGTATACAGTACATCATCTATCTAGTCTCCACAGTAGATCACGAGGACCCGAGGAACTTGACGACAGCTATGTAATAATGTTAACATTGACACTTCTATTTGAGGGGGATGTTAGTCTGAGAATTTACCTTGCCTGAAAGCCTCGGGATTCTCGGAGATAAGCCAGTGTCCCGCCTCGACGTCGGCGATCTGCGCATTGGGGAAGAACTTCTTGATTGCGGGAATAGTACCATCGGAAACATATCGCGACTTTGTTCCTCGGACAAAAAGGGTAGGTCCGCTGTACTGGAAACCCCCGGACTCACTAAATGGGAAGTCTGCCATGTTGTCAAGTGATGCACCCAGCACTGAGAGCGGGACACGGAATTTTAGCGTGTTATCTTCTGAGCGGATGAGATTGGTCAATAGGAATTGGCGGATACCAATAGACTGGACGAGATGATTAGTTTTGTAATATATGTATCTTCGTTTTATAGTTCATTGGTTTTTTACCTCTTCATACTCCTCGAGGATCTTGTTGGCGTCAGACTGCTTGGAAACCTTTGCCCGCTCGACGTGCTGCATGCCCCGAACATATTTGGGGAAGTCACTCTTTAGCGCGGCATTGACAGGTGCATTGTCAACCGGAATCAGTCCCGACACGCGTTCAGGTGACTGGAGTGCCAGCGTCATGGCAGTTTTGGCACCCCTGTTCGATATCAGCAATGAGCATGAATTTCAGAAGCGGCCGGGTGGGACTTACATAGAATGACCAATTAGCACGCATTTGTCGAGTTTCTGCTGCTGAATGAACTCTCGCACATCCTCGGCCATAGCAGTGTAGTTATGCTCTGGGGCATGGAATGACTGGCCATGGTTGCGCAGGTCCTGGAAGATATCAGCTTTAATCTGTTTCGCTAGCCTTGGAACATACCAGAGTGAAGATACGGCACTTCAGATCGCGAGCCAGAGCCCTGTCGCACGTTAGGATCACAAGTTTTATACCAGAACGGATCCACCACATACTTGCTGATACTCCGGTTGTTTTGTTTGGATCCGAACAGTCCATGCAGGAATAGAATCGGGTCGCGCACGGCTTGCTCGGTCTCCGGGCCATACACCTGGTAAGACAATTCCTCGCGGCAGACGCGGGCCGTCGAGAATGCTCGAAAACCCATGGCGCCTCGCGCAACTGTCCGAGCGAACAACATGATGTAAGGTGAGATGTTGATGTCTATCGGAGGAGGCAACTTGTCGCATCTTGAAGATCGGAAACCAGGCCGAGCTGACTCAGCGGCCCGACCTCTCTCCGCGGCGAGCGATTATATGCGCGGAAGATATTTTAGGCTATTTAAACGCACGCGATATTGAGTCAGTAAATGTCCAGATCTTATTGTACGGTCATATTCGAAATCGGGTTTAATTAGACATACTTGCGACTTAATCCCCGAACCCTAATCTCTGCAGGACCACGTCGCCTTGCCACACTGCCTATTCCCATATCGTTATTTACACAGCTCCGTAACTGGCGTATTACATTATTTATGGATGGTAACGGTACGAGGATCCCATGGTAGCTCAAGTGTTTTGGAGAATCCAAACAAGACAAGCACGAACGAGGTGTGGAGAATCTGACTAGGTCTTCATTCTGCCACAAACGTTTCTTCCAGGACAAGTTCGAAAAATACCAGTCAAATGAACAAATCAATAAAAAACAAATAGGCTTCGACTATCGAATTATTTCTAGTCGTAAGATAATGGCCTGAAGCATCCAGTTTTGCACTTCCCCAGCTTCGGCTTCCAATCCTGTAACACGGTGCTTGATATCAATCATCAGTTCATCCAGAACTTGGCAAGTCCTTTCAAGTGCATTTGTTTGATGAATACACTTCATCATAAGCTCCTTCTGTTCTGGGCGGAGCGAGCCCTGATAGACTCGCGCTTGGAGGAGGCTGGATAAGTGCCGGGTATTGCTATGAGCGAGTGCCTGGATTAATGGAAATGAAAACTTCCGTTCATCGAGATCAGTTGCTTCTCCCTTTGTTTGAGAATACTAAGTAACAAATTTTAGCGAAATGATCATAAAAAGCGTATTTGGTCGAAAGATTACCTCAGGAGAATTAAGATTCTGATAGTCATCGCGAATCTGATAATAGCGTCCCAATGCAGTAAGGAGGCCTTCGACGACGATATCTCTGCAAAACAACGCATAAGAAAAATCATGAAAAGAATAGTCATTAGAAAGCACACGTACTTATTTGTCGTAGCTTCGCACCTCATCAAGCGACTGGCCATACGGAAGAGTCCTCCAGTTTCTTAGAGAATGAAGTTAGCGACTGAATATTGATATCAAACGGGGATGGGTTGATTCAAATGGGACAAACATACTGCCATCCACCATCTGTAAATTTTCTTCTGTTGATGGTGCTTTTCCGTGATAAGTCCAATGAAGATCATATCCTTGACCTATGTGTAGACTCTGAAGTTCCTCTTTTCCGAAAGATCCACGTTAGAATTTCTCGGATTCGATAAAACAAAACACTCTCATTATATTAAGCACTTTACCTGTAAATATTTGATATGCGGGCAGTGACAGCTTTGAGATAAGCGCGAGACATTTGACGAAAAGAAAATTTGCACAATTGATGGTTTGACTAACGCCAAAGACTAAATGGGTGGCAGGATAGCCTCGGCGCAGAGGTGATGCATCCTCAATGTCATCTAGCCTTATATATTGGTCAGCGAGAGAGAGAGAGAACAGGGTCACTGCTGGAATCCTACATTAAAGACGAGTTGTGAAGGAGGTTAATCACAGCTTTAATGGAGGCCACAGTGTCCTCGGGAACCTTGTACCACAGATCAAGTGCGTCGATCGCTAAATCACGAATCCTCTTCGAGGGTAGAGAATCAATATATTCGAAGGGCTCGAGGACGACCTCAATAAGAATTTGGTTGTTAGGAAATCTTCTATCACCCGGTCTTGGACACTTAACTCACAGACTCAGGAAGGGCTTTGCTGTGTTGCAAAGATCTTGGTGCTTCTCTGGTGGCTTCAGAAAGAAAGGGCTGGGGAATCTCATCACCGGCAATCAGACAAACATGGTGGTCAGCCTTGTCAGAAGGGCGGTCGGCCGAGTTGAGCTCAGTCGGCCCTCCAAACATAACAGAACTCTCTCTTATGTTGGCAACACCGTCTTGTTGGCAGCGTCTACCCCAGAATTGTGAGCTGATAGGGCGATCTTTGCTCAGAAGATCGGCGAGAGTATCCATATCTCTAGGTCTATACTCAGGACGCTTGAGGTCTGCATGGTAACGATAACCTCGGGCTGCCCAGACACATACACCAGCAATACACAACTCCAGATGATGGAGCCATGTTTTAATCTTCTTCCCAGGCCTTTTCTCAAGCAAGTATTCATGCTTCAGTCGGTAATACTTAAGCTGATTCTCTCTGAATTTCTCCCGCAGTAGATCTTTTGCATCTCCGACTGTGACACCTTGAGACACAAGGAGGTAAAACAAGACCGAGTCCAGTGGCCCGGGTCGATTGGTAGAGACAAATCCATCATACTCCTTATCAAAAGAGTTGATATCACCACTTATTATAGCGAGGGGATACAACATGTCTCTTAGATGCTGTATCGAGGCAGCCTCTTCCTTAGTAAGGTAAATATCACACAGATACGCGATGAGTGGATCGCACCATCTACCCTTGTCGATTAGAAATCCTGCTGGAATTTTTTCTTGGGAATTTCAAAAGACTTACTTTGTTGCGTTTGTAAGAAATTTGTTGGTGATTTAGTCATCAAGCGATGAAAATTGGTGAATTCCTCCCACTTCCAAGGCCATACAACCTGACTCCCACTCCTCCCACTCCTTGAAAAATTCCATCGCCAAGCTTCGTTCGTGTTGAGCCATCGATACAAAGCCTTTAGCCATCATTTGTTTTACTCGTAACTTTGCAGACAGCACTGTTTTAGGTGAGTTTTGTCGACCAGTAGACTCGGCACCCTGGTAACATTTTAGAAAACAAGATTCTCCAAACCAAATCAGCCTGGGCATGGAGCTTACATCATCCTCCATGTACTCTTCTTCGATTATATCTAGCTCTTGTCAGTCTTCCACATCTTTAACTATAGAGAATGGAGGCGGACGGACCATCATGTATGAATCCCACATCAGAAGCATATGATGCAGCCCATATTCTCTCTGGGATAGCCTCGGGGATAACGACTGCGATGAAATTCAAGAAAGATTCTTCACGCATACATCCGTGAGCAATCAGATCTCCACCCATTGCCTCCCAGTCATCTCTTGCAGCCTGACATCCTTCATCCGCGATTGCAGCGTGTATACTGACTCTGGGCTTGATTGCAAAGTCAAATTGTGAAGTCTGCAAGTGCAATGGTAAAGGTATTGAGTACTCGTACTCAATAGTATCCTCATTAGAAGTGCCGAGTCGACTAATAAAGTCCGGCTGGACAAGGGGTTGATTTTCCATGATCAGGAATTTAGCTTCATGTCTTACGTTGTGGTGGGTAATTGCTACCTTTATACATTCGTGCCACCGAATAATCAACGAGATGGTTTCTGGTGAGACTACACACCGCCACTTGGCACTTTGTTTGCAGCCACCCACGGCTGACGTACAGAGCTTTGATTCTTTCATCTTATATATAGTACAACTATTTCAGGTAGACCCCTGCTTGTATTGCATGCCTAGCCCCGTCGAGAAGCCGCAGGTAAGATCGATCAATCGGTCTACTCTTAGACAAACCGATTGTCTCGTGATTTGTTATCATTTTCTAGTTGTGATCTTAGGAACAGAGTATGTTTTCTTAGAGCTTGATTAGATCAAATCTCGAACATTCGATTAGGACATGATTTAAAGTAGGGCCTGTTCTATTTCATATAGAGGGAATAATACTGAGGGTGATGGAATATGTGAGGACCTCGCCTAGGTACCGTTTAGCCCCCGTTTTCTGTGCAAGCCGCGGACCGAGAACTCTGTGTTACGCCGCGCCAACTTTAGAGTCTCTTGAATAGCAGGGTCTGAGAGATCTGAAGTAGAACCTGATAGGTCTGATGCAGATCTGTTATCGATTACACTACAGCAGCTCGTAGTATTCCTTTTTTGAGCTGCACGAACCTCCATCGCTTTGGCAAAGTTCACTGGCTGACTAGCTAAGCCTGCAGGCTCAGAGCTGATCTACATTATCTATTTCTGACAGGTATTCAGACACACACCGCTCAATCAAATGGAACATCGGGGCTGCGCTGAGGACTAGCACATCATACCGATCTTTCAGCCTCGCACTTGCGAAGGCGGAATTTTTTTCTACTTCCGCAGAGGAACTGCGGCCCACAGGAACGTTTCCCGCTCAGGGAGATCTTTTGGGCGACCCACAGAATACTTGGATGTTTGAAGCTAGCCCGCTCTTTACAGGTCTCGGGAGGGATATGAAGTTCTTCTTATGTACTGAGCGTGCCCGTTATAATCTGTAGTGAGGAAACCCCCAGCCTGGAGTGAACAGGATGGAAAGAGGGGCAGAAGTGCCACGTGTATGGCATGTGGGTGTCAACTACATAGGGGAGGGTCCCACGCACATCATGTAAAATGCAATGTTCATTCTTGGGAAGTGCATTAGTGTGTCTCTGATTAGGGCTCGGGAATTATGTCGCAAGAGTGTTGATTAAACCCTGATTACGAATATGACTACAGTTGTGATTACGGTTCGTTCCTGCCCCGCGTGAGCTCTCTAAAAACAGCAATCGTGACCTGCTACGAGTCGTCATCACTACAATGCACTGCCTAGGTAATACTAAAAGTCGAACGATTCTTTAAAAACAAAACAGGATTAACCTATTTTCTCTCGTGTCATTAAACAATATCTCAATAGCAGTTGATGCGCCAAGACAATGCGGGGGTTTTCTAGAATCTTGAACTTTTGCGGGGTCAGTGCGACATCTCGTTCGCTAGTACATTTCGAATATCACCTTCAACTACCTTCCACGTAGGAAGACATCTTCTATTTCTAATATCTTATCATTTTCAGAGACTAGATCAAACAGGCGACTCATATTGACGATCAATCATGACTGACCACCCTCAGCCCTACACGATCTCCGTTTCCGATGACGTACTTGAAGAGCTCAAACAGCGTCTCACCTACGCACGATACCCAAGCCAGTTCGAGTCGCCAGATCAGGATTCTTGGGACTTTGGTGTTCCAGTAGCGGAGGTGAAACGTCTGACAGCTTACTGGAAAGACGGATTTGACTGGCGAAAAGCCGAAGCTCAGTTAAACGAGCTCCCGCAGTACCACACTGAAATCGAGGTGGAAAAGTTTGGCTCATTGGACATTCACTGTAAGCTTTTTGGGTAATCTAAGATATGTTGGACTTCTCACATTTCTCAGTTGTTCATCAGGTCAGTTCAGTGAAGAACGCCATTCCTCTTCTATTCAGTCACGGATGTAAGTCCTAGTTCCGCAAGTCCTGATAGCAATCACTGACACAAGACCCACCTTAGGGCCAGGATCGTTTATCGAAGTTTCCAAACTGCTACCGTTGCTAAAAGCAGGCGCCGATCGACCGGCATTTCACATCGTAGCTCCCTCATTGCCGAATTTTGGCTTTTCTTCGGGCGTCACTCGTCGTGGCTTTGGTCTTGCTCAATACGCCGAAGTCTTGCACAAACTTATGGTCAAGCTTGGCTATGACAAGTATGGTAGGTCATCAAACCTCCCATATTATATATCCAAGAGATAAATACCAACGTGTTACAGTGACACAGGGCGGAGACTGGGGATTCTGGGTTACTCGAAGCATAGGCCTCTTGTACCCCGAGCATTGCAAAGCTTCCCACGTTAATATGATTGTTGCACGGCCACCACAGTGGGCCGATAATCCTTTACTGGCACTCCAGCACATATTTCAGCCATACAACGTGCGTGAAAAAGCGGGCCGTGAAAGATCCGACTGGTTTGATCATGAAGGCTACGGATACAATATGCTCCAGAGCACCAAGCCGCAAACAGTCGGTGTCGCACTTGCCGATAGCCCCGTTACACTGCTGGCCTGGATCTATGAGAAGCTGCATGACTGGACAGATTCGTACTCATGGACCGATGACGAGATCCTAACCTGGGTGTCTATCTATTGGTTTTCGAAAGCAGGACCCGAGGCTAGTGTCCGCATTTACTACGAGGCCCTCCATGCCAAAACCCCCACGGAAATTCCATATCATAAGCTCCGGTCTTATGTTCCCCATGTAAAGCTTGGTCTAGTCCACCTCCCGCGGGAAATCTCGGTTGTTCCCACTACATGGGCTGCCACACTTGGACCGGTTGTTCGACAAAGTGAACATGACCACGGAGGTCATTTCGCGGCGTGGGAGGTACCCGATGTGATCGTGCAGGATCTACAAGCAATGTTCGAGAAAGGAGGCCCTTGTTTTGGGATCATTCCTGGCAAGATGGGCTATTAGATTAATCTTGCAACCCGTGCTTGGCTCCCAATCAGGAAATTCGGATGATGATTATCCACAAGCCAACTTCGGCTGTCTTTCCGTGAGCCTAGATGCTAAGCTTAAAGACTTGTCAAGATACTAACTCAATCCTTCTGGGTTCATTTACATGCCCACGTGAACCGGTCTGTTAACAACAAGGGAGACAGAGCCGAGACACCAATGAACAGACACCTCGGGCAAGCATACACTAGACCCATCTAGCCCACTCACGTGAGAAATTCCCCGAATCATCCGGAATATTACATGTAACTAGTATCACGTTCGTTTTCGCGAATAGTGGGTATTGCAAAGAAAGTCTAAATTACCATCGTGGTGGCTGTGTTTCGTGTTTGTCAGGCTTATCAGATGAATATAGGGACCCGCTTTCTCAATTAATCCAAGGTTTAGCCCCCGCTGGGTGAAGGAGCTTGTCTCCTATGAAGCTTTTCCCTTTTTTGACTGCCAAGACTAGCCTCTCCGTCCCGAATATGACATGATTTAAAGTAACCCTAAATCACGAGTCCGCCCATTGTGTTGGGCGGGTTAGGAACAGGTGCCTTTATCTGATCGCAGTTATTACTGCATCTCAAGACCTTGTGATAATTCCTTTGGGGTTGACCGGATACCATCCAGAAAGTGGCATTGTGACACCGAGATGCATACGTCTGTGATCCCGGATGGGCTCTGCGCAGAGATTTTCTCAAGCTGTCTCCACTGTCCGTCGCTGACCAGAACGCTCCACGCAGCTCACATGCCGATAATCTGCCAAGACCTGTACAACGAATCTGTGGACCGAGTCAAAAGAAAAACAGCACTACCGTGGTAAAATACGACTATCGTTCCCAAATTGGGACGTTGGTTCCGAGTCCAACTCGGTCAAATGCAATCAGAGGCTGGAATTTTCTGCGCTAGGCGGCACGAGGCTAATTAGCGTCAAACTTAGTCTTATCTGATCTGCTACTGCGTCACCCATCGTGCTCTCTTCTGAGGAATTTTTTCCATTCTCCACCGTAGCAGGGTTTTTTTCTTTTTTTACGTTGCCTTGGATTGCGTAGCCAATGATAAATTATCTTCCATCGCTCATGTTTCATTTGCTTACCGGCTCTTTACGAAATGCCCCTCATTCAAGGGTCCGCCAGTCGCCGGGAGTCTTCCGAGATTGATAAAATTCTTGACGATTCCTTGGGTTTGGCACATTGTATCTCCTGGATATCAATGAATTCTTTCGCCTCAGACTCTGATTAATTGAGGTTATGATGACTTCCAGCGCCCTTCGCCAGCATAACAATGTCTGGAGTAATAAGTACTTCGCTATCGCTATCGGGGCGATTATGGTGCTGTTCATTCTATGCCATTGGTGTGAAATAGCTTATTCTAGATTTGGTCCTAGGAAGCCAAATTCATTCGCGAGGCATGTCTTTAAGCTTCATCGGTTGGTGCTCAATCCTCGATGCTGATTATAAATGTGCTGACTCAAGAAAGGGCTTCACGGAGACTTTTGAATAATGAGATTCTTGGCACTCGCGTCGATAGACTCTTGCTTTATCTCATCTACTGGGCCCTGAATCTCATCTTAGCATTGACAAACGTCGATTTCGAACGAGTGGGTTGTTTTCGGAAACTTTCGGAATGAATAGATTGCTGACATTTACTCTAGGTTGATAAGCGCTTCGGATGGTAAGTGAGGTTGGGACTGCAGAATATATACGCGGTGCTAAAGGCTCTTCCTCACTAGGATTTCTGTGGCAAACTTTGCACTGCTTGTGTTTCTCGCTCTCAGGAATACTCCGCTCGCTCCTTTGTCTGGCAATTCTTACGAGAAGCTGCGTCCTCTCCACAAAGTGGCAGGCTATACTTGCATCGTGACTAGTGTGATACATGGCATCACATACACTATTGTCTTCGCCCAGGAAGGGAAATTGGAGAAGTACAAGGAAAGAGACAACTTTTCTGGAGCAATTGCAGGAGTAGCAATGTTGATCATTGGGTTCTCTACAATCGGATATTTCGTTCAAAAAAGCTACGAAAGTAAGTCCGAATTCGCAACCAGTATAGCCAATGTCTAATATACCTCCAGTCTTCTACGTTATTCACCTTGCCATGTTCATGTTGATATTGATCACTGTCGGAATGCACCGGCCGGATTTCTCAAAGTCCACGGTCATTATTGTCATCTTCATAGCATGCCTGTGGGGTGCCGATCGGCTCATTCGCTTGGCCAAGAAGTCTTGGAACTTTGTCGGCAACAATGCAACTGTTACACCAATGGCAGATGGCGCAGTTCGAGTAAAACTAAAGCGCAACCTGCGTTGCAGACCTGGATCACATGCTTTTCTATGGATTCCATCCATTCGTTGGATGGAAACGCATCCCTTTACTCTCGTGTCAAATGAGCCGGCCGAGTTTCTTGTTCGCGAATATAATGGATTCACTCGTGATTTGCTGAAGATCGCTCGAGAAGAGCCCGGGAAAGTTCTGCGGTGCTCCGTTGATGGAGGGTATGGGCAAATTCCGAAGTTCATGAAGTTTGATCGAATCGTGCTGGTCGCTGGTGGCAGTGGTGCTACTTTTACGTTCAACATTGCACTCAATGTGCTTAAAGAATGCGCTGTTGCAAACATCACGAAGCCTATTTACTTTATCTGGGTAGTTCGACATGCAGGTATACATTCTCCGCTTGACTAATTTCCTCTTATACAAGAAGGCTGACCCAAATTATGTTTCAGAGTCATTCAACTGGTTCGATACCGAGTTACAACAATTACAGGATTGCCCTTCTGTAAATCTTCTCATTCATGTCACACGCGATGAAGCTATATCAAATGATTCTCCACTTTCAGGCTCAGTTAGTGTCGCTAGTGACCCTGAAAAGGCACCAACAGCTGTTGGATACGTTGGAAAGGGAGCACCAGTCATGACAGATGTCGAGAAAGGAAAGGAAGAGGTCAAAGGACAAGCCACGGTTTCCGTATCCGCTATACGAAAGGGGCGCCCAGATATCACAATCTTGATCGCTGATTGCTTATCCCAAGGCTCCGTCGATGAGCACATTGGCGTTGGCGTTTGTGGACCGATGAACATCATTGAATCAACACGTGAGGTGACCTGTAGGAACACTTTTGACAGTGGCCCCTTCATTACTTTCCACAGTGAGGTAAGGAGAATGTTTCTATTGTCTTTTAACTTCTGGAGTGATGCTAAAACCATTACAGGAATTTGAATGGTGACGATGCTTGTTAAGCAGATAGCAGTACAGCTCATTGGTCAGCTAAAATATAAATCGAAGCCCAGACTACGATATCTGGCGCTGAATCATCATCTACATCAATGATAATATGCCGAGAATCGATAGGCCTTTTGTTTTTGAAGACGCTACTAATTGCTCTTTTGCAACATGATCTTAACGCTCCCGGAAATTGACTGGACTATGTGGGTATCCCGCTAGAGGCAATCAGGGTCCAGTTATTGTAATAGAATTAGATCTGTGCCATCTCGCTTATTCTATGGTTTGGTCGTACCGTCGATTTTGACGCTGTTAGAGGAATATCTCGGAGCTAGTCTAACATCGCGGCTTATCATGACACCCAACTACATCCAGAACGTTGCTATTGTCGGTGTGCGTTAGGACCGGCTCTTAACTTCCAAAAGTTGGATATGTCTTGCTTAAAATCACAGGCCAATGGCAATTGTGGCAGTTTCATGACTGATGCTCTACTAAAGACCAGCAAGCACACAGTCACAGCGCTCACAAGAGATAACAGTCAGAAGTTTCCCGAGGGGGTGATATCTAAGGTCATTGACTATAGTAAGCCTGAAACATTGGTCAGAGCTCTCCAAAACCAGGATGTTATTGGTCATTACTCTTGATGGACATGCCTCAGAGGGAACCGAATTGACCTTGATTGAGGCTGCCGGCGATGCTGGTGTAAAATGGATCATGCCGAATGAATGGTGCCCTGACACTACAGATGAGGCGCTAGTGAAAGATGTCTTTGTTTTCCATTTACTGAAAATCCTCTGTCTAGCGACTGCTCGCAAAGCTATCGTTGATTACGGCAAGATTAACTTCATTACCCTGTCTACTGGCTTCTGGTACGAGTGGAGTCTTGCAATCCCTTCAGCCCTCGGAATTGGTCTGATCAATCATACTGCAACTTTGTTCGATGAGGGTGAAACGAAAGTTTCTATCTCGACATGGCCGCAGGTATGTCTTCATGTCACAACGAGCTCATAGAACACTGGCTTACCTATAGCCTTGAACGAATCAAGGAACGTAATCGGATCGGTTTTGCAAAGATGTTGTATACACGAGTTTTCTATCCCGATGGTTGGGGAAACACTGACCAGAAGGGCACGCTCAATGATATGCTTAGTTTACCAGAGGATGATATTGATGAAGCAAATAAGGTTAACATCGAGCGCTCAAAGACCTCTCCCTGGGGCTGATATGTGCATCATGGTCTCATATAGAGCCACCATTAGCGCGACCCAACCGAACCAAGTCTCCACCAGGCACTCAAGCCTAGGACACGTCCCATATCTTGGCACATAATTTTAATTCCATTATTCAATTTATGAATAGACGATTATGATATCACTATGCAGTGCAGTGGCGGTCTTTGCTCGAAATATGTACATTACCACTATTGAATTTGAGTGTGACGCAACTTCCCGTCTCCCCAAAACCCTTTCTCCAATGCCAAAATTGAAATTGCTGTATACATCAATTGAAATGTTAATCACAGAAATCAGACGACGCTGCCATTCAATCGACCCTTGATGAAGTTGACCACATCCTGGCTATATTTGTTGACGTAACCGTGGTGAGCCTCGTTGTCGTCCGCGGGTAAGGCTGCGCAGCACTGGTCGTCGCCATAATCGCAGTAGCTTTGCAGTGAGGAGGCAAACGGCTCGCAGGTAATTGGGAGCAGGCGCGGGAAAATCTACAATTGGCATGATCTGTTAGCTGTTGCTCCCTCGAGGTGCGATTGTGTCACTTACTCCTAGGCCAACTGTGCAGTCGCCCACGTCCCATGGCTGTAGGGGGACGAAGGTCTCATCACCGTAGGCGATAGCGGCAATAACTAGATGTGCTGTCAGTCCCTATTCTCCGTGAAAATATCCTGGTCGTGCGTTCGTACTGGTTTCGTTCAAGGACGCGTCAAAGGGCTGAGTGGGAATCAGCAACAGGGAGCTCGTGCCGCAGACGGCTTCCATCATGGTAACAGCGCCCTATAATAAAAATTAGAGTTTGAGATGTGAGGGCAGGATGCACATGTGTGCATCCGAAGGCTGTAGAGGTCATACAAGGGAGTATCCGATCAGGGCAATCTTCGATTCTGGGCAAATCTTGAGATACTCTGTGACATAGTTCTGCATCAAAAGCGCTCCGTTGTGAACCGCGGTAAACTTGTCATCAGCATCGTGGTCATATGGCAGGCCAAGGCTAGTCGAACCCGGAATCTGATCCAAGATCATATTCTGAACCTTGGCCATGACATTCAAATCATCGCCAGGGCCTTGACCCCGAGCAATGATAGCATGAACACTCGACGCGCATTGGGTCTTCGCCACAGCCTGAGCTTGGGCCTGCTGTCCAAGGAAGCCGGATGAAATAGCCAGCGCCAAGGAGATGATCTTGCAGATCATGCCGGGCATCGTGAATATATAATTGACACGACGATGCGTACGGGTCGGTGTATTTCACCGAGCAGGTTAACAAACACCAGATTTCTTGGCTCCCCGTCCCTATTTATAATATTCTTCAGATCGACCACGATCGGAAGCCCCATATAGCTAGGTCAGATTTTCCTGGCCAGCCCATCCAGCCGTGTTGGTTATCAGGTCCAAAGCAGGTCAGGGGCGGAGGTCGCAGCACACGGTTCATCCTGGTATTGGGTGCGTGAACAGTCCGTCGAATCTAAATTACACCCGTAGGCTTGATTCTATTGGCTTTTTGCTGAATTAAGCCCTGATACGACCCGCTTAAGATTGGGATCGACAGGGACTGCCACAAAGATATCAGGCCAATCGCCGAGCAATTATTTTAGCTGAACTTTGGACCCCTGTTTTACACGTGCGTTTCTGTGCAAACGATTGTATGTCTACAGAGGTGGATATCTCAATAGGGGCGTATTTTTTGCTAGTTTTTCCTGTTTGAACTGCGCTGCATTTGGCGGACTTTTCAAATGTACATCTCAGGGACACTATCTTGGTAGATCTTAACGCTGTAGACTTTTATTCTTAGTTTGCGTTTTGATTACCTGGGACAGGTCAATAGCTAGGATCGTGGCTAGGATCGTAGCTAGGACCAAGTGAGATCGCACATCTCCGAAAAGGGGTGCAAGTCCCACATATTCACCCGAGCCCCACCACACACGATCATGATGTCAGATTTGGCAAATTCAAATATCGAATGGCAAGATGGCCGAGTTGGTCCAAGGCGTCAGGTTAAGGTCCACCTTAACACCAAACATTGGTTTCCTGATCTCGTTTACGGGGCGTGGGTTCGAATCCCACTCTTGTCAGTTCTTTATTTTTTTCATGGCTCATGATGAGCCCCTCGAACGGGAAAAATCATCTTTTTTCATTTTTTTTGGTATTTTTTTTTTGGCTGCTTACCAGAAACTAACATAGTATTTTTCTCCAAACCCGCCGCCGCGGTACACGCCCCTAACACCAGGTGATTGCGAAAGATCAAAAATCTGTGTCTCAACAACCAATGATTATTAAAACTTCAATATTTGCCAATGGATAAAAAGACTCGATGATTCACTGAATCCTGCAATTCACATTACTTATCGCATTTCGCTGCGTTCTTCATCGATGCCGGAACCAAGAGATCCGTTGTTGAAAGTTTTAACTTGATTAGTTAATTGCTCAGACTGCAATCTTCAGACAGCGTTCAATGGTGTCTTCGTTTTACCTGGTCGAACTTTCTTTATAGTATACATTCTAAATCACATTTAAAAAACACATCACGCAGATCCTGAGGTCATGATCATAAAAATGGCATTTCAAATCGGATATAAACATATATAAATCTCATTTGGCACTGTACATTGATCTAGTTCTCCAGAAGCGGGGGGACCTTCTCGCAGAGGTACTCGACGATGGCATCGGGGCCGCGCTCGACCTGCAGACCCTCGGGGATAGCGTGCAGCTTGATATCGGGGTTGATTGACCGGGCAATATCGTGGATCTCCTTCGCCTGCTCGTCGGACCACATGGAGGCACTGAACTATGCGGCTGTTAGCGTCTTAATTCTCGAGTTTTCGGACTCGGATAACCCGAGTGACCTACCAGAACGTCAGGCTTGAACTCCTTGACCTTGCCCTCGACCTCTGCGATACCTGTATGAGAATTAGCTTCCAATTGTTTGATAGACATACTAGCCATGCTAATCCGGATACATACTCTCGCAGTTGGCGACGTGCTCGATGGTGTAGCGGTCGCTCAGAGCCTCAGCGACGCGGCCGATGAGGCGCTTGGCGCGCTCAGGCGCGGTGTTGACAGTAACGAGACGGAAGGGGCCCTTAGGAGACATTGTGATAATGATTGCAATGAGGGGATATCGCGGGGCTTTTATTGTCGCGAGTTCGGCGTTGCCACCGGTTCCCCACATTGTGGGTGAGCCCCTCCGGCTTGTCCAGCGCCGGGGTAGACATATTCCGCGCATAAAGACCGCGTCTCCTCCGCATCGAAGATCAATTGATCAACTCACTCCATCATGTCTAAGATCGCGTCTACATTCTCGCGTATGTTATACCTCCTGCCTTCATGGACCATCTAACATATTTATTGCAGGCCTGGTGCGCTTCGTGCCCAAGTCGAACCCCGCCAAGGTTCTGATCGGAGAGCCCGTCGATCCCCAATTGGACATTGGTCTGGCTGTCTACCAGGGCAAAGAGGTCTCAGTTCGTCCTTTCTCAGGCTCATCAGTTCTGAGCCCTGGCGCCGCGACTGGGGTCACCGAGACCATTGAGCGCATTCTGTCTCCCTTGGCCCAGGCCGAGGTCGGAGCTATCCGATGCGTTGGTCTAAACGTGAGTGATCAACTGCGACAACCGATGGCTCAATTAAAGACTAACACATGTTACAAAGTATGTATCCCACGCTAAGGAGATGGCACTCCCTCTCCCGGACGTCCCGACCCTGTTCATAAAGCCTAGCACCGCGCTGGCTGATCCCTTCCCCGCACCCACTGTCCTCCCCAAGATCACCCAGCAGGATGGCACTGGTGACTACGAATCCGAGATGGTCATTGTGATTGGCAAGGATGCCAAGGACGTGCCCGAATCCGAGGCACTTGATTACATCCTTGGCTACACTGCTGCCAACGACGTCTCCAGTCGTACTTCGCAGATGAACCAGAGCCAGTGGTGCTTCTCCAAAGGCTTCGATGGTTCATGTCCGATTGGTACGTTATTTCATTAGTTTGCGTGTCAAGATCGCAGCTAACACAACTTGCAGGCCCCGTTCTTGTTTCTGCCGCCCTCATCCCCGATGCGAGCAAGTTCCAGATTCGCGGTCTGAAGAGCGGCCGCGTCATGCAGGACTGCCCCCTGACGTGAGTATTCCCCCGTTGAATTTGACTGGATCAAGAAGCTAATTACAATTTCTTCAGTGACCTAATCTTTACAGTCCCCCAGCTTGTCAGCTTCCTCTCCCAGGGCACCACTCTGCTCGCTGGTACCATCATTTTGACCGGTACCCCTCCCGGCGTCGGCGCTGCCAAGAACCCCAAGGAGTTCATCAAGGCCGGCGACGAGTTCGCCGTCGAGCTCCTTCCTTACGTCGGAACGCTCATCAACAAGATTGAGCACCAATGATTGATGCAACGACATTGAAACTGTATATAGTCACGTACTTTTGGTATACTAAACAATCCTTGAAACTAGTCTTCTTGCTTCGAACATTAAGGTTGCAGCTGTCACCAATTTTAAGATTCTGCGTATTGAGCAACTGTTACTGCTGATCGTTGAAATGCCACTCACTATCTTCATTGGGCACGGAGTATAGACGACGTTAGAATAAAATCCTCCGATGTCCGCTACTTAACTAACTTTTCACATAGACCATCGTTTCATGTGCCCCCGAGCTATCAAGCCAGAAGGTTACACTTACACCAGATATCATCGCAATCGGGGCAAGTGTCCAGCACATCCACCAATCAGCATGCATATCGGGATATGACATTTTCCATGGCGGAGTAAATCTCTTCCGGCTGTACACTCGGGCCGATTCGAGCATCAAAGCATGTAACTAAACCAGAACACATGGCGTTTGGCAGAAATAATTTACTAAATTATGGAATGTCAAGATTGCCATGTTCATCGCTCTAAACCCAGTATCTAACCAAACGCAGACAAGATCAGCCCACGCGGTGGTAAAAGCCGGCATCGCACGTTACTTCGTGGGCCCAACGGCTTGACTGCGCTGAGTGTGTACGGCACATTTTCGGGTTCTGCCACTGAGCGGTCCCGGTCGGCCTGCCGGCTTGAAAGACGGACTGCGGCTTTATCTTTAAGCCGATTTTTTTGTTTGCTAAAATATTATATGCATGCATCTCTCCTTTCTTTTGCTCTTGCTTGTTTTCCTTTTGCGGCAGATCATGCATGCACTTTCTATTTTCTTGTCTTTCTTTCTTTTTTTTTTTGCTTTGGGTTTGTGCCTCTCCCCGATTCCTTGGGCAAGGGCTATTTATGCTTGGGTCTCAGCCTCAGGCCTCAGGCTGCATTGACTGGACAATGGCCCTTGGGCTTCAATGCTCTACGCTTGAAAGAATCCAGTATGCTACATCTTGAAACATTGCTAATGCATTGATCTATACACTTTCGCAGAAAACCGAGCTTCATGCCGCGTTCCATGCCACGTGTAGTCTATACCCTCCGATGCCGAGTTTATACGGATTCTATCATCACACCCGTTCGTCTAAAAAATCCAACAGCTCGACACGCTGTATTTATTGAGTCATGCCCGACATGAAAACGAGCCGAGACCCGGTCCTTTACTCGCCGTCTCGTTGACGCCATTTCTGACCCCGCCATTGGAGGAAGATAGTGGGAATTACACTGCAGCCAACGACCAGAGCCGACCCAATGCCTGCACTTGGGGCAATTCCAACATTGTCGAACATAGAAGTGAACCTGAACGACTGGGTTAGCAAAGACGTGGTGGAAGATATGAGAGAATGATGCATACCAGAAGGGTCCAATAAAACCCCAGATCTGTCGGACAAAGGTGATGAACACACCAATGCTGCCAGCCTCTTGAGGGAAGCAGTCAATGGCATATGTCATCATGACGGTCGTCACCAGCTGGTTACCGACCGCACCAATAGCCGTGCCAATGATGGGCGACACGTTCCAGTGGCCGGTGGTCGCCTCTTGCGTACACACAAGGAAGACAATCAAACCAATGATGGTCAAGGCAAAGCCGAAGTAGCTGAGCCATAATCGGAACTCGGGCTCTGCCTTACGGTCCAGACGCATTGAGCGCCGACTCATCCAGAAATCGGACATACGACCACCCATTTGCTCGCCGATGACGGATCCGATGATTACACCCAGGAACTGCAGACCCAGCTGCTCAGCGTTCAGTTCGAACTTGGCCTGAAGCAAAGACGGCACCTCGACAGTCGCGAGAATACTACCGAACAGGAATACCATCGCATATGCGCAGGTGGGTATCATGATAGAAGGATGCCGGGCCAGAGTCAGGGGATGCACGAACTCGTACGCCGTCATGGGAGTAGGATCGATGCGACGAACCGACATGTACTCCCTCTTCCAGTCGGCAGTTTGACTGTCAACACCGCTACCAAGGTAGCGAGTCTCCGGTCCAAGGAACAAGTACAAGATAAACTGGCCACCATTGATCTATGCAACAAATCAACATGAGTCCACTAACAGTCGGGAGAAGTACTAACCATAGCCAAGATCCAGTAGATCCAGTGGTAACCTGCGCGGTATGTCACGAAGCCAAAAATGAACGGGCCAATTGGGACACCCAGGGTGATCATCAAGGTCCAGACACCCATGTACTTTGCACGGTCCTTCTTAAAGGTCGTCTCCATCACGATCGCACTGCCAATTGCCGAAGCCGGCGAGATGAAGAAGGCCACGAGGGCCCGACATGCCGCGAGTGATGCATAAGTGGTACTCTTTGCACAGCCGATGTTACACACCAGACTGCAAATTAGGGAAAGGAGGAAGATGGGCCGGCGTCCGAAACGGTTGGACAGCGGTTTCCAGAACAGGGGGGCCCCACCAAGGATGGCAATTTGCAGACTGGTGAGGTAACTCGCCCGTTGCAAGCTGCAGTCCAACTCTGCGGCAATGTCGGAATAGGCGGGGATAATGGCAGCCGCGGTGAAAGTGCCCATGCAGGCGTGGAATGCTACGAGGATGAGATTGGACATTTTCTGTTTCATGCGTCAGGTTTTTTTGGATCGATCTGTGGATCAGAATAGAGATCAGAGAATCATCTTACCTTCCATTCAGGCCAGTTGTAAGGGTCAGCCGGGCCCATTCCGGGAATGGGATCGAGGTTCAGTGTGCCATGTCGCTCGAGGAGATAGTCTCGATGGGCCTTGGGGAGACGAGCCGCCAACGATTCTTCATAGGTGGCAGCCTGGCCGGCTCCTGCAGACTCGACCAGATCAATGTCGGTCTTGGAGGTGTGATTTTCGGCCTGCTCGGCCTGCACGACCGGCTCCGTGTGTCCAGCCGCCCTCGAGGAGGACGGTTGCAATTCTAGGGATGTCATGACACCTCCCGATAACGATCAAAACAGGAGAAGAAAGATCGAAAAGGATCTAGAGATAGGTGGAATGAAGAAAAGAAGACGACTCCGTTGAGTTGACTTGCGTTGAGGCAGGGCGAAGACGAAAATCCGGGACTCTTGGCGTGCCGAAAAAGCCGAAGTGAGTGCGGATAGCGGACAGAGACAACTGGGGTAAATTTTGCCCGCCTCCGTCGGCTTCGCCCTGGAGATGCGGAGGTCTCCACGGCCCACTGTTCTTTTGCCTCCTCGGCTTCGGCCTGTCACAGTGCATACTCCCGTGGGCCCCGATGTCATGTGGCTTAAGTAACACTTGGACCTGGCATTTACAGACGGCAGCCCGACTGCTGCCAGGCCCCCGGATCGGCATTCTCAGTGCCTAACAAGTACCGATGTATACAGCTTAGCCCTGAGAGCCCCGTCAATCCCCATATTTGAACTCCAGAATCTCACCGGAATTTCCGGGTCGCCTAGGTCAAGCCCTTGGTGCCAAATGAGGCACAGTCTAGTACCCTTTGTACTTTCCGGTCAGCACAGCCCGGTCTAAAGGTGCCCGATTTTTCTCATTGTGGGACGCGTACTCGGTGAAGCCACTATAGATAGGCCGTAAGGGGTGGAAATCCTTTCTAGTGAAAGAACCGTTGGATGGCGGAGGCAATTTAATTGCGACCACACACTTTCCCCTCAAAGCCACGGGCCCGACAGATGGAATGCAGAAAGAACCCCGGGAAGAGATAGGAAAAGGAACCCTCAGGGAACCAAAGAAAACGGGTCGGCCGGCCGTAAGCCCCACGATGGTTCAAGGGTGCCACACCCCACAATCTGCCCTCTCCACACTTCTTCCCTCTTGCATCCTCCCACGCTCCGATAGCATCATGGCTGAGATCATGGCACCCTCGGCAGGGGTTAGAAAGTTGGTGTGTCGTTTATGTCAAAAAGGATTTATCAAGGCCGAGCATCTACGAGTGAGTGTCCACAGCCCCACGATGCTGTGAAGAAAGTTATGCAAAAGAATATGAGCACTAATATGCTTACATAGAGGCATGAGCGTTGCCGTAGGTACTCCTGATGCATGGCTATTATCAATCATGATCCCTCCGGTTCAATCCGTGATCTGTTTGCTGATCGGAACTAACTCTAGATACCGGCTCCAAACCATACGTTTGCAAAGAGTGTCGCCGTCCATTTGCCCGGCAGGATGCGCTTACCCGCCATGAGAAGCTGCACCTGCGTGATGTCAACGTGAAGAATGGTCCTTCTCCCGCTTCGATGCCTTCGGCATCATTGGATTCTACTCCATCGTGGGATACTAGCAGTGCTTCAACAGCAGGCCCGGCTTCAACATCTGCCACTAGTCACTCCTGGGGAGACTCGGCATCTAATCACCATTCGAACATGCACAATGTTGCTTCCGATTTGGATTTTGCTCTTATTTGGCCAGACTCGGAGGATCTATTCCAGAGTCTGATGTCCTCCGATACGGCAGATCAATGGCAGATGCCCTTAGGAACACTGCCTTTTCCACCTGTCGTGCAGGATGTCAATGGAATGAATTTTGGATCTCCCAATTCTTTCCATGATCGGAGCTCCTCAGTCGGTGCAATTCCTTCGGGGGGAGGCCATCAGGCTGTGCGGGATGTGACGGAAATGGTGACCAGCTCGGTAAGTTGATCCGGGGCCTTACACCATCACTGATTCCTTGGCAGGAAGGCTCATGCACTAACTTCTCCATTTGGCAGTCCTCGAGCGTTACAGCAGCAGTCAAGGCCACCTCCATCACATCGGTCTTTCTTGATGAATGTCTGCACATGTTCTTTGTCCGTTTCATCCCGACCTTTCCTGTTTTACACAGAGCCACCTTTGTGTTCAGGGAATGCACCCATGCATTGTTACTGAATGCCATCGCCATTGGATCCTTGTACCTTGGTCCTAGTGACTCCGTGGCCAAAGGCGAAGCTCTCTGGCGACTAGCCCACACTGCCGTCGCCACATCATGGCAGTCTTTGATCACCCATAACGGCCCCTATGATACCTGCAAGGGAGTACAACTCATGATCACAGCCCTTCTGGGCCAGATATATGGTGCTCTATCCAAGAACCGGGCCATTCGAACAACAAGTCAAGTCTTCCGCCCGCTGGGTTTCTTCTGGGCCAGGCATTGTGGCATGTACGATAGCCAGCCATACTCAATGGAGAATCTCCCCTCCACTGATGCACCTGCCGCAGAAAAGGATCACCAGTGGAGGATATGGTCTGCAAGGGAAATCCAACAACGTGCCCTATTGGCATACTATGTGCTCGATGGGCTTGTCGCCCAAATGTCTGGCGATGGTGCTTCCGCTCGGCATGTTTCCAACCCCTTGAGCCTTTCTAGTAGCGAGGCTGCCTTTGATGCTAGCAACGCCGATGAGTGGTTAGTACATATGCATTCCCAGAAGCCCGATCAATCATCCTTCCGCGCCGTCTTCCGATCGTTGTTCCCTCCCGTTGGGAATTTCCGGGCCCTGGATTATCAATTTTCAGCATTTTCTCTTCGCGTCGTGCTTGAAGGCCTCCAGTCATTAATCTCAGACTGTGACGATCATGAACTCACTGTCGGTGTGCCCAGCCTGTCAGATGTGAGAAGAGCATTGGCTCAGGTCCACGAGACTATCTCCATGAGTATCCATTTCTCTGCCGCTGAACGACTAGAGATTTTGCTACGATGGCACACAGTCTGCTTGGACACTATGATACACTCTACTGTTCTATCTCGTCATGTCTGTTCTCGCTACAATATCCCACAGCATGTATCTGGTGGCAGTCGAACAGTTGAACTCGGGTTCGATCTTTTAGAATGGGCCAGTACTGAAGATGCCCGACGTGCAGTACTACATGCCGTCGCCATCCAAGATATCGTCGAGCAATTACCTCGTGGTCGTGCCCATGTTGTACACATGCCAAGCTCTCTATTTGCCGCCGCTACAATCTACGTTGTCTTGTCTCTTGCTGGCGCGGCTACCGTTAACCTCCCCCGCACAATTGTCTGGCAGGAAGCTTTGCTTTCCCATTCAGACCTCCATCTGGGCGACGATATTAGACCACCCTCTGGCTCGGACACTCGGCGCTTCGTCGAAACGGAACAGGGACTTTCGTCAAATCCCTCGGGTGGCGCTGTTCGGAATCTCCTTTACGAACTCAACTCAATGCAGAAACTCTTTCGCTGCCTATCGTCGCAATGGGGCATCGCTCGGGATATGGAAGATATTGTTGCTGAATGGATTCAACTCTGCCATTAGAAGTGGAGCTGGTCTCGATTTGATGATTTGGCGTTTGCTAGCACTTTGTAACTATGCGTGGTCGCTATATCTAATGAGTCATGGATATGAGCAACTTTTATTTGGGTTGATGAACCGTTTGAACGCCTTTAATGGAAACCCCAATGTTGAACTTGCTTAACCTAGAAAGTCCTACATATTCCAAGTAATTTCCCATAGTTACAATCGTTGTGTAGCCATGACATAGCGTAGCCTAGCTACCTGGTCATCGAAATTTTTGGTATCTATCAATGCTTAGGATCGTGACAAGCTTTCAAGGCTGTGAATTGCTTCACACAAAAGCACTCATAAACCCTTAATGCATGGATTTTCCTGTTACAGATACAGGTCCCCATCTCTACGGGGCAAAGTCCATTCTAAATATCCACATAGTGAGCTGAATAAACTTAAAACGCACGTGATAGCCAGCTTAATCGGAAAAGAAATACCCCTTCTAGGGTTAGACGCGGATAAGCACGCGTCGCGTCCGCGCCAGCGAAAGTATCGATGAGACAAAACCCCGCACAAATCAAAAGCCTTTCTTCGTCTCCACCCGCGCCAAGCCACCGAGCCTCTGCTTTGAACGTCCGGTATGTGGTCCCAATGATGAGCGATGAGAGTGTATACTCGTTCGTCAAACAAGACCACTAGCCAACATAGAGACTATGTCTGATGTTACCAACTCGCGCACTCCGGCTTCGGGCCGGGGCCTGCAGCTGAACAAGAGACAGGAAGAGGCGTTGATTCGAATTTCCAAGGAGCGCCAGGGTACCAACTATTTCAGCGAGCATTCTAAGGCTTTCTGGCTTGAGATTTCCAAACTTCTCTTGAAGGAGACCGGTCGTGTGTATTCGTGGCAGTCTTGCCGGCGTCGCATGACTGCATGGGAATCGCCTATCATGCGTGCTCCCTGTGTTCACCGGGAGAAGCCATCTTATCCTCGTGAAGAACTTGAGGAAGTTGAGGAAGAGGCTACCCATTCCTCGGCCATCACCAGGAGGAATTCCAGCCCTCCCGTCTTGGAAGAGAGGGACAACGACCTGCCTCATCCTCCATTCATCTTAAAACGCGCCATGAACTCAACTGAGCACCCTGTTCAGCAGGAGATCATCGATCTGCACTGCAACGTAATCGACCTTGTGCAGTGTACCATGACCTCTCTTGAGGCTCAGGTCAAATGCCTGACCAACATCCTCGCCACCAACAAGAACTCATGTGAAGCTATCACCGATGCCCTCCACCTTCTGAAGGGGGAAGTCACCAAGGCCATCAGCGATTACGAACGCTCCAATTAGAAGCCTTTCCATCAGCAAAGTGCACTTCAAACGTGTATGTTTGCTCCCTGTATCTCAGTAATGCCGAGAGTGGTCGATGCGGTCTCGTTTGTTCTATGCGTTGCGGTGTTGGAGGTGTTTTGCTCCCATGATGTGATGACCTGATTCCGCTACAAAGCTTCTCAAGATACCCCACTTTGTACATCGGTCGTGATTATTATCATGGCTTGAATGTTTTTCTCGTGTTTCGAGATGTCCCCATTTTCTATTAGCAGGCGCTCCAATTGGCATAATAATTCGTTTTTTTAGTTTCTCAGTTAATCAATAGTTACTCAGTTGTTAGTATCTGGTTATTGTCCATATGCCGACCATGGGTACATGGTTCACTATCCAACGGGTGTTCAAATGGGGGTATATGAATGACTACATAGTAGCAACTCAAATCCTCATTGCGTTTCATTGTGATATTTTCAGGATTCTCTAAGAGCAAAAACAAGCAAGTCGTTGACCATATAGTCTAGTATGCAAATTATTGAATATTTCATATCCCGCCATCGATATTGTATCCACGCGCACGAACGTCCCCTTATACCATTCCCCTATTTTCTTCCTTGACCTGGTCTCACGCTTCATCCTCCTCCTTAAACCAGGCCTTGTCCGGCCATGCAGGAGCATACTCTGATTTCATGTCTTCGGTGCCTACTTTATCCCCACCGAACTTCTCATGCTTGAAGATTTCTTTATCAAACTGGAAACCGGAACCCTGCTCGGATATTCCGAACCAGTTGGTCTTGTCATCGACCTCTCCAGTGTACTGTTCACCGGCGAAGGCCTTTTCCTCCTTGACTTTGATCATTGTGTCATTTTCAGTGTCGCTGTCAATTTTGACAGGCTCTCCAATGACGATAAGAGCGTCCGCATCGCTTTCCGCAGCACCGTCAACGTCGATCAAACTTTCAGTCAGAGTCGCTTCGCCAGCCTTAGTGCCCTTGGCCTTCTGCGTGGCGGTAATCTTCGCCTTGGGCTTCGCCTTGGTGACCTTGTGAGCACGAATACGCGGGCCATCAGGCGAAGGGCTCATAGCAACGTTGGAGTCGCCATTTGCTTCTTCAGCAATGAGCCGTGCGGACAATTTGCGCATCGGGCGCATCTTGTACTCGATACTGTTGAAAGTCGAGCCTTCACCATACATCACAGCGATTTGGCGATAATCCAGCTGTCATACCGTCAGATCAGATCCTTGCTGTGCGTTTTGATTTGTGTGCTTACCCTGAGCTTGGGGTTCGCGGCGAGAATCGCCGCTAGAAGTCTCTCGGTCTTGATAGCCATGGTGGTCTCGAAGAGAGAATATCAGAAGTGTCTTGAATGAATGGGGTTTTAAAAGACTCCGGGGAATCGATTTAGAGAGTGATTTGTCGCAGGAGCTGGGTGGGGAGGAGGATAAGTCGCAGAGAGACTAACAGAGTTCAGAATGTAATTGACTATGAGCTGACGAAAGTCGATGATGGAGTGAAGATGGAAAGAAGATAGGTTGACGAACGTGGGTTTTTATACCAGGTCACGAATGCCAGGAAAGAGGATTTCTCGGGAGCAGGACCCAGGAGGACCAGAATTAACTCACCGAAAATGGGACGTCCCGCTTGAGCTTGGATGTTTATGTCTGCGAAGAATGAGGCTGAAGCGAATTCCTCTCGAATGAAACAATCAGTTCTAAGGTCAAGCAAAGATATTATTTGGCAAAGAGAACTCTGGACAGCGAGAATGTCTTCCGTTTCAACATGAGAACCTCATCGAGGAAAACTCATCGAATGTCTTTCACTTCCGCAACCTCCGATCCCAGTGTACTTCCTCCTCTTCAGACTTACGCCATTCCATCGAGGATATTACCCAATCTTTTAGATCCGTGTTGCGGAGTAAAAGATATGGAAGGCCCGACAAAAGGCCTTCGCCTTGTAGCGATCAAGATGTCCTGCACATTGGATACTGTAGCATTGGTCTGTAAGAAATATGCATAGCCTGATTTTGATAATTTGACTAGCTGTCAGTGGTCAACCATGGTCAGAACACAAGCAAATGAGGTAAACCCTGAATCAGACCCTCCTTAGTCGGAACTGTATATCCATATTATAGAGGTGCTTTCTCTTGCAATCCGCATTGTACTTTCAACTTTGGAACTTCCGCTACAACTGCTGCGCGTCATGTCAACCACATCTTTTCGTATCTGCATTGGCGGAAAGCCACTCTGTGCTCGCTTTACACAAGTCAATTCTCTGTGTTATGACCTGGCAGCGAAAGCTAGATCTCGATGTCTTGAAAGATCGTGAGACGTACGGCGGGCGAGGCATACGTGTATACAGTGACCAGACTAGACGAGGCCATACACATCTTGACTAGAATAGACTTGGCTTTTCAGTCAAGGAAACACGCGTACATTTTGTGTGCTCGATGGATATCTACTGGGAAAGAGGCGAGATGAAGAATAACAGCCCCGAAAACATTGAGGTACATGCTAATTAACACAGAGAACAGAAACACATCGAGGCTGATCATGGGGTAAAATCTATGGCAGAATCAAGTAAGGGGGAGCACGGCAAATCAATGATTGAGGAAACCGGTCATATCCTTCATTTCTCCTAAGTTGAACACCCGGTCGGCATTTCAGCCCTGCTGAGATGGCTGCCCCGCCCCGGAGCTGGGTGGAGTCGATGATGCCCAGGGGCCGCTGATGAATTGAGGATCTGATGTTGCTATCCGCGAGGAAGCTGGGGCACCCGAGCGTTGGCCTTGTTGGACTGTCGGGGGGCCAGGATGGTATTGGTGGGTGGCGCCAAGGTGGTCAGCTTGCTGCTGAGGCAAGTACTGTTGAGCCCCTACCTGAACAAGGGGGTTCTGATACTGGTGAGAATTGCCGTGCGTATCGGGGACAGCGGGAAAGCCGAGCGCGCCAAAGCCAGGTCCAGATTGTGCTCGTGCCATGCTAGTACTGTGGTATTGCCCGTGTGCACTCGAAGGCTGCGACTGATAGCCCTGTGCAGAATGTGCCCCTGCAGCTTGATCTGAGAAGCCTTGCTGATAAAAAGATGCAACCTGTTGGGAATGACTTCCGTCTAGTGGATACCCCATGGGTGACTGTAACTGGCCCCCGGAATGAGTATTGAATGACCCGTGCATGGGTTCAGGTCCTGTTCGGCCGTCACTGGGCTCGCCGCTTAGGTTCAAAGGATTTGAGAAATGCGAAGATTGGGGAGCCATGTTACTCGTAGAGCTACCCATAGCCTGTGGCGTATATTGTGAGCCAAAATAAAGCTGTGGTAGATTTGAAGAGCCCGTCCACTGCGACCCGGGGTTCGAAAGAACGGGTTGATGTGACACCTGCCATGCAGGTTCAGACGGGCGGTGTTCAGATCCGGGGTTAGGCAAATGGCCCGCAGCAGCACCTTGTGCCGACTGTTGGCGGAATGGGATGGGTCCCGGAGCATGACCTTGGTATGGGTTATTGGTATGGTCCAGGTTGTAGGAACCTGATTGACCCTGAGCGCCGTCTCCATTGCCGACCCAGTGTGTCCTAAGGTATGGCTGTCCGAAGGCCTGTTGACCCATAACTTGCTGAGGGTGATTCGAATAAGCCCCCGTTGGACCCATACCCGTGTTTTGAGAATAACCCCGCTGCTGTGATTCCTCGAAGGCCATTAGCGACATCCACTGTTCTCAAGACTTGAAACATCCAGCATACCGCGTTATACCCGCCATGACCAGGTACGAGGCGTTGCCCATGGTGATATAGGAAGTGTTGCCCGAGTTGGTTCGTATACCATCCCGTCTCCGAGGACCCATGCGGGGGGTTTTGAGATTGCGCATTAAGCTGGGCATCCATAGAGCTCTAACCAGCCATCAGTGCCACTCTTGCAACGTTCTCGCAGACATGACGAGTTAAACTCCATACGGAAATTCTCGCGCCGTCCGCCAAAGAGCCTATCCGCTCAGCCAGTGTGTTTTCCTGCCTAACTTGCGGGCTGTTTGTTGATGGTCTCGAGGGTGGTGCTTGCGAAGGACCAGTGCCGATAGATATGGGTGTTGTCGATGGCGTCAGTACAACTGGCTCAGTTGGAATCTCCCATTGCGATTTGCCAGTCGTTCGCTGGACGTAGTACCACTTGCGCTGGACTCCCTCCCATTGCGCCAGCCTGAGGTGTCGTTAATATTGGGCAGAAAGCCAGATTGTAGAGCGGGCTTACCATCCTTCAGGAAGTTGAGGCGGGGGAGATGACGGGCCTGCGGTATCTGCAGGGGCATCTCGCGCCATTGTAGGTGATAGGCAAAGAGACACCAGGTGGCATGGTAAAAGGGATGTGCTGCGATTAAGAACGCGCTAAGAGGATCCTGTGGGGCACTGAGGCTTGGCTTGGCGATCACGCTTTTGGATCTGTTGTACATTTCTAGTGGAATTTTATAACCTAGCCCTCTCATACCCATACCCCTATTCCCTGATTCCCCGTAATTTTGTGATAAGACAGGACGTGAATAAGAATAAAAAAAAAGAGAAAAGACCGCACCCTCTAACTAGTATCCTAAACTATCCCATGTATGACGCCCTGAAAAAGATCGCGCCGATAAATAAGCCAGGTTATTAATACTCGAGGAAGAAAAGGATATCGTCGCCAGGGGTTCCGGCCTCAATCTTCGTAATTGTCACCATTCCAGTCCGAGTCGTCGCTCGGTTCATCATCAAGGAAGTCATTTTCGTTAAATTGCATATCGCTAGGTCGTTGGTTGTCAATTCGAATCGATACCACGTCGCACATTCCTTGCACATCGTTTTCATCAAATCGAGATAAGTCAAATGAAGTCACCTCGGAGTTTTCGTGGGCCTCTGAGGCCTTGCCCTCGGCCAACCGCGAACTGTGGCGTTTAGAAGGGGTTGAGAGCTCACTGCCAGCAGTGCCCGGACGCGAAGTGACCTCGGCTTTATCAAATTTAGGGGGAATGTTATTTAGCTCTCGCTTGCGGAGGGAGCGTAGATTTGGGTTTGGGGGTTGACTGTGTCGCAAAAAGGTTTTTTCCAGGCGGCTGATCCATCGCTCACGGAAGTGCGCACGATCACGCCAGGGAATCCTAAGAATCGCGCTAATTACCAGTTTTCGAAGGTCTGGCAGTTTCGGGGCGGAATCGATCAATGACATGAAGAATGATTCTGCCGTGCTATGATCCAACCGTCGGAGTTGGATTAATTCGATCTCCTGCAGACTTTCTGGCCATGTCGGTATCTCGGACTCCTTGATGAGCTCAGTGAAATGAGGCTCAGTGTCATGGTAGGTAGACACATCATGAATGGAAATGTCCATCTTGAACCTTCTCAGCTTTGGGCAATAGAGAGCGAGGTCGGTGCTAAACGCCATGTTCAGATGCCGGTTGTGACTCAAACACAATTCTCGCAGATGTTGGCCGTGAGACTTCATGAACTCCAGAAACGATTTGGAGTAGATACGGTCGCAGTTGGACAGGGTGAGTGAGCGGATGGTCATAGGAAGTCGCGGTAGGAAACTGTCTTTGACCACAGTGCACTCAATGAGGTCCAGGTGCTCAATCTCAGGAAGTGCTTGGAGAGATGTAGCAAGTGCGACTTCTTGAATGGTCAGGTCTTCGGGATCACCGTCACCAAGATGAAGCAGTCGGATTTTCTTCAATCCCTGAAAGGCAGGGCGCAGATGCTTCTCTAACATGAACGGTAATAGTTCGGATGTTGGAAGAAATCGAGCATTCCAATCCCAACTGCGAAGAACGAGCCCAGCTTGATCAATTGCTGCGAACAAAGGATTCGAATATAGCCACTTTGACGGTGTGATATTCCACGGCGGTATTCCGACAGTATCGTCATCTTTATGGTACAGTCGCAAAGTCTGAACCTGGGGTGTTCTCTCAACTAACCGAGAAAGGTCGAAGTAGCCCAATGTGGGACCACTCTTGTAAAGAAGAACCTGTTCCACGTCGACATGAAGCTCTTTTATTTTTGCAGCGTAGTTCAGTGTACATGAACTTGACGGCATGGAGAGAAGTTTCAGCAGGCTATGGCTCTTGAAGGTAGGAAGCAGAGGGGGAGTGTGGTAGAGAGCTGCAAGAGCGGGCTCATGGAAGGCTCGACATAACAGTGCCACATTTACAAGCCATTTGACCGAGTCAGTTCGGACCGACTGCTGTTCGTTGAGCAGCGGGTAGGATGCTCGAAGGAATATGTCAAACAAGACTTGGTATGGCAGCGTCTGCCACGGAGGGATGACTCCAGAGCCCAAAATGATATCGTCGTTTGTTTCTGCCTTCTGTCGCTTTCTCAAAGGCTTCCCTGGTTCGTTCTTTATCGTCCGGCGTCGTTTAGGCTTTGATGATTGCGAAGGAGCCGTGCGCCGAACAGCCCGACGCCTCGGAGCGTTCGCAAGTCGAGGCATCGGCTCAGTAATTGCTTGGGAAGCAATCATTGATTGATCTGGGGGGTCGACAGGAGCCATGTCATATGATTCAGCATCACTCTCATCGGGTATGTCACCCCAGTCTGCATCGGTCGACTCTTCGCGATAAGATGGGGGTATATCACGAGGTCGCAAAGTGAGCGAGGGACGGCGAGATCTGCCATACTCGGCATCCGCATCAAGATTGGCATCGTCTTCTGATGTGCTCTCATGATAGGTTTGAACTCGCGTACGGTTTTGACGGATGGGGCGATGGGGCCTGGCGCGCGGACCGGAGCGCGATGGAGCCATGGCGAAGTGGGGAACACTATCTTAGATGTGGGCATGCAGCAAACATCGTTTGAGGACATGCGCAATCAGGGCGACTACCACAAATATGCTGCAGTATGTTCCAGGGACGAGACCGGGCTTAAATTGATAGTTGATGTCAATACGAATACCGCGGTGGACCGGAGATATAATTATCCTTCATGTTTATTACTTATGTAATCTAGAATCCCCCTATAAATTGGCAGAATCAGGGGTAATACAAGAACAGAGCTTTTGATATCGTTGATTGGTTGCATATAAAACATTCCGACAGTTATGAGCCCGGTTCGCATCATATAGAGGCATTTGTGGGTGAATAAGGAAGCAATTGATATTGCTATATCACCAGGAAACACATCCGTCGACCATACTCGACCCTCGACCCCTGAACCAACCTGAACCAACCAATACAACAGACGACATCCCCCCCTGAGGGTATTCCTTCGACCGGAACACCGCAATGGAGGCAGTATCCATCCTCTCCGCCATGAAGGGCGATAAACTGAAGGATTCGCCGCAGTGGCGCACGTGGTTTGCCCGCGTAAAACTGTATGCGAAACAGAAGCGAGTCTGGGACTTATGTGACCCAGATATCGAGAAAGAAGACCGTCCGAGAGGTTTGAGAGAACCGTACGAGCCGGAGTACCCTGAAGATGGGGATACAGAGGAAAGAAAGGAGTGGCGAGACCGTATGGACGTCTATAAAGTCGCATATGCAAAGTGGGAGAAACAGATCAAGGGACTGGATGACGTGAATGAATATATTATCTCCTTCCTTGATCCTATCCACCATCTTGCATTGATCGATTATGAGACGCCGTACGACCGCCTGGTGTACCTAAAGTCTCGCTTTGCCCGCTCCAGCGCGTATGAGGAGGAAATTCGCATGAAGTGGAGGTTATTCGCCGTACAGAAGCCAAAGGGGAATATCGATCAGTGGTTATCGATATGGGACACCCTAAGAGAGCAAGCTGTTAGCCTTCATCTTGAAGAAGTCAAAAGTGCGAATAGGGACTTCTTGCAAGCAGTGAAAGAGGTGTTACCTATCTGGTGGCAGGCTAGATATCAAGAGATTGTTATGGATAGAAAGCCGTACGACACCAGAGACCTGATTGAATCATTCCGCGCAATGTATCGAGAGATCGGTCCCAAGCAGTCGTCATCATCAGAACTGAAGGGATCATTCTCTACCTGGCAGGATCATGAGGAAGAAACAGAAGAGACGCCAAAGCCGACCCCTCTTCCTTTTGATAAACGACCATGCCCATGCGGACGCACGAACCATCGGCATCGGGTTGCAACGTGCTATGCCCTGAATGAGGCCGCCCGACCTTCCTGGTTCAAGCCAAACGATGAGACGCTTCAGAAGATCAAGAAGAACTTTGCAGCGGATCCTGCATGGAAGAAATGGGTCGAGAAGGTAGTCAAAGACGCGAATGAGGTCAAACAGAAGCCTCAAGACTCCGCGCATGCAGTGCACGAACGGACAAATAGTGCCCGTACAGACATCCCGAAAGAAGATCCGGTTGATATGTGTTTCCTGACGCAGTCGCCACAAATCAGTGCCGAAGTTTTCTCAGCAAGCCATAAGGCTAGATCAACCATCCAAGACCGTTGGATACTGGACACTGGAGCTTCAAGGCACATCTGCAACGATAAGAGTCGGTTCATCAGCCTTGAACCGTACGAAACAACTCTCGCAACCGGAGATAGCAGCACAGAAGTCATCGCACGTGGTACGGTCAAACTCATTGGAAGAAACCCCGAAACAGGCAAGAAGAGAGTAATATCCCTAAGTGATGCACTCTATTCACCGGGCTTCCACACCAACTTGGTCTCATACGCTGCATTGTTGAAGAAAGGCGGTAGATGGTGCCAGAAATCCAACTGCATTGTCGACACCGACAACCGACCTATAGTGAGCGTGCACCTATGGGATAGTATGAATCTCTGGCTATTCGACGAACCAGAGGAAGTCGTATATCCCCATGCACACGCTGTGCGATCATCAGAGAAGCCACTCGAAGCGAGGGCTTCAGCAAACCTCTGGCATCGTCGTTTCGCGCATATAAATCACAAGACAGTGCACAAACTAGCTTCGATGGTCGATGGAGTGACTATTGAGGACGGGAACGAAGAAGAAGCACTATGCGAGACATGTCAACTAGGCAATGCACCCCGACAGGTGTCAAGAAGGCCAGTTGGACGCACCTTTGGGCGCTTTGGAAGAGTGCATTTCGATTTAATCCAGCTACCAGTGGCGTACAATGGTCATCGATGGATATCGCACTTTGTTATTGAAGGTATCAGGTTTCACTGGATATCTACCCACGAGCTGAAGAGTCAATGTCAGCTCGCGATTAACCAGTTTGTCCAGCTTGCAAAGAATTGGTGGGATTTGCCGATCAAAGCATTCCACTATGACAATGAGAAAGCTGCAGGACGGTCCGCAGAATGGAGTCTTACCTCCGATGGAATCGTCGTATATCATAGCCCACCGGCACACCCAGAGATGAACGGGTACGCCGAGAGAGCAGGAGGTGTGATCATCCTTAGAATGAGGATGCTGATGCTTGAAGGAAAGCTTCCAAAAGACCTCTGGCCCGAAGCTGCACAAGCAGCAGTGTGGCTCCTGAATAGAACACCAACGTATATCTCCACCGAGAATCGTTGGGTTGTGCCATGGGAAGAGGTTCGAAAGGACTTCGCTGGCGATCGAATGCCGAAGATCAACCTATCGAATGTTAGACTGTACGGAAGCCTCGCATATTGCCGTATCCAGAAACAAATCCAATCGGACAAGATGAATCCACGCGCAGAAGTCGGCTTCCTGGTTGGATATATGGCCTCAAATGTGTGGAAGATCTGGTTTCCACAGTCCGGCAAAGTGCGGTTTATTCGCGATGCGGTATTCGATGAATCCCGAAAGTATTCACCCGAGTTCGCGCATTATCAGCCTATCCCACTGCCACTTATCAAGGAACCGCAGGAACTGGATAGAACAGAAGTCCAGAAGGCGATGCAGACATCGATCACTACCGGGATAATGCCTGAGGAAACTGGTACGCTACCAGAGCGAAGAGACTCTCGGAATGACGATGATATAGACCGACCTACCATAGGTCAGGGGGTGGAGGAGACGGAAGACCATAATCGTCTTTTCAGCCGAAAAACCGTCTCTTCCCTAGCGCAAAGAGAGGTGCCTGGCGCTTTCCCTGATGAAATTCTCCCCCATTACCACCGACACCACCGGACGAAGAGGCTCCGGACCCTGGTCAGGGGGTGGAAACCGACCCAGAACCAGTCGTGCGAGACCAGGCCCCAGAAGCCATCGAGTGCATCGAACAAACCGACACAGATCATCACCAGAGAGAGGTAAGTGTGGAGGACGAGCTTGAACAACAATTGCAGACAGAACTGGCAAGGGAAAGAGCGCCACGGGACATCAACGGCGACGTGAATGCAGACAACATTGTGAGCGGCCGAAGGACGCGTCGAGCACGACAGGACAATGATTATGCAGCATATACAACAAGGATTGATGAAGAAGAAGAACCACCGGCCTTCCTTCATGCTTTTGCGGCAGGGTTATACGCAGAGAAACCAGATAGCCGTCGTCATCGCGATGACCTTCCAGAACCACCGAAGCACTGGAAGGATGTCATAAACCATCCCTTCCAGGAAGGTTTCCTCGCAGCAATGAGGAAAGAACTCGACTCTCTGGCACAGAAAGAGACGTACGATGTGGTGGAAAGACCAAAAGATAGAGGCAAGCAAATCCTTCCCCTGCTTTGGGTATTCGCCTATAAATTTGATCAGGACGGTTACCTCTTGAAGCTAAAAGCACGTATCTGTGTACGTGGCGACCTAGAAACGATCTCATCCGAAGAGAAGCGAGCTGCAACGCTTGCAGCACGTACGGCACGTATGATCTTTGCCTTGGTCGCAGCATTTGACCTTGATCTACGACAGCGGGACGCGGTGACGGCATTCCTGAACAGCAAACTAAACAAGGAGACATACACGAGGATGCCAGAAGGTTTTGAATCCCCAGGGAAGTGCTGGAAGCTCCACCGAGCTTTGTACGGGTTGCGTATATCGCCGCGCCTGTGGCAGCAGGAAGCAGCGGGCGTCCTGCAGAAGCTCGGGTTGCGACAAGTCCCTGAGGATCCATGTGTCTTCGTAGGCGAAGGAATCCTTGTATTCTTCTATGTCGATGATATATTAATTGCTAGTCACCGGTCAGCAAGAGAACGAGCGCAGAAGCTCGAACGGGATCTCGAAGACCACTGGGAGCTCACTGATCATGGCGATGCAGGCTGGTTTCTGAATATTCGGATCATCAGAGACCGGAAGCAAAGGAAGCTCTGGCTATGCCAGGATAGCTACATTACCAGTGTAGCTATGCGGTATAACCTCACTGAACGTGCACCAGTGTTCACCCCGCTTCCAGTTGAGGAGCTGAAGCCATACGAGGGCATTGCAACACCCAGAGAGATCCATCTTTATCAACAGAAGGTTGGATCTGGTGGATATGCAACCACGATCACTCGTCCGGACGCTGCAAAGGCAATGGCAAAGTTGGCGCAGTTCCTTACCAACCCCGGCCCTCAACATCATCATGCTGCAGACAGAGCGCTATCATACCTCTACACCACGCGATACCTCGCCATCGAGTATTGCCAGAATAGCGGACTTGAATCTGTGCGGCTTGCAAGTGATGCATCGTACGGTGACCATGAAGACCGGAAGAGTTCAGCAGGATATATATGTCAGGTGTACGGTGGCCCCGTGGATTGGAAGGCTACCAAGCAACGTACAGTGACTACTTCCACCACTGAAGCTGAACTATTGGGTTTGTCTGATGCAGGTAAGCACCTCCAATGGTGGAGGAGACTACTTGGGCATGTGGGCTTCATACCCTCCCATATCATCACCATTCAGTGCGACAATGAGCGAGCAATTGGTCTGCTCCAAGGAGACGACGTGGTGTTTGACACCAAGCTCCGACATGTGGATATACACCACCACTGGCTACGCCAAGAGGTCAGGGCAGGTCGAATCGCCATTAGATGGACACCTACCGCAAGTATGGTGGCCGATGGACTCACCAAGGTGCTCCCGCGACAAAAACATGACAATTTCGTCAGGTTGCTGAATATGGTGGATATAAGTCACCTGATTGACTAGTCCTAAAGAGGAAATCAGAGGCTGTTTTGCAAAGACCACGGTTTCGTGCGAATTGGATGCATTCCAGCAATCTCAGGACGCCTGAGACCGCTGAGGGGGTGTGTCAATACGAATACCGCGGTGGACCGGAGATATAATTATCCTTCATGTTTATTACTTATGTAATCTAGAATCCCCCTATAAATTGGCAGAATCAGGGGTAATACAAGAACAGAGCTTTTGATATCGTTGATTGGTTGCATATAAAACATTCCGACAGTTGAAAGGAACCTGGCTTTCAAGGCGGATGCAACGGCAGGAACGATCACCCGTTATCGATAAGCCGATGATATCAGACTAAGCCAGATGAGGACTAGGGTACCACGTGACTACGGGCCAGGCAAAAACCCCCGCCCTCAGGCCAGAAGCTAAGCCAGAAAGGGCAGCACTAGATGGGACCAAAATAGAATCTCAGCTTCGGAGCTCAAATGGCGCTTCCAGCCACCTCGACACCCTCTCGGGATGTCTGACGGGTTTATCTTTCTACTTGGGTCGTACACGTTTATTGTCAGCCCTGAGTGTACAATAGTGTGGAACCGACTGATGTGATCGATGAAACTCATGATCGTCGGTCTACGTTGCGCTTGCTTTTCCCGTTCTGTGATCGGGGGTTGGCAGCCGTCCCGGCATCGGAATGGAAACCACATTCCCCGTGATGGAATCGAGTGATCATTCAAGCCGAAATGATGTTGGTCCTCCCCAGATGGTGATCCAGCAGTATGCGAGATACCCATCCACCCTGGAATCCGCCCTCCAAAGTGCTTCTTCGTTGGGAAGTGCTCGAAGTCAAGCAGAACTGAATAAATCACCCCCGCTACATCGCAAAGGAACTCCGAGGAGCCTACAGTCATCTCCGAGGGGAATACGCTCTGCGATACCTTCATCTTTGGCTGCTCGCTGCGGTCCGTCCATGTCTCCACCACTCTTCGAGGTCATGCGTCAGCATCAAATGAAGGATCCTACGGATCAAGCAGAATCCCGGGTATTACCCTCTAGAGATGTGACTGACGAGACAATTGATGATACTTACGTTATGTTTATTTTGTATTGCAACCCTAATGTCCCTTCCTCTGTTGATACCTCCGAGCTGAGGAAGACCTTTCGCTGCCCTCCACGCAGCGACGGCAAAAGCTTTAGTGTCTTCCGTTTATTTGAGCTCATCCGCAGGCTTGATAACAAAGAGCTCAAAACGTGGATCCAGTTGGCAATCGAGCTCGGAGTGGAACCTCCTTCAATGGAAAAGAAGCAAAGTACTCAGAAGGTTCAGCAGTATGCTGTCAGGCTCAAGGTAGGTTCCGACTCTCGTCACCGTTGGATTGCTTCTAATTCTGGATAGCGATGGATGCGTGCTATGCACGTAGATGCTTTCTTCGAGTATTGCTTGGGTCATCCTCATGCGTACTACACTCAGCTTCCACCCTCCGGCCCTTTCGTGAGCGAATCCCGCGACGGCGTACCACTGGAGGAGGATTTGGCGCTGCGAGCTTTGGTTCCTCAGTGGAAGCCTAAACGTGGCAGAAAGAGAGCCGAGGAAAAAGAACTTGAAGAGGAAAAAGTTACCAAAAGGCCCCAGCTAGACACTTCTGTGGCAGCGTTGCACCAGGGAAGCTTTCAGGACCACTCGGTTACATTTCCACAGAGCGCTATTCCTTTCAGTGCATACCCTGACACTGATGGCCACGATCCATGGATGACGGCGTCCTCTGCATTTCCCCAGGCGGGTGCATCAGACCAACACGGACAAGAACTTCGCTGGAGGCTCCCAGAGCGAGACACATCGCCAGCTGATTATCCCCAGTCAGCTATCATTCCAAGAGGAAACCAACCTGCTGATGTTATAATGTCAGCTGAGCCGATGTCGGCTGTCACGCCATCTTTGAGCGAAAGGAACCGTATTCGACGGCGACATGGCCCGGCTGTTTCATCTGCGTGGCCGAGTAACAATGGCTCATCGACTGGCAAGAGTCGAGGGAGGCCACCCAGTAAGCCATCGGTATCAGGGTCATTCTCCACCTTTCAAGTCAACCCTAGTCGAGAATCTTCACAAATTCCGCAAGGATCTAACGTTCTATCTTCTCCATTCCCGGTTGACCACAACTCTTCAACTTCAATCCCAACCTCTTACAACCATTCACCCACCCCAGCCAACAATGGAAGACCGGGTAAGCTTCAGTTGCAGGTTCCTCAACATCTGGGAGCCCCTGTGAGGTTAGCAACACCCCCGACGCTGTTGGTCAATGGAGTAAATGGTGCAGACATACCGCAAGCGGAGGGACCTCAAGACCCTCAACCTGGTGATAAAGGAGTCCCCGTTGAGAGCCAAGGCCTTGAGCGTTCCGACTCAATCATCCCTACGAATGAAATAATTCGCGCTTTATCCTATGAGCTTCCCCAAGCTCGTATTACAGGGAGGGCGGTACCCCTGAATCCTGAAGAAGCCCATGGTCTGGCTTCAGAAATGGTGGCAAGCTTTTTGACCATGCATTCGCATCTGCCAGGTGGTCTTCCATTTCCTCTTCTGGCTTTCTACCTCGGTGTCGGCCATCACTTCGATAATCCAGCACCTAATCCGGTAATGATCGTTATAAATGCCCATTCCAATTCTACAACTACCCATGCCGGTAGCGGGACTCAGGCATCTAATAACGGAACAAAATTCACCGTCTCGCTCGAGTACAGCCAATCATGTCATTTGTCTATGCAGATCGCCATTGGAACTCAAAACCGACCCACAGCAATTTCTGGCTCTTTCAGTGGGACTATGATAACAACACACCCTCCCGAAGCCACTGGGGATAATCTCACAGCCGAATTTGATTTTGAAGAAGAAGATCTGAAACATACTGTCTCCGAAACAACCTGGAGACAAAGATACCTCAAGCTGCGAGCACAGATGCAGAAGAAGGACCGTGCTTTGTCCCAATACAAACGCAACATCGTGGAATCGGTTATGGCCGATATTTAACGCCCTATTTGCCATTTTATTGCAAGCGTTCTATGCGAGAGAGAAAGAATTTTAATAGACTCTGTCTTATCCCTGTACGGCGATATGTCAGAGTTGCCAGTGGCCGCTAGAGCAGTAGATACGAAGAGATACAGGACATATATAACCAAATCCATCATGTCCACATTCATTCAGCTTCGATCCTGTTTGCTTGCTAGTCGCAGGGTTTTCCAAACAGGCCGGACAAATACATCTATGCACAGCAGTGATTAGGGGCATGTATAAAAACACATTTTGCTCGGTGGAATCAGTAATAATTACGTGTTTATAAGATATTTTAAATTGAATGTGTAAATTACCTTGAAGACCTCTTCTTGGATCTTTTCCTTGTATTCATTTTCCCAAATATTCCAAACTGCCAACAACCAGGAGTCAACCCCGCGAACATTCCCCAGCATTCAAATGTTTCCAACTGTATGCCTTCTACCATCATATTTCGCTCCCCTTTCATGCCATTTGCTCCTCTACAGCACACCGACGTGGGTTCCAATTGCCCACATTCGGGGTAGGTGGTGAACCTGGTCGCCTGGATGGTGGCTGATGTGGAGGGAAAGGGGCGCGAAAACGGTATTCACCGCAACAGGCCAATGCCACGCAGGGCTTATGATATGATGCACTATTTCTGGATTTGCAAAGTCATCGCGCGGCCCTCGTAGTCATTTAATGATAATAAGTGGTTAAGGCCAATTTTGCCTGTGAACGATACTGTTTTTTGGCCCAATGTTCTCCATTTTCTTGTCCTTCTCTTTTTGTAATGTCATGATACCCACAGATAGCTCTTCAAATTGTTTAAAGCTAATCATCATATCTTATGTTTCCTACATTGGTGAGCCTATTAACTATAAGGGAGTTTATTAATCCTCTAGAGGTGAATACAGGTAGAAAAGCGCGTGAAGAGAGTGCATCCCCTCACGTTTTCCTGCCAAATCCTCCGCTACCCGGACGCTCACTTTCCTTACGCCGACTCACTCTCTCTTTTATTTCATGGAATTATTTCTTTACGCTAACTACTCTCGTCAATATCACTTTGCCCTCTTTTAAGAACATTTTCAAGAACTCGACCTCAAGCTCGCCACAATGCCGATTCGCTGGACCGCAGATGCTGACCAAACTGTGAGTATTTCCACCTGCAGCCCGTTTACCTCGTATTTTCACAGACCGAACTGACAATTCGACTCTTGCACAGCTTCTTCTGAAGATTTTGGAGACCCAAGACCTGATCGTTGACTTCGTCAAAGTCGCAGCCGCATGGCGTAAATTCTATCCTCACTCTTGCAACTTTTGCCTAACAAATATCTAGCCGGACCCGCCGAAAGCCGACCCACCCCTCGTGCAATCAAGGAACGCCTCTTCAAAATCAAAGAAAATGCCAGAGATACTACCGGTCTCGCGCAGCCAAGCCCCTCGCCCCGCAAAGGACGAAAGCCTGCCACAAAGTCGACTACGCCCAAGAAGGCCGGCGTGAAGCGCAAGCGTGTATCCACGCCATCCCCCATCTTCACTGAGGATGAGGGAAAATATATTGCGGAGGATACCCTGGAGTATGAGAGCCTTGACCAGCGGGTAAAGCCCACTGAGACCAGTCGCGATGTTGAGGAAGACTCAGATGGCGAGGTTTAAGTCGGTTGAGGAAAAGCTACTGGCAGACTTCTGAGGAGCTGGCCTGTCTCAAACTGGAAAGATGATTTGTGATACATGAGCCTTTGTTGCTATTTGAATTTGCATCGCTATAGTGCGATGTCTGCTTTGTTTTTGATGTGCCCTCCGAGCTTCTAGGCTCTTGAGGCACTTCTTGCTGAAAATTGTCCTTGACATGAAAAGTTAGGAAAAAAATGGGAAAACGAAATGCTCCTCAGAGGTTCCAATTCCAGTTTTCGCTTTCGCTTCCTTGTGTAGACAACTGTAGTAAGCTGATAGATATGGGTCGGGCAACAAAGAAGGCGCTGGAACAGGCACAAAGGGAGGGAAGGAATCCCGCAGAACAACAGTTGAAGAAGGGGGATTCTGAGATCATTTTCCCCCGTGCACCTAGATAGGGGATGCTAGAAAGTGATCTTACGGGTCACGCGGGCCTGAACTGAGCTGCCATCCACGACCGAGTCAGAATCGACTTCATTACCAACCATCTTTTAAGCACACCTCAAATTTCTTCACGTACACGCGCCGATTTTCAGTGCTTAAACTGCTCATCCATCGCCATCATTCCGGTTGAACACTATCAAGCATATCAACAGATCCAGCATTCAACGCAGTCATGGTTACCTGGAGCCACGAAGCCGACAAGCGTGTAAGTTTCTGCTCCAAAGGACCTCATTCAGCACACAATGACATGGCCTGTACTGACTCGCTTTATAGCTGCTTGTCGAGATTTACAGCGCTGGGCCCAGCTCTATTGACTGGGAGGATGTAGCTCGCCGTTTCGGTGATGGTAAGTGCCACTTCCCGTATCCCCAAACACAGCTATGGAGCAGCTTGGCTGACAGAACTATCAGGATGTACTGTCCAGGCAATTCGGCAGCATATAAGGGTGCTAAAGAGACAGATAGAGGCTTCGTCTAAAGAAACCTCAGTCGCCGGCTCTGGTGTCTCCAAGGCCAAGCGTGCTGGCACTGGCCACAAACCCCTCAAAGGCGACAAGGAGCAAGTCGATAGCGATATTGAAGATAGCACTGCCCAGTCCGATGAGAACTAGCAAGTTTTATCCTCTGATCCTCTGTGCATCTACTACGTTGAGCTGTTTCCTTTTGACCTTTCCAAATCCTTTTTTTTTTTTTTTTTTTTCAGCGCACATGGGTCTAATAGCAAGGCTTTCTAATATCAAACCGTGGCTCTACTTTCTTCCATACCTCTTGTTTTGTTCTCTCCGTTAAGGTTCTGAGCTTTTTTTCGGCAAGGATGGCTTCATTTGCGTACAGCTAGTCCCAATTCTCAACTATCCACAGAACACAGGCTTCTATTTTGATTTTCTTTTCCTGGGAATATAGACGCCACTTCGGTCAAGGTTCCAGAGCGTCACAAGAGTCGTAGAGATACCTAATACAGCCAGTCTGAATCCATCAGATGAATGCGCGGAGAACTAAAGTAGTACGACGTGGTGCTTGAACAGCTTGAAGTGGAGAAAAGTAGCGTTCATGTCCTTTGGGAGGCGTCTCATTTGCAAGGGACTTCCATTACTTTTAACCATCTCAGTTGAAAGGCCATAGTTATTTACAATCCTAATATTTCCGGAAGTCAATCTAAAGCGCCTTCACTTCCCTCCTTCTCTCTTCCCGGTTCAACCATCTTACCCACCACACCCATCATATCTATCATGACTCTTGCACCGCAAACCTTTATTCACATTGAGCGAGGAAGCTGGTGCAATGGCTGTCAAAGGGGATTCTGAGGCTGATTACAACCTGGGTAAAGATATGTTATTGAGGGGTCAAAGTGAAGCTGAAGTTCTTCATTCACAACTTCAACTCTGCTTATCCGGATTCGAACTCGACTTGAGGCAGCTCCTCATCCACATGGCGGTTTGCAGTTTGCCTAGGATGGGTCCATAGATGGGAGAAAGTTGCTGAGCTCATGAGTGACGGTACGTATCAGAACCCGCCTCCTCAAGCGGTCTCACGCGGGTATATGGAAATCAACTGACATTTTGGCCCTGGTTGCACCTTGGCTCCCTCAAAGATCACCTCACTCCCCTAAAATCCAAATTCTAAAGTTTGAGTGCGATCCCTCCAGGGCTATCACTGCGGCGCTGCAAGGGACTACGTGCCGCAATTATCAAGGAAGACAACCGTCCCATCCGTGTCACTTTACGAGGGTAGCACTGCCTAAATTGTCACTTTGCGAGCAGATAATCATATTTCGTGGATACACATGAAGATTGTCAATGGTATTACCCTTTGGGCCAGACTCTTCGACTGTAGTCTGCCTTGCTCTTTGGCTCCCGATGTCTGCCTACGATCTACGAAAAAGCCTAGAATATCTTATATCACGCAATGCTCAACTTTCATGAAGTTAATCAAGTGTGGTTACTCTAAAGAGCTCTTTAAAGAGCTATTTCAAGTGCTAGAGAATTACATGAGGGCAGCCTTTCATCGGCTCCATCTTTCAGCCTATCCTTTCGAAGATTCTCCATCTTTATCGGAGCATCATGAAAAGCCATGCTCTGAACAACCTCTGGCTCTTCTTTGATCTTGGCTGGTGTCGGATCCCGCTGAATTGGGGCAGGGGGCTCCCATGTTATTACAGGGGCGTTGTAGAAAGCAGGTTGCTGTAAAGAGAAGTTATGCATATTGACATCATTTGGAAGGGCCATCGATGGAAATGAGTGCTCATAATGCGGTAGCGGAGGTGGAACACCCGATGTCATCGAATACTGCAACCCACGAGGCACATAGTGGGACATATGCGATGGATACGGCATGCCATTGGAAGAAATCATGCGCTGGAAATGGTGTTGAAATTCAGAAATCTCGGCAAAAGCTGAGTCTCCAGCATTCGTCTGCCTTCCAGATTCGCACTTGATGGATGTGCTTGATGGGAACTGGGAATCGGACGGCTCCATTTTTAGCGCCGACCCTAGAGCTGGCATTGGAAAAGGCATCTGCATTGACATGGGGAGTGGGGCCGATGCTGGCATATTACCCTTGCACCCGCCATTCTCGCCTTTTTTGATATTTTTCTTTCTTGGGGGTTTCTGGGCTGACGAGGGTTCCATCTGGGACTTGAATCGTGAATACCGCATGCGCGCAGCGTGGCCGTTAGAGATTTCGAGATCGGACGCAACCCGATTCCAATTGACCTAGGATTGCTTCGAGGTTAGTCATTGCTCCATCTGTAGATCGGTACGATCAGCAATTCTCACACTCCTTATGTCTAGCTGCTTAATAATTGCATAGAGAAATTTGGGCGTTGGGCCCTCAGTGTCCAAAACCTTGCTTCGTTGGCCCATGCTTTGACTTGGGTAGCCTTGGAACTGCTAACACTAAGGCTTTTGAGGCTATAGATATCTGGGGGTGGTGACTAGAGAAAGTAATTCAAATGCGACTGTGGAACACACTATGCAGCACACCCGCGGGTAATATATGTGGAGATGGCGCCCGTCAACACAGGATCCAGAGAATAGTACCTGTAAATATGTTTGTCCCCATACCCAGTCCCAAAGCTCATCTCCAATGTAAGAGGCAATGGTACTCAAAGGCGCCATTATTCATGGATACTACATGGCAGGAGATTGTTGTCTAACAAAATGATCTTCTTAGTGTTGGGAGATGCAATGCACGATTTCAGGCCAGCACAGCCATGTTGCGTCGCCGATCCCCCCAGAAAACGAAAGAAATATTAGAAGTATCGAATGCAAGTTTCCTCCCGACAAAACCGATACCTTCAATCATTGGACAAGAAACAGCGTTTGTTATGAAAGCACGCTACGCACGTGATTTACTTTGCCCTGGTTGCAGCAAGCAACTAGTGCGACGAATGGACAAGGAAATTCCGAGGGTCATGAAAAAGCAGAATTTCTCTGGACTTGCAGCGAAACACCTTTATCGAAAAAGAGCATTTCAATAAATGCCAAATAAAGTGTACATCAATGGATGCTTGAAAGTCCTGCCGTGGGCATGCTTCAAATGCATCATGTACACGTGAAAAGGCTTTCTAGATCAAAACTTCCCGCTCATTCCCGAGGTTATTCACATCAAAGGCTCTGCACTGATCATGTCTGCTCGTCTACAAGAGGATGGAGAATTCCTGGAACAGGTCATCCCATAGTCGCTTCCCAAAGGTGGCAGAAACAAATCTATGACTAATCTGCCCCGCGTTACGAACATTGCATTCTATCAGACTTACGGCTTTGAAATCGAGTCCACCCGACCCTTATTTTCTGACATACACCTCATTTTTACATAAAGTTGGTGGTTACCAGCGAATCAATTATGTCTCTGGTCGCAGTCGGGGCATGCTACCTCGACACAATCCTGACGTAAGTCATTCATTGCCAACCACATCGAGATTTTGATCGGATTTCATGGACTTGAACTTCATCCTGACCGAGTCAAAAGTACACCGTATTATCCAGGAGAGGATGATAAGTTGCGAGCATCAAGCATTGTCCGCCGACGGGGCGGAAACTGTCCCAACACTCTGGAGGTACTGCAACAATTAGTTGCTCACCAATTAACGGAGCCAAAGCCATCTTTGAATCTCGTTTCTATTTTACCCGCAAAGGAGTCATTAGCCTCACAGCAGATACGGTCTACGTTCGAGCCACATGTGCGACTCGACCATTGCATCTACCGCGAGCAGTTTCAAGACCCGGCTTCATGCTTCATCATCAAGAGCCAATCTACCGGTAGTAGAACAGTCGTCAACTACAACGAGCTACCCGAGATGACTGTGGAGGATTTTATTCCAATTGCAAAAAAGCTAGGCCCCCAAGCGACATGGTTTCATTTTGAGGTGTGTGGAGCTAGAACCGTTGCTTTGTCACGACCCAGAGATTAAAAGCTAATGATCACTAGGGTCGGATTCCAGGTGTAATTTTGGACTGCATTGGGTATCTCAGGAAGCATTTCCCCTCTATTTGCATAAGTATTGAGGCAGAGAAGCCGGGTCGGTCTGGTCTCCAGGAGCTTGCCGATGCAGCCGATGTGATCTTTATCGCAAAATCATGGGCGCTGGTATGCGGCAGTCCCTGCTTGAAATGTGTTACTTGGGTAGCTAATGATCAGTTCAGAGTAATGGATATACTTCAATAGAGGACTGTTTATCGAAACAAGCCGCCCGGTTACCGAAGTGGGTGCTCGGCCACCAAAGTGCAGAGCATCGGCTAATCGTTACGCAATATAGGTCACTCGTGTGCTGTACATGGGGCGCCGATGGAGCCGGTGCTTATGACGGAAGAACAACTAGAGACACTGTAGTGATACCCGCTTACGGAAAGGCACACGCTGAAGTGGTCGAGTGAGTTAAGTTCCAGGATGCTCACATCGCAAGAGGCCTACTGACATATAGAAGCCCTATTGGAGCCGGAGATACATTTATTGCCGGTATGCTCTATGCTTTGAACTGCAAAGACACGAATGGGTCCATTGCGCAATGTGTTGAATTCGGCACGAAGGTGGCGGGTATGAAAGTATTCCAAGAAGGGTTTTCTGGCCTTGATCGAGCCCTTTCACCATGAATATGAATCCCAATAACTTAGAAAAAGCTCTCTTTAGTATACGAGAAAAAATCGATGAATCTCTAATTTTTCCTGTACCTTAGTTAGTAGCAGTGGGCAAATGTATCATGTGGGGCTAAAAGCAGATATGCGCACGTGATTCCAAAATGGATCGGGCGGTGAATAACAAAAAATATTCTGCCATCAGCTTTTCTCCGAAGCTTCTTGCTCAAATTCATTCACACTTGCTGTTGCAAATTCAAACGTTACCATGGCAGCAGTTTACAAGAGTATCGCCAAGAAGAAGGCGCGCCAGCCTGTCGAGGATGTGGATGAGGATATGGACATGGAAATGGAAGATCTGCTCAACGACGCGGACGACACCACCGACAGCGAAGAAGATGAGGAAGAAGAAGACCGTATCGCTGCGGCCAAGAAGCAGCTGGCCGCTGGATTCATGCCCAAGACCCGAGTTCTCATTCTCACCTCTCGAGGTGCTTCGCACCGGTAAGAACTCCCATTACAGTGTTGCAGATTTCTTTTGCTGACCGACGATAATTTGCGATCTTTTAGCCACCGACACTTGATGACCGACCTTTGCGCTCTTCTCCCCCACACCCACAAGGAGACTAAGCTTGACACGAAGAAGAAGACCGCCGGCTACAACTTGTTGTTGAACTCGCTTGCCGATCTCCACTCATGCAACATGATCTTTTTCCTGGAGGCTCGCAAGAACGGCCAGGATCTCTACCTTTGGCTTGCGCGCCCGCCGAATGGTCCCACCATCAAGTTCCACCTCAACAACCTGCACACCATGGGCGAGCTCGGCGCCGGATTTGCGGGCAACTGCCTCAAGGGCGGCCGTGGTGTGGTGGTCTTCGATAAGTCATTCGACGAGCAGGGTCCCGACATGGCTGCGCCCGGCTCCGAATACCGGGGTCTGATCCGAGAGATGCTGCGCGGTGTCTTCTGCGTCCCCAAGCGCGGAGTCAAGGGCATGAAGCCCTTCGTTGACCGTATCATTGGTATTTTCGGCGTTGACGGAAAGATTTGGATTCGCGTGTACGAGATCCGCGAATCCGAGGGCAACAGCAAGAAGGATGGCGAGGAGACTGCTAAGACCACTCCCAAGGGCCAGGATGGCCTGTCCGAGGTCTCCTTGGTGGAGATCGGCCCCCGTTTCGTTCTGACCCCCATTGTCATCCTGGAGGGCAGCTTCGGCGGTCCCGTCATCTACGAGAACAAGGAATACGTCAGCCCCAACCAGGTCCGTCGCGAGATTCGCATGGGCAAGGCCGGCCGCTACTCTCAGCGCCGGGATGACCAGACGGAACGCGTCGCCAAGCGTACCGGCCTGGGTCTCACGGACAACTCCTCCCGGAAACCGGATTCCATGGAGACAAGAAAGCTTTTCGCATAGATGGTCTAGTGTGTTTTTCGTCGCCAATTTCCTCGAGCATCTGCCCTTCGGGACTACTTCGACTACATGTATATCTGATGCGACGTTTCATGGTCTTTTACGGCGTCAAGGCGAATTTTCATATCGGTTAATGTCAAAAAGTATTTCGCATTCCATTAGATTTCCGAGCTTCCTCGTAGAACATACATATTCCATGATAGATATTTCCAGGTACCCAGGTATCCCCTTAAGCCTTCCAAGTAGGATTCCAAGGCTGTTCTGCTTTTAACACATCGAGGTAAGTAACAGTTCAGAGGTGTTGCCGCAGTCGCGCAGGTTGCCCTTCTGCTTCTCCGATATGGCAGTTGGGTAGTTATGGATATTCTGAACAAAGCAAACTGAGAATTGAGAGCTGGCCTTTTAGTGCTGCCCCGGAGTTATTATCTGTAAGTATAAGCCCCATGGAAGGTGGCATACGAGCCACCTGCAGATCAATAATACGGACCGATCTACTTCACAAGGCCCATGGAGATTTCAATGGTTGTCTTTCAGGCTCTAATGATGTCTTTTCAAACTCTACACGATAGATGTGCACCGTACTTTGAAGACTACATTGTCTCCTTAGGTAGAATGGAGTGGGACATGGGCCGGGAATTGCTGTGGACACGCCTCGGGCTAATTTGACGCTTCCCCTGTACTGATCCATAACGAAGTTTGGATCTGCAAATTCATTTCAGGGCTTGAAGAAATGGGACTAAGGGGTAGCTCAGCCGAGACCTCCCGATATGCGAAATTCAAGCTAATAAAGGTGTTGGCAGCGGCCATGGTTCCAGGCGTTTGAGATGGGAAGAGAATCGAACACGAATTAGAAGCCCCGTAGAAGAGCCTCAGTACATTAGGGCATTACAGTAGGTGTGGCAGCACCCTGCACATGTGGGCAAGTGGCCACGGAGAAAGCATAGTCATAGCCAAGTGGAGCTGTCAGGTGGACCCGAGTCGTGGCATCTGGACCGCCATTACACCTTTCACGTTTCCTATTTCACAGTACGCATTAAGCATTAAGCATTACTCGTCATCTCCAGGTGCGACTTAATGAAAACACAAGACACAGGGGTATTGTGACATATACTGAATTTCAAGGCATACATAACCACACGTGACGCCTAGCCCATATTGCACCTGCGACCGCGGGGGGTAAACATAACTGATCAGAAACACGTCTGGTGGAGGAATCAATTTCATAGGGGACCAGAGCAAGCAAATAGAAGAGAAAAAATTGAGCAGCCCAAAGGTCTGACCATTGGGAGTTATGTCCTGGTGGGACATCTCGTCCCATGCTTTCTACCGCATCCCGCTTGTGTATCATCGCATCAAATCACACACTCCATCACGGACCCAGGCTATTTCAGTATCACATTGTAAAAAAGAAGAGTCGTTGCGGTCGGTCCTCCTGGGTCGTCTAACAGCAGCCCTGCTTCTGCTCGCTGTCCTGGGGCGTGAAGTCGATAACCGGCTGGCGGGCACCGGGCTGGTTCTGGCCAGACTCGCCGGAGTCGAGGGCCTTGCTGGAGACAATGCGGTAGATTTCTAGTTAAAAAAGGTAATTAGCATGGGTCCATACTTGGTCTCGTGCCCGCAAGTTACCCACCTGTGAGGATGTTCTGGAAGGCAAGCTCGACATTGCTGGCGTCAAGGGCGGAGGTTTCGATGAAAGAGAGGTTGTTCTCGCCTAGCAACATGGTCAGCATTGGAGCCCCGACATTCATTGCCCGAGTCTCGACACATACTAGCAAACTGCTTGGCCTCCTCGGTGGGAACTGCCCGGAGGTGTCGCAAATCGCTCTTGTTACCGACCAACATGATCACGATATTAGAGTCGGCGTGGTCACGCAGCTCCTTCAACCACCGGTTGACATTGTCGTAGGTCTGGTGCTTGCTGATGTCGTAGACGAGGAGGGCACCGACGGCGCCACGGTAGTAGGCAGAGGTGATAGCCCGGTAGCGCTCCTGACCAGCGGTATCCCAGATTTGTGCCTTGATGGTCTTAGAGTCGACCTGGATCGAACGAGTCGCAAACTCCACGCCGATGGTAGACTTGGAGTCCAGGTTGAACTCGTTGCGGGTGAAACGACTCAACAGGTTGGATTTACCGACACCCGAGTCTCCGATCAACACCACTGTTCAGCTGTTAGTTTATCCGCAGTCGAAATTCAGGCCGGTCGCACGCAAGCAGGAGTGAGGCGATATCCACACGAGGCAACGTTACCTTTGAAGAGAAACTGGAGGCGAGGTCAGCAGACAAAACAAACAGGAAGGGTGGGGTGGGAACTCACGTCGTATTCGTCGTTGGCCATGGTGAATATGTGGTAAAGAAAGTGAGAAATGAGAAGATTAGGGAAGTATGTTGTAGCGATAGGGAGTGAGAGCTGATGCCTCTTGAAGTGGAGTGCCTCCTTAACGTCGGGTCACGTGGGGCCGCGTTTTTGCCGCCTTTCACTTGTAGACCTTTGAGATACATGCGACGCGCACTCGAATTACCCAAGCTTTCGCAACATCTGCTGGATGTCTCCACGTTTGTTCGAGCTAGTAGCTCTGCTACTGGCTGGCTAGTACTATTTTCAAAGCTGCATCTAGTGCCTGCACCATTAGCACTATCAGAACCCTTCTCTACAATTCAACTTTTTGGGTAATCGGATTCATCTTCTTTTTTACCATGAACTTTGATATGGAAAGGAGAGACGCAGAACTCTCTGATGCTGATTCTCTGGCGTCCACCGCCGAGAGCGAGCAACAAGAAGAGTATGAAGTGGAGACGATTCTTTTCGAGGATGAAGACAACGGTGTTTACCTTGTCAAATGGGCGGGTTATCCTGAAAATCGGGCAACCTGGGAGGGCCCCGAAAGCTTCCAAAATCTCAATGAGACTATGAAAGACTGGAAGCAGACGAAACGAGATATCAGACAGGGACTACGAGATCCATTTGATATTGATAAATGGGAACGGCAGCAGAAGAGGCTCCAGAGAAACAAAGAGCGTCGACAGAGAGAACGCAGGATCAAGAGAGCTAAAAAGGCCAGAATGAGGGCCGCGCGACTCAAAAAATCCGGTTCCAATCTATTGAATCGTTTTTCTGACGATTCTAACAAAGAGCCTTCTCATCTCGGGAACGATGACAATGCCCAGGGAATCCATGCGCAAAGAATCATCGATCAATCCAATACCAATCTCGGATCTCGGAGGCTGTTTTCTGATGATGAGAATGGTTCCGACAAAGGCGAAGAGCCTTTCCATCCCGGAGGTGATGACAATGCGCAAGAGATCTATGCACCAAGCGATCCACTTCCTGAGCAAGTCTCAAGAATCGAGAGTAACGAAAGAGGCATCAACATCGATCTCACAGCGGAAAAAGACGCTGACCCTCCGGTTCAGGGCACCATGTCAAAAAGGCCCGCCTCGGTCCGTTCAGGTTCTTCAAGTAGCTCTTTATTTGTGTCCGAGATTGTACCTCCAGTCCTCTACGTATCCACCAAGACCAGCGAAGCCAATCAGGACGAGATCGAAAATCATGCAATTCAGCTTCATCGGGAGCTTGAGTGCCAGCTAAGCCAGAGTTCTCCTCCTCGAACACGATCTCGAAGTGAGCAACAAACGGGAAGTGACCAGCACAAGAAAGCCCCACGCCCAGAAGAACCGAGGCCACAGGAGCATCCTCAACAACAAACTACGCGACAAGAGCCGGCTCGGCAAAAGCAGAGCTTACATCACCAGGAGATTTCCCATTTGCCATCAGCTCAACCAGCGCATTCACCACGGATGCATGAAGAGAGATCCCAAAAACAGCAGCCTTGGCCGACACATCTGCAATCAAAACAACCATCGGTGACAGCGCGTCCTCCACCTCTTCCCTTGTTCTCTGAACCAACACCCGCTCCGTCTACCTTTGGGACTGCGCCCAAGCCGACTCGAACAGTCCGCCCTCGTGATTTAAGAGATGGCTGGGCACCAGACGTCAATGATATAGAACTCTTGAGGCCATCAGACTACTCTGCAAGAGGTGATGGAGCGGATTCCACCGCATTGACAATGATCCGGTCAACAGCTACATCTCAACCCTCCCCCAGCCTTGGAAACAAGGCCAAAGAACCCAGCACTATGACCTCAAGTTCTGCAGCAAATTCTACACTGATCCCAACCGGACCCCGCCTAGGAGGTTCGAGGGGTGTTCAAGGAGGAAGGTCAGGTAAGCCCTCAAGAGCCACCCAGCTCGACGATGCCCCGGCGTTACGTTCTATGTGTGATAGCTGGCGCCCAGATCGTGATGGTCCCCACAGGCGAGTTACTGATGGGAACCCGTATTCCTATGGCGGAGAAGATAGCTATCGGCCGAGCCGCTCCAGAGTTAGCGAAACCATAGAGCGACCAGTCTCTTTTGACGGTGATTCATCTCGTGGGCGATCTGACACATATCGTGAAGAATTGCCCAATAGACGTAGATCGCGCTCTCGATCACGGTCTCGCTCGCCCCGACCAACTGGGAACCAGTCGTCTACGACGTCCGACAAGGACTCATCTAGGCCTAGCGCACCAGCAAGGCCTACCACTTCCCACGTCGAATCAAATTCAAGCCCGATAGCTCAGAGGGCGCCTCCATCCCAAACCCGGCTGGTTCCTACCAGGGCAGAAATGACTGCAGAAGACCACATTGCTGAGATGCCTGTCGGCACATTCAAGGGGACGAAGCATGGAGGGAGGATGGTTCAGGGTGGTTATTTCTGGAATCAGGGAGAGGTCCTTGTGCACGTGTACTTTGGCCCGGGAAAGAATTTTGTTGGCATTGTACGGTTATGTGGGTTGACTAGTGGGCCGATATCTGAACTTCTTGCTTCTAAGCGTGCAACGGGTTCTGGGGTGCAGACGGAGATGTGGTTCAAGGAGGTCTGTACGAAGAGCCAATATGACGCACTCTGTGACCAGGTTTGATCACCCATACATCAACGAAAGATTCGCTGCTAACCCCGTTCTGTCTCTTCAGACTCCCTACAATGACGTGTCTGGTAATGCTTGGATGGAAGGCTTTCATGACTCAAACCCTGACCTTTTTCATTTGACCGAATATCTCCGCGCTCAAAAGTCTATGGCTATTTATCGTCCTGCCAAACAGTGGGGAGCTGTGTGGCTGCTTTACTCACGCAGATCCACTAACATCACCTCCTCCTTGAATTATGACAGCGATAGGGTCCCTGCCGGTGTCCCTGCTTTTCTTGCAGCACGACCATACTTACCATTGTTGTTAGATCTAGAACCACCGCGACGCGGAGATAAACCAAACAGAGGCCGGGGAGATTTCCCAGCGAATGTGCAATTTCGAGGCGATCACCCCACGAGACGCGCCAGCTTAGGGACTTTGTCAATTCCCAGGAATGACGCCAGGGGCAATCAGCCAGATGAACCCACAAAAGGTTCCACGTCTGCGATTCAAAGCCCTGTGACTCGAGCTTCCGATAGCAAGCTGCGTAAAATCACTCAATCGTCGGAATCGAGAATGGCAGAGCAGTCTGTTCCACCACCCGCGGATCCACGCCTGAGAAGACGTGGCTCTGTTTCGGGAAGTGTGCCAGAGTCTCCTTTTCAACCTCAGCCTGCTGAATCCACAGACAAGGAAAGAATGAGCAGATCGAATGTCGAGGATGGGCAGCTCATGTGGGTTGGAGACGATTTCGGAGGCACCGACCTCATGGATACCTCTCTGGATATTCCGGCTGGCACAGATCCTACAATGATGCTGTCTCCAATAGAATCCGCAAAGAAAGAAATGTTAGATATCTTCCGGTCCACTTACAAAATCACGCTGGAAAGGCTTTCGACGGTTTCGGAAGGCACTGGAACAGGGGTGTACTCACCTGCGCACAACTTTTATCTACATCTATGTGCGGAAGCAGATGACGAGACTAAACAGGATCGTGAATGGCTTCAGACCTGGCTCGAGACATTTCCACAAATCAAGATATTCTCTGACTGGGGCGAATTCCTGAAAACCTCCCGTGGTGTTATCATGGTACGTATACGTTACCTCCAGCATTTCTTTGACTGGCTGGTTACTAACTAGAGACAAAGTTTCATGAGTCATTTACGCTTTACGGGAAGCTGTGGCCTAGAATTCGGGAACCTCTCTGGTCAAGCCGGTATAACTTCTGGAATTATCGCCTGTCCAAGCCCCTTCAGACAGCCGACCCGTTTTTTTGCGGCGAAGGCGCCCATTTTGAGCCCATATTCACCGTTGGCCACTCGTTCTTGTTCACAGAGGACGTCTTCGGCGATCTTAAGCGAGCTCTATCGCTCATCAAGTGGTTTTATAACATGATTTCAACTTCACCCAGAGTGTTAAATTACAAGCTGATGCTGCCTCCTGGTATCATGCAATACCTGGACTCGCGGCTCGACCAACCCGATCTTAGTGAGGAGGATACAAAGATGTATGTTTGCGAATTCCTTCGTCTAACTGATTGTTCTAACACTAATCCTCTTTAGCTTAATGTTCATTAAGGCCTGGATCCACAAGTCAAATACACTCGATCCTGATTGTAAGGTCTTCCAAACACAAAGCCTGGATCCCTTGCAAACACACTTGCGCAACAATAACATCGTTTCCTTCGCCCCCGAAATCATTCCAAACTGGGGCCATCGTGATGAAGAAGATAATCCAGAGATCCCCAGGGACCTTTCGCAAGATGAACGTAACATGGACCACCTTGTCGAGTTGTTCACAGCATGGGCTCTTATGAGAAAAGCACATAATCGAAAAACCGTCGTTATCACGGATTCAAAACGTCAGATTTTGCATCGACGGTGGGAAAACTGGGGCCATATTACCCTTTTCTCCCCAAACAACTTCATGAAGACCTTCCGCATTGATGAAGAGGCTTTCCTGGCGAAAGCCCTTGGTGAGAAGAGGAGAGACTACGATGGCCGGTTGATGCCTGGCACCACGCCCAAAACTCCCATCGATCCGCGCACTCCTCGACCGCCCTGGCAGAATCGAACCGGCGACGGGGCTTCCTCGCCGAAAGAGAGGAGACCAGACAATTACCCTGCCTCTCTGGAAAGTCGAACCGGTGACGGAACTTCCGCGTTGAAAGAGAAGAGACAACGCTACCCAGCCCCTTATAGATGAGGGTCATGGTCTGTGATCTCTCTCGTCGAGAGCTAGCCATATTTTAAAAGCTCTTCCCTACCTCTGTTCCATTCATGATCAAATGCCTATTGTTTAGAATTAGCCTGCGTTTCTTGTCTTGTCATTTTCAAGCATTACTCGAGATATCCCCTTCATCGATACTTTGGACATAATGGAGAGAGTCCGGCACGAGTGAACTGTTCAATAGATCTTCTCACGGTTGATAAATTCCCTAGGTCTTAAAATTCTCTCAGCCTGGTTAATGTAGGTCGATTTGAATCCAAACGAGAACTTTAAGATAGACAGTTCTGGAATCAAAGAATCAAAGATAAAAAAAATAAAAGGAACTTTCATGTTAATGTACAATGGGTATGATATGATGGCCCCCAGGGCGCAATGTTCACTGCATTGGCAGACTTAGCCTATCGATCGCTTCCGATATTCCTGGAAGTTCGATGAATGTTCGTTTCCGTCATCGCGATTGGCCTTGTCCTTCTTGTCCTTTTTGTCGCGCCTTGTCTTTTCCTCCCACTCGCTCTCCTCGGCGGAGATCATAGCGTGGAACTTCCCGCCTTGGCCACGAGCGAGATAAATAGGTTTCTCCTTGCGCTCGGCTACAGCCTGGGTGGCGAGAACGAATTTGACGCTGGAGCCAGGAGCTTCAAACATCGCGTCGCTGAGAATAGTTTCCATCTCGGTACGTAGAGCGCGAGCTCCCGTGCCCATTGTGAAGGCATTCGCTGCAATCTTGTGCAAAGCTGGCGTGGTAAAGCGTAATTCAATGCCAGAGAGCGAGAAAAGAGTTGTGTATTGGGCGAGCAGAGAGTTGCGGGGTTCGGTAAGGATGCGCAAAAGTAAGGGTTGAGTTAGTGTCGAAAGTGCGGCGGTGACGGGAATCCTGCCAATCAGCTCGGGGATGAAGCCGTAGCTTTGCAGGTCCGCTGGGGTTATAAGGTCAAGTGCGTTGAAATATGTGGGCTCGCCACCTGGCACTGGAGATGCGGATGTGAAAAAGGGGAGGTGCTTCTTGTATAGTGCTTCTTCGTCGGACCCGGGGAGAATGGGAAGTGGTTCGTTGTGCGAAGCATTTGGAAGACCAGGATAATCACTCGTGCTTGACGCTGAACGAACTGGTTGACCAAAGCCGATCGAGCCACGAGAGATGCGATCCATCACCACTTTTTGCAAACCGACGAATGCGCCAGAGAACACGAACAGGATGTTGTCCGTGCGCACGTTGTACACCTCGCCCTTGGCGGCAGCATTGTTATTGTGTGGCTGGAATGGTGTATTTCCCAGCGGACTGTTAGAGGGATAGGAGTTCGGAGGGCTATTACTCCGCGGATTCTTCTCATTTTTGGCCTGCACTTGGATCGTAGTGCCCTCGATGATCTTTAGAAGCGCTTGCTGCACCCCTTCGCCGCCGACATCCTTGCCATGACTGACCTTTGCAGCCGCAATTTTGTCCACCTCATCAAGAACAATAATTCCTCGTTCCGCCTGCTCGACGTCATAGTTCGCAGCGGCCAGAAGTCGGTGAACGCAAGTCTCGGCATCTTCTCCGATGTAGCCAGCCTGCGTGAAAGGTGTACAATCTGAGATACTGAAAGGTACCGATAGGACTCGAGCCAGCGTCTTCGCCATGAGTGTTTTACCAACGCCGGATGGTCCAAGTAGCAAAATGTTGGACTTGTCCAACTGTAGTGGTGATGTATCGACCAGCTCTGTTTGGTCTAGCGGAGTGGCCTGGCGGGACTTTGGTGTAGACGGGAGACCGACTGGACGCGGCTGACCGGGAAATTCCTCTAAAGAAAGGCCACACCAGTCAGATAGTTAATTCAATAGACATCGGGTGCTGATCACATACCTTCTAAGGGGTGACCTTCCAGCGCTTCTCTCCGCTGTCGCTTCATGAGAAGTTCTTCCGCCTCCTCTTCCCGTCTTTGCACTTCCTGTACTCTCTGATAATGGTTGTAGACAGCAACACTCAACACCTTCTTTGCGCGGTCCTGGCCCACGACATACTGGTCGAGATACTGCTTCAGGACCTTGGGTGTTATGCGCGGAGCTCCAAAGGCCGGTGTCGACCCTAGAGGTCCAGAGGTCGGAAGTCCAGTCTCATAGCTTGATGTATATGGCTGACTGGTAAAGTCTGACCTGTCAAATTGGGAGTAAGTCGGGAAACGTAACGAGGAGCTGGAAAGTTGACGCCGGTTGATAGATAAGCTCGACCGACATCGGATAGGCTGGACAACCTCGCGGTGCGCCCAGGCAAGCGGGAGCCGACGCTGCACAGGCCGCCACATAGCCCGACAAATACAGAATCTAATAATAAGGGTCTGGAGATGAGGAGGTGAGGAGTGTGTTGGATCAGATAGGGAGCTTTCCCCGCAGGTGATCTTATCGGCTGAGTCATCTCGGTTGTCCGCGGCTCTGTAAAGCCAGATCAATGGCGTGATGTTCCTAAACGTTAGCTTGCCATGGCGGAGACCGCGCTCATAGCTTAAAATTAGATGGAGTTCGAGCTATTTATTAGTATATCTCGGAGGTATCCTATTCGGTCAACAGTAAGCCAAGTACTGCTTTTGAAGTCAAATGGTTACTTACTCCTAACATTACCTAGGTACCTGTATTACTCCAGTTACACCAAATAAGCCGTTAGTCGATACCCGGGTTTCCTCGTGGCTCCTATATACTGAAGCCATTTGAGACTAGTGATTAAACAATTTTCCAATATGGTCAAGGCTTTCTCCATCTTTCTTCTGTCTGCCGTAGTCACTGCGGTCCCCCACACTTTCCATTGTCGCTGCAGGCCTGATGAATCTTGTTGGCCTTCGCGGGAGGACCGGTCGCCTTTAACTAAACCCATTCAAAGCAACCTAGTAGTGGTCCGGCCCGTCGGTTCTGCATGTTATGGAGACGAGTATAATGCGCAAGCTTGTAACACTACTACTGGGCTCCGGACCGACTCAATCTGGCGTTCATCTCAGCCGGGTGCTATCAAGATGTGAATTGGGAGGCATGGCCAGTGCAGCACCAGACATGTTATATCCAGTCTCCTCGAGACTCGAATGGTAGAAGGGACCGGTGGAGACTTTTACATTTTGGTCTAAATATGTATCATTGTCATGGGTATTTATTTTAATCTGTGCATATTTGAAGACAGGTTCTGTGTTTCCAACAACGCAGTAGGACATTCTGATCTAGCTTCATGTTGATCGACTAGAGCTCCGAGAGTGTCTCGTGACTGTATAAATGCTGCAAGAGCTGGGATATCTGATTATCCACTATGGCTTTGGGTATCGGTATCTCATTTCGCGGGGTCAAGCATTCCGGCTTGAGTGAATATGGCATCACTTAGGTGTAGCTCCTTCCTCCCCGTCCATTGTCGTGATCATATCGAGGTGCCTCGGTATGATGCTGGACTGCAGGGTGGCGTAAGATCATCCGACCGGGGTCAAGTCACAGTTATTCGTGTCCGATCGGGGTCGCGTGCTCATTTAGTGGCTTTGAAGACGGGTTGTTGCTCCATGGTTTGCGAGATGAAACTCCGTAGCGCCGACCAGCGATTTGCGGTTGGGTTCGATTCGGCACTGGTCTCTGTACTATCGGCTGCTTGAGTCTGCAGACCGGACATCTGGGCCATGTTCCGTGCGAACCGATCACGTTCCACCTTCTCCAGCTTTTCCCGACGCTTCAAGGCGCCCGGCTTGTGTCGTAGCGTCTGCTGCTTGATGACATTGGCCTGACTGGAAGCATCGTGCGATTCATCCGCCGCGTCCGGGAGGGCATCGGCCAGGGACTCTAGGTTGGCGACCAACTTTTTGGAGGGGCGACGCTTCTTCTGAGATTTGGAGCTCTTGGCGATCTTTGACATGAGGGTCGCATGCTTAATCTGACGCTTATCCTTTTTGCTGGTACGGAAGTCATCTCCAAAGAGACCCGAGCGGGCAGTAACGGGTGTCTTTGCCTTCATGGCGATGTGGGTAAAATGGAGTTTAGTTTGGAGAGACGAGAAAGAACCGGTTGTGAAGTGCACCCAAATCGGAGACATGTGAGGATCGGCTTCGGGACGCAATTTTTGCATTTCCCGAGACCCACCAAAACTACCCCTTGTCCCTGTTGAGCTCACCCATTATCTTCACTGACGTTACCGTGGATGATATCGACCGATCCACTTTGTCGGGTGAATCCTCCAGTTCTATTCACGAGCATCGGGACCTGTGACATCAGAAGCGCATCAGTGGATTGACAATCCCTCCACGAAAGTTCACGAAAGGGCACGAAAGGTCAACAAATCGGTTGAGTGAGATCATTGGGACAAAAAACCCGCACCGGTGCCCGTATGTGGATGCGAACCCCACGACTTTATCGGATCTGCCTTCCTGGACGTTGTACGGTGCCTCGGCCTTTCCTGTTCCAGACTTCAGCCTGGCCCCGGTCGCCCCCGTGTTCTTTTAAACCCGCTGTCCCTGCTCTCCGCCGATCATACTCTTCATCTATATCCATAGCCAACATGGGTTCTCTCGGCCCGTATCAGCGCAAGCACAAGATCGGGGTGGTCGGCTCCGGTAACTGGTAAGCGCGCGCGCTCTCTCTCTCTCTCTCTCTCTCTCTCTCTCTCTATGTGCAACGACGGTGTTCACGAAGTTAATCCATTTCCTCCTAGGGGTACCGCCATCGCCAAGATCATCGCCGAAAATGCCGCCAGCAACTCGGACATCTTTGAGGAGAAGGTGGAAATGTGGGTGTTTGAAGAGAACGTCGAGATCACCAAGGACTCCCCGCACTACAGCTCCAGTCTGCAGGGCACACAAAAGTTGACAGAGGTGATTAACCACACAAATGAGAACGTGAAATATCTTCCAGGAATTCGCCTGCCCGCCAACCTGCACGCAAACCCGTCCCTGGAGGACGCTGTCAAGGATTGCACTTTGCTCGTCTTCAACCTCCCTCACCAGTTCATCCTCAAGTCATGTGAATCGATCAAGGGAAAGATCCTGCCCTACGCCCGCGGTATCTCCTGCATCAAGGGCGTCGATGTCAATGAGGAGGGAATCAGCCTCTTCTCAGAGACTATTGGCAGAATTCTGGGCATCTACTGTGGTGCCCTGTCCGGGGCCAACATCGCCAACGAGGTTGCTAAGGAAAAGTGGTCCGAGACCACCGTCGCCTACGATCCCCCACACATGGACTCCAAGGCGCCCACCCCCCAGCGCTCGCCCTCCTCCTCCCAGGTGGAGCTGGTGCAGTTCCAGCACAAGGACACATCCGGTCAGATGTCGAAGACGAAGCTGCAGGCACTTCCCTCCGACTACCCGCCCATCGACCATGTCACTCTCAAGGCTCTGTTCCACCGCCCCTACTTCCACGTCCGCGTGATACACGACGTCGCTGGTACCTCCATCAGCGGTGCGTTGAAGAACGTGGTCGCCCTCGCTGCTGGCTGGGTGGAGGGTATGGGCTGGGGTGACAATGCCAAGGCTGCTGTCATGCGCGTCGGCTTGCTGGAGATGGTTCGCTTCGGCGATACTTTCTTTGGTGCCACTATCAATCAGGCTACCTTCACCGAGGAGAGTGCCGGTGTGGCCGATCTGATTACCAGCTGCAGCGGTGGCCGTAACTTCCGCAGTGCCAAGCACAGCGTTGAGCGCAACTTGCCCATCGAGGAGATCGAGAAGCTCGAGCTCAACGGCCAGTCGCTCCAGGGCACCCTGACCGCCCACGACGTCAACAAGTTCCTGAAAAAGCAGGGTATGGAGGAGCAGTTCCCTCTGTTCACCGCCGTTTACCGTATGTACCTCGAGTCTATTCTTCCTGACTCCGTGGCTAACGTACATTTAGGGATTCTGGAGGGCAGAATGCAAGTGTCAGAGATTCCTGGCTACATTGAGCGGTAAAAAACCTGTTCTTTTCTTTTTCTTCGTGTCTGTGTTATTAATTGCGAGATTGTCTTTCCTCTCATAGCCCTCCGGTTTCTCGTGCTCCGACTTCTTCTTCTTCTTCTGCCTCGGATGGGAATAGCGATGGTGAGCGGTATGCTGCACGACTTTGATTGAATGGGACTTCGGATTATGGTTTGTGAATAGATTTATGACTTGTACCTTGGCATATGAATAGACTTGCGAGTTCAGAATGAATAAGTAGTCCTAGTACCTGAATAAGACCCGGGTCCAGAGTCTAGACAGACGCTAAAAATATGCTGCCAAGGTTCCCCCGGATGCATGATGTCACTGGACGCCCGGAGCTCCTGATGAGGGGAAAACCTTGGTTTACTGTCCCGGCTGCGATCTTTCGTTTTTTTTTTCCTGCTTTTATTTTCTTCTTTCTTCTCCCCCCATTCTCCCAAGGCCTCAATTGTAGGCCATTCTCTTGTTGAGACCTCCCAGTAATCACTGGGTTGAGCTCAGGTTCGTAGATCGTCGCGAATCCCCCTCCACTTTCTCCGCAATTCCCCAGCACGATCACGATGAGCCCCTCACGCCAGGTCTACCTGCTTCCTTTGAAGGATGACGGCTCGCCGGACGTACCCAACGGGTACATTTATTTGCCACCTCCACCTGATTCCGGCTATGTGCTGCGATTTATCATTGAGGGCACCAGTTCCATCTGTCGACAGGGAAGTCTATGGGTGAACATCCCCGAGGAGGGCAAGGCCTTCGATCGCCATTCTTTCCGTGAATTCAGGTATGATTTCCCTCCAAGTAGGGTATCGGATCTGCGGAGGACCCAAGGCTAAGTGGATGTAGATTGCAACCCAATTTCAACCAGAACATTCAGATCGACATCTCCGTGAACAGTGCTGGCTCTTTCGCCTACTACACCACTTTCTCTCCACTGCCAGAGTTCTCCGTCGAATCTGTGCCTACACCGGAGCCTACACAGTCCCCCATTCATTACATAGATGTCTCTCCGAGGCTCACCCTCCAGGGAAAGAACCTGCCGCTCAATGCGCTCTCGATCTTCTCGGTCATCTCCAAGTTCATGGGCGAATATCCCACTGATTGGGATAAGCATCTCCATGGAATCAGCCAGCGGAACTACAACATGGTCCATTTTACGCCACTCATGCAACGCGGGTCTTCCAATTCACCCTACAGCATATCTGATCAGCTAGCATTTGATCCTGCCTTCTTTCCCAACGGAGAGGCTGATGTCGCATCGCTTGTTTCGCGCATGGAAAAGGAGTACGGTCTCTTGACTTTGACTGATGTGGTTTGGAACCATACTGCGAACAATAGCAAATGGCTGGAGGATCACCCCGAGGCAGGTTACAGTGTGGAGACTGCGCCTTGGCTGGAGGCTGCACTCGAGCTTGATACCGCGCTGCTGAAGTTTGGCAATGAGCTTGAAAGCCTGGGCTTGCCAACAGAGTTCCTGACAACTGACGATTTGGTTAAGGTGATGAATGCCCTGCGCAAAGATGTCATTGATGGGATTCGTCTCTGGGAGTTCTATGCCGTTGATGTCAAGACCGATACGAAAAGCATCCTAGGCGCTTGGGCTAACAAGAAGGCCGATGTCGCTGCTATCGCGGGCCCTTTGAAGCAATTCAAGGAAATTTCAGTAAAGGACCAGGCCGAGGCCATTCGTGAACACGGTATCCCTACCTCGGGCCGCGTTCTTGGAAGATTCGGGCGTGCAGTCGACCCAGCCTTTGGAGCCGCCGCACTCACGGTACTATGGGGCGAACACGACCAAGCCAACGTTGCTGAAGCCGAAGCGTCTCTGACCAAGCTTCTCGATGCAGTCAATGAGCCGTTCTATGAAGAGTTCGACGCGGATGTCGCGGTCATCATGGATCAGCTCTTCAACCGAGTCAAATATCTCCGCATTGACGACCACGGCCCCAAGGCGGGGCCAGTCACCAAGGACAGCCCCCTTATCGAGTCCTACTTTACTCGACTGCCTCTCAACGAAACCACCAAGAAGCACAACCCTAACGCTCTTGCACTTGTGAATAATGGCTGGATCTGGAATGCTGATGCTATGCGGGACAATGCAGGACCGGATTCCAAGGCATACCTTCGCCGTGAAGTGATTGTCTGGGGGGACTGTGTCAAGCTACGATACGGAAACTCGCCCAAGGACAGTCCATTCCTCTGGGACTTTATGACACGCTATACCCGTCTGATGGCTAAGTATTTCTCGGGATTCCGCATTGATAACTGTCACTCCACGCCACTTGCTGTCGCTGAGTACTTGCTGGATGAGGCCCGCAAAGTGCGACCAAATCTGACTGTTTTCGCCGAACTCTTCACGGGCTCGGAGGAAGCTGACTACGTATTCGTTAAGCGTTTGGGTATCAACGCGCTCATTCGAGAAGCCATGCAAGCCTGGAGTACTGCGGAATTGAGTCGCCTCGTTCATCGCCATGGTGGCCGCCCCATTGGAAGTTTCGATGTGGGCTTGCCATCTGCGGGAAGCAGCCACGCCATTACGTCTGCGAAGACTGCTGACGCGAATGAGGAAATTAACCATATCCGTCCGTCTCCTGTTCAGGCTCTGTTCATGGACTGCACCCATGACAATGAAGTCCCTGCCCAGAAGCGTGATGCCAGAGATACCCTGCCAAATGCTGCTCTCGTCGCGATGTGTGCTTCGGCCATTGGTAGTGTCATGGGCTACGACGAGATCTATCCTCAGCTCATTGATTTGGTACATGAGACACGTCAGTACTCATCTCCATTTTCCGGATCACAAAACCTGGAGGTTGGTTCTGGAGATGGCATTGGAGGCGTGAAGAAGCTGTTGAACGAGCTTCATACGATGATGGGTGTTGAGGGTTACGACGAAACCCATATTCATCACGATGGGGAATATATCACTGTTCATCGTGTTCACCCCAAGACTAGGAAGGGCATCTTCCTCGTCGCGCACACTGCGTTCCCAGGTAATGAGAGTGGTGCCATCCTGGCTCCTACTCATATTACTGGTACCCAAGCCAAGCACCTCGGTTCGTGGGTCTTGGAGGTTGATGCTGGCGATGATGCCAAAGGAAAGGCTCTAGCCGACGATAAAAACCTCAGGGGTCTACCGGGTAAGACTCGCGATATTGATGCATCCAAGATCGAGGGAGACGGAAAAGACGTGACTGTTTCTGTGCTTGAGACCCTAGTGCCTGGATCTATTGCTCTCTTCGAGACCTGGATCCCTGGCGCTGAGCATGCGAAGGGACTGGACAATTTCCTCTCTAGCGGAGCCGATGAAGCATTCTCCGAGCTGAGTTTGATCGATTTGAACTTCGTGCTTTACCGCTGTGATGCTGAAGAAAGAGACTCAAGCGGTGGCGAGGATGGTGTGTACGCCATTCCCAAGAGTGGGCCCCTTGTATACGCCGGTCTCCAGGGTTGGTGGAGCATCCTTGAGGACATCATCAAGTACAACCAGCTTGGTCACCCGCTTTGCGACCATCTCCGTGATGGCCAGTGGGCTATAGATTACCTCATTGGGCGCATGGAGAAGGTTGCCTCCAAGGATGGGTTTGCAGCTCTGCACAAGCCGGCCTCTTGGCTGCGCGAAAAGTTTGATGCTGTTCGTGGACTGCCAAACTTCTTGCTTCCTCGGTACTTCGCAATCATTGTGCAGGTAGCTTACAACGCAGCATGGAAGCAGGCCATCCACCAATTCAGTGATAATGTGCGCCACGGTCAGGAATTTATTCATCAGTTGGCCATGGTCAGTGTTCAGCAAACTGGCTATGTGAACTCGGCATCTTTGTGGCCTACCAAGCAGGTCCCTAGTCTTGCGGCGGGCCTGCCTCACTTTGCTGTAGACTGGGCTAGGTGCTGGGGCCGTGATGTTTTCATTTCCATTCGTGGTCTCTTCCTTTGCACTGGTCGATTCGACGAATGTAAGGAGCACATTCTTGCATTTGCAAGCGTGCTCAAGCACGGCATGATTCCCAATCTCCTCAGCAGCGGCAAGCTGCCCCGTTATAACTCGCGTGACTCGGTCTGGTTCTTCCTGCAGGCGATACAGGATTACACCAACATGGTTCCTAATGGAAATAGCATCCTGCAAGAGAAGGTTCCTCGCCGATTCTTACCGTATGACGATACCTGGTTCCCATTCGATGATCCTAGGGCTTATTCGCAATCTCCTACTGTCCTGGAAGTCATTCAAGAGGTGTTCCAGCGCCATGCTCAGGGCATGTCCTTCCGCGAATACAATGCAGGCCCTGATCTTGACGTCCAGATGAAGTCCGAAGGCTTCCAGATTGATATCAAGGTTGACTGGGATACTGGAATTATCTTCGGTGGTAACCAGAACAACTGTGGTACCTGGCAAGACAAGATGGGGGAGAGCCCGAAGGCTGGAAACAAGGGCTTCCCTGGTACACCTCGTGATGGTGCTGCTATCGAGATCACTGGTCTCCTCTACAGTGCGCTTTCATGGGTTACGAAACTCAACGAGTCCAAGACTTACCCTCACGCTGGAGTCGATATTGGCGATGGAAAATCGATCTCTTTCAAGGAGTGGGCCGGCAAGATCAAGGATAATTTTGAACGGTGCTACTATGTCCCCCTCGACCCCAAGGACGACGCCCAGTACGATGTGGACGCCAACGTCGTCAACCGCCGTGGCATCTACAAGGATTTGTACAAGTCCGGTAAGCCCTTTGAGGATTACCAGCTCCGTTCCAACTTCCCGATCGCCATGTCCGTCGCACCGGAGCTCTTCACTCCCGAAAAAGCCCTCACTGCCCTCTCTATCGCCGACTCTGCAATCGTCGGCCCAGTTGGCATGGCCACTCTGGACCCATCGGACCTCAACTACCGCCCTCACTACAACAACTCGGAAGACTCGGCTGATTTCGCAACCTCCAAGGGCCGCAACTACCACCAAGGCCCCGAGTGGGTCTGGCAACGAGGCTACTACCTCCGCGCCTTGCTGCACTTTGATATCATGCGCCGGAAAACACCGGCGGAGCGAATTGAGTCGTTCCAGCAGGTTACTCGGCGTCTGGATGGGTGCAAGAAGGCATTACGCGAGAGCCCATGGAAGGGCTTGACGGAGTTGACTAACAAGAATGGCGAATACTGTGGTGACTCGGTAGGTTTTCGTTTCTCTCGCGCCTTTTGATCAGTGCTAATACGTATATCTAGTCTCCCACTCAAGCCTGGTCTGCCGGTTGTCTTCTCGACGTTTACTACGACGCTGCGAAGCTTACTTAGATTACGTTCCTTCAAGATCGATATATGGATGGCATACAAAGCGTTTTCATTTCTCCTTCTACATATTGAATAAGCATAATATATCTATGAAGCCCTTAGATAATTATTTGTACCTCGTACAGACCGCAAAGGTCAGAATGATTGGTAGACTTTCTAAAAAAATCAAATTGGCTCACTAGGGTTCCGTATAATGCAATATTCCGTGCTGTGGTCGGATCACGCAAATGCTTCTTTCTACTACTCGAACAAGAAGACGGTCTTTCGATCCCCGATCGCCCCATCGTGAGCCCGCTTGATCAAACCACGCAGCGACTTCTCCAACCCTTGCGCACCCCGTTTCCAGCTCACATAATCTAGCTCTGGCGCCTTTAGGGTCCCACGAACCAATAATTGGGCAAACCATTCGAAAAGCGCCACCTGCTGCGGCGTGGCCCGTTGGCCTAAGCAATCACTCAACCTGAAGGATTTGAGCATAACATTGCGCTGCCACAGGAACTGACGCAGATTTTCCTTTTCTCGCGTTGCAGTCACGCCAGGGAACCTTGATTGGGGATGTTCATAGAACGGTATAGGGTGTGCACGATATACACATGGGCCTATTCTTTTCTTTTGTCCTTTATCTTCGCCAGCCACAAGGGCGTTGTTTCTCCCTGGGCAAATTGTTGTGTTTTCTCCTCTAATGCCGACTCCAGCGCTCTGAGCTTTCTTTATGGCAATTGCTTGTTTGAGTTTTTATTCTATCGTTGGGTCCACTTTGAAGTTGTAGCTTCCCAATCTTGCCTAGCTGCGAAAGGATGTAAAACATCCCGATATATATCGAATTGTCGTTGTCTAACTAGGGTGCATATACGTACAATTGGGCAATATGCTGAATTGACCGAGATGGAAAACAGAAAGCGGGGATCCAGTTCAAGAAAGTTTCTTAATAGAATAGGGTTGATAACCTTTAGTGTTCTAAGCTGGAGCAACCCTTGAAACAAGCTACCATATGTGCTCTTGTTATATGCTTTATCAATATCATCCTCATCCAGTTCGTATGTATCCCTATCCTAGTCCTTCTTTTATGAACATTTCTGCAGCACCTTTAATGGATGTAGAATTCAAGATTTCTTCACGTACCCATGCCGCTTGAATCAGGGATATTACTACAACTTGGCCGAGGGACATAGAATGTCCCTCAAGTGGCTAGACGCACGTGCTGAGTCAGCAGCGTCGTCATGGACAAAAACAACACGATCGGAGGATCCCAGTTCCCGCACTAATGACTTCGATCACGAGATCACCCACGACCTCCTTTTAATGGATCGATTACACAAATCTTCAACTTACAATTCAATCAGTTGAGGCGACAGCACTTTGACCAGAGAGATGTCGTTAACGACATCGGCGGCCACTGCGCTGTGGACCGTTCTCGCCGACGATCCAGACGATGGGCGAGAACGACGCTGGGAAGATCAGACGAAGCAGCAGCGTGATCTATATACTCAGATTGCCGTTAGCTCTGCCCTAGGACTGGGTGCTTTCCTGTCATTCTGTGTACGTCTTTGCCTCCGCATCGGTTTGGTTCCAGTACTTCTTGCTAACCTCCATGGTCCTCGCAGGTGTTACGGCCCAAATGGACAGAACTCTATGCCGCGCGGAGAAAAACACGCAACGCTGCGTCGCATTTGCCCGAGCTACCCGATACTTTCTTTGGGTGGATTCCAGTCTTATATCGTATCACTGAGGAAGAAGTTCTCCAGTCCGCTGGACTAGACGCATACGTGGTGCGTTTTCCCTCTTTTGAGATATGCGGCAAATCAGGAAAAATTTTTTGGGCTAACATAGAACCCATCGATGATAGTTCCTGTCCTTCTTCAAGTTTGCGATCCGCTTCTTAGCAGCCGTCTTTTTCTTCGCCGTCGCTGTCCTGCTTCCCGTGCATTACAAGTATACCGGCAAATATGGAGTTCCCGGTTGGGATCCCGAAGACGGTCCCGGCGACACCACCACCGGCGTAGTAGGAGAACTGTCCAAGGACAAGGAAAAGGGCGAGGACAACCCGGAGTACTTGTGGATCTATGTCCTATTCACCTACGTCTTCAGCGGCTTGGCCATCTACTTGCTGCTCCAGCAGACGGACAAAATTATTCGCGTTCGCCAGACCTATCTTGGAAATCAGACCAGCACCACTGACCGTACGGTCCGTTTGTCGGGAATACCCCGCGATCTATCGGCCGAAGATAAGATCAAGGACTTTGTAGAGGGTCTCAGGGTGGGCAAAGTGGAGACCGTCACCCTGTGCCGCAAGTGGGGTGATTTGGACAAACTCATTGATGAACGCATGAAGATCGTGCGCCAGCTGGAACGGTCATGGACGAAACATATTGGGTACAAACGTCCTCGCCGTGACCGAGGGGACACCTTGCCGTTGACTCACCAACCACCACAACCCTCTAACGGCACGCTGAACGAGGATGACGAGCATGCTGGCTTGCTGTCGGGGACTGATCGGGAGCACGTCTCAGGGTATTCCCATGCGCGACCCAAGGCCCGTATCTGGTACGGTCCACTGAAGCTTCGGTACTACACGATCGATGCGATCGACTACTACGAGGAGAAGCTGCGGACGATCGACGAACAGATCCAGGCTGCTCGAGAGAAGGAATACCCTTCAACCGAGATCGCGTTCGTGACGATGGAGTCAATTGCGGCCTCGCAAATGCTGGTGCAAGCTATTCTCGATCCGCACCCCATGCAAATGTTTGCTCGCCTTGCTCCTGCGCCTGCCGATGTCATCTGGAAGAATACCTATCTCTCTCGCTCCCGCCGGATGACCCAGTCGTGGCTCATCACTGTGCTTATCGGATTCCTCACGGTATTCTTCTCTGTCCTCTTGCTTCCTATCGCCTCTCTTCTGCAACTGGAGACACTCCACAAGTTTGTACCGCAGCTCGCGGAGTTCCTCTCACTCCATCCTCTTTTGAAGTCCTTGGTTCAAACAGGTCTGCCTACTTTGGTATTCTCGCTGTTGACAGTGGTCGTCCCCTACTTGTACGAGTGGCTCTCGAACAACCAGGGAATGATGTCGCGTGGTGATGTTGAACTCTCAATCATCTCCAAGAATTTCTTCTTTGCTTTCTTCAACCTGTTCCTCATCTTCACCGTCATTGGAACAGCAAGTGGATTCTACGGTTTCTGGGAGCATTTGCGTGATGCTTTTAAAGATGCCACAACCATTGCCTTCGCCCTGGCTAAGTCCTTGGAAGGTCTCGCGCCGTTTTACATCAATCTGTTAGTTCTGCAAGGATTGGGTCTTTTCCCCTTCCGACTCCTCGAGTTTGGAAGCGTTGCCCTGTACCCCTTGCAGTTCCTCCGGGCGCGGACCCCACGGGAATATGCGGAGCTGTCAACACCGCCGAAGTTCAGCTACGGACTCACAATTCCTCAGACCATCTTGATCTTGATCATCTGCATTGTGTACTCGATTTTCCCCAGCTCATGGCTGATCTGCCTGTTCGGTCTTGTCTACTTCTCCGTCGGCCAGTTCATTTACAAATATCAGCTGCTGTACGCCATGGACCACCAACAGCATTCGACCGGACGTGCCTGGCCGATGATTTGCAATCGGGTATTCATTGGCCTGGTCGTGTACCAACTGGCCATGATTGGAGTCCTCGCTTTGCGCACGGCGGCTACCCGTCAGCTGCTCCTGGTACCTCTTCTGGTGCCCCTACTGATCTTCACGGTCTGGTTTACATACTGGTTTTCACGGACCTATGAACCGCTGATGAAATTCATCGCTCTCAAGAGCATCAACCGGGATCTTTCGGGTGGCGGCGAGCTCTCTCCCTCGTCGTCCTCCACGTTCTCGCCGCCTTCGGGCATGGATCGTGATGCGCTTCCGATTCGCATCGGCGGCCATGAACTGGAGTTGCGTCTGAAAAAGTACGTCAACCCGAGTCTGATTGTGCCGCTACATGGTGCCTGGCTCCCGGGTCGTAGGCCTTCTCAGAGTAACGGTGGCCCGCTTTATGAGAACCACGAGTCGTCGAACAACTATCCTTGATTGATAGCCCAACCTTCGACCGCCGATCGCATGTCTTGCACATGGCCCTGACCATTCAATGATGATATACGACCTTGATACCTCGACTGCATTCCTTCCACTCTATGTTGCACATCTCTCGTTAACTGAAGGACCCAATACCCTTTGATTTCATCTCTCGACAGTATTCCGTTCCTGTAACCTATTCAGTCTGGTGTTTGGGGTCGGCTTCTCTCGCTATGCATATTTGTTGAGATATCACGCAATTGTTTTCTATTCTAGCGCTGTTTATTTTTTATTTTGGACCAACTTCGCTTAGACTGTATTGTATACCTAGTAGACATAGAATCTCGCATCAGTCGCCCCAAGTCATTCCTCGCTTACAATTCTAGACTTTTCTGACCATCTGGCATCAGCCCCGACAACGTAGGCCTCCGTTCACATTCCTCATGTTTTCGTGGCAAAACGTGGCAGTGTCTCAGCTGGAGTGAGATCAAGCGAGTCGGCTGATCTATCGCTTATGCTTTTAATTTTTAATTTTTTAATCTCTCAATTTGTCCAGCTTACATCTTGGCCAACATGCGAACCTGCGGACTTCCAAAGCCGCGAAGCTCCAACAAGCGGAAGCGAACCCTGGATTGTTGCACTAAGAGTTGCCCCGAGGTATGGACATGAACCAGAAGCGGCAGGTCGAGTTCACGTCTGTTTTGGGGCTCTCCACTTGACTTGCATGGACGGGGGATGCATTCCGCACTCTGCAGGCGGTGCAGGCGCAGTCAGTGTGAGTGCAGTGCATATGCACAATCCACGACCCTACAATCAGGCCTTGCATGGCCCGAAATTACCAACATCCCAGATTTCACTATCAAGGATTTTAAAGATGAAGTGTCTCGGGTGGCCCTTGGCTCCCCTCGCCGCATCCGGAACATCGTCACTTCCACTTCCACTTCCACTTCCACTTCCACATTCCTCGGTTCACCCAGGAATGCACATGGACCCGATCCTCACCACTGGACCAGACCACTTGAGCCACTTGAGCCACTTTCAATGCGAGAGTTGCATAATCTGAATCTACTAGGGCCCCAGGGCAGCTCGTTGCCTTGCCCCCATTCCACAGTCTCCGCCCATCTGTGACTCGTCTGCCATCGGCCCATGGTTGAGCCCGAGCTTGAGCTTGAGGCAAGTCGACATCGCAATGCAATGCCGGCCTAATTACAGCAAAGGTCATGACGGCTCCACCGAACTTTCGGATTTCCGCCATCAACGTGGTCCATGTCTCAGGACGTGTTTACGTCAGGACGTGTTACCCCGACGGCCAAATCAAACTTTCGCCATGTATAAGATCATGTAGAAAAAGGCCCTTGCCTCCCCATTGCTTTGTATTTCGCGGATGTTCTGACTTGCTTATTTCCTTATTTTCAATCGTGCACATTGCACATTGCACATTGTAAATTTCACATTTCACATTTTACATTTCAACTCCGCTTTCGCTGGAAATCTGCTTTGGGGGAATACAACCTTCCACATATTTGCTTCAGATCCCGCGCTTGCGATCCCGGCCCTCCATTTCTGGCGTGGTAGCACTACCAGGAACGATAAGATCGTGGATCCAATCTTGCACTAGTCAATCGATGCGTTGAATTGACTCCACAATCTTGTTCGACTCCACCTCAATTCTTCCGTCATCCATTCGAACTATTCTATCGATCTCTACGGATCCAGCTTCCATTTTATCGTCTAAAAATCCTCGTCGATCCTTTTTTCCTTTTGTCTTCGATCGGCGTCATTTTCTATCCTCTATTTTGCCACAGACCTAACAATTGAAGTCGTGTTGCATGTCGAGTCGCCAGGTCTGGAGAGTCTCGTCATGCCGTCCTTAAGGTCTCACGACAAAAGGCGCCGGCTCATGACCCGGCATGACGTTTCTATGGAAAAACAAAGGTTCCAAATGCCTTCGAAACATGTTGCACAGAAAGATCATCCGACGGATCAACCTCCGGTACCAATACCCGAATCATCGGCATTCAACGCATTCACCCAGCATAACAGCAGCTCGATGGTTCCAGATCGATCGCCGCCTGCTGCCAACATCACGCCACCCGAAATCATGCTCCAAATCTATTCTATGCTGACACCGAGAGACTTTGATAATGCACGCCGGACGTGCTCTCAATGGATGAGAGTCAGCTTGAATCGGGATCTGTTGGAGAGCATGTTGAAGCGAGCTGGGTGGTGGGGTGCATATCTGGAAGACTGCGAGAAGCAACGAGTTCGATGCCGGCCGTCGAGTGATGAGAGCGACGTGTGGAGGATGAGCAAGCGCTTTGCAACCGAGTGCTTATTGTCGGGACGGAAAGTGAGCATTGAAAGGCCAGGCTTCGTGGCATCTGAAATTGTCAATTTCTCAGGTCTTGCACAACGCCTCTCGAAAACCCGATCAATGCCTATCCGAGACAAACATTCACATTTCGTGTCGACTTTTAGTGTCAGCAGCTGCAGCAATTATCTTCTTGTGACTACCGGATGCATGATCTATGTCTTTCATCTTCATGACAAGAAGACGAAATCTGGGCTAGAAAATACTGATCTAGAACCGATATCGAGCATCGAATGTCCCTTTGAGGTGTTATCTGCGACTCTAGATACGACTACACCGCGGGTGGTCCTTGCAGCTTTACTGAGCAACCGTGTTGGGATGGTCTGTGATCTGGATCTACCCAAGAACCCGCACAAGAAGCGAACTGCTTCACCATCAGATTCGACTCGAGCCAACTCATCTAAGAAAACCTCCTCGCCACATTATTACTATGACGTTTGCTCCGAAGACCACCCGCCACGAACAATGGCCCTCTGTCCCGGACGCCGATGCATAGCTTTTGGCTGTGCAGGCGGCATCGAAATCCATTGGGTCGACGAAAACCAACAAAGCCAACGAAGGCATTTCCCAATGCCTCAACCCTCCGAGATCCTCCATTTCCTCCCTCACACCCCCGAAGCTCCAAAGGACCTGCGACTCATCTCATCACTAGCCGGACCAGGTGTCCACGAGTGTGCATGTCGCCAATCTCCCTTGCCCGACCATTCTAAAAAGTGCCAGTTCCACCTCTTAGCAGATGTCAAGTCATTCGGTCGCCGTGGCCCATCTAAATCCTCAAATCTCAGTTTTGTCAGAGCCACACATTGTCACCATTACCGCGCTGTGCCCATCAACGATGGCTTCCATATTGTCTTTGTCGAGCCTCGCACAGGTCTCCTTTGCATCGGATCCGATGCACCCATTGGGGGTCCTACAAGTCTCACACGAGCTTTTGTCTGCGTACCCCCATTTGGCAAAGATGCCTCAGACAGCATGAAAGAAGCTCGCGTCCCAACAGCCTTCGCCGTGGGCTCGGATCTCCGATGGGGCCTCCGCGTTGTAGCCGCATACCAAGATCGTATCGTCTTATATTCCATCCCACTCGATGTATTTAACGTCATCCGCAAAGAGCGTGAACGACAAGGCGACGGCATGATGGGCATCAGCGATCTTGCGCGCGACTGGTTCGCTGACTCGGAGCGCTTCCGCAAGCGGCGGGAGAGTCTCGTGCAAAATCCAAATGGTGATTGGGAGTTTCTTTTAAGTGTCAGTTATCGGCCCACGGCAATGATGTGGCCTTTTAAGATCTATGGGAAGGAGATAGGGCGTGTTGAGAATGTCGTTGAGCTGGGGTTGCAGTCTTCGAATGGCGGTGCAAGGGTTTGGGCTTTCAATGCTTCAGGCGAAGGGACAATTTTAGATATCGACACTTTTACCTCTGCAAATCATAGAGCTGACCGCCCCTGCAAGATGGTTACTGTTGGCTCGGATGGCAAATTACAACCAGTACGGTCGCTCATTCGAGCTGATCTTCGTGCTTCGCCATTGCGGGACTCAAGAAAGCGCAAGGCATCGGTGTTACAAGACGGATTCGTCGGCCGATACGGAATCAGTCGATATGTGCCCAGCACAGCGTTTGATGGCCTCGAGCCAGCGAATGCTTTTTCTGCTGGGATGCAGAAGGATGACTCTATCCGCCGGCCTTCGTTCGCTGCTTGTATAGTGGACTTTAAGATCCCCGAGCTAGGATCACGAGACGGTCCTTGGAGTGAGCGTCGCGAATAGCGATACATTGCTTTCAGCATCTTTCAAATATTGAGAGGGTCCATATACCAGATGTTTGCATTTTGTGATAGGATTGCGGTCATTGCATATAGCCATTTCTTCGGCGTTGGTTCCTCTACCACGATTTATAGATACATTTGCTTCCACATGGAAACGCTCAAAGTCAGAAAGAAATGACATTCAAAACACTTTTTTTCCTAATCCAACATACGCAATGCGCTTAAAATACCTCAATTTTACCACCCGGGTGCTCATTAAAAGGCCATGAAACAGACAAGAAACAAAGTCGTCGCTTATTTGGCGCTCAGTTTCTCTCTCCGGGTGCGCACGGCTTGTGCCAGTGTCTCGAGCGTAGTCTCGGTGTCTTCCCAGTTGATACACGCGTCTGTGATACTGACTCCGTACTTGAGACCGGACTTGCCCTCCGCCGGCATCTTCTGGTTGCCCTCGTTGATGTTGCTCTCGATCATGACACCCATGATGGCAGTCTCACCCTGGGAAATCTGCTCGCTCAGAACAGCGGCCACCTTGGGCTGGTTCTTGTGGTTCTTCTCCGAGTTGCCGTGGCTGCAGTCCACCATCAAGCGGGGGGGAAGGCCCTTGGCCTCAAGCTTGGCCTTGGCGTCCTTGATGCTGGCAGCATCGTAGTTGGGGCCCTTCTTGCCACCGCGCAGAATCACGAAGCAGTCGGGGTTGCCGACAGTGCCGACAATGGACACGACACCGGGCTTGGTGACAGACAGGAAGTGGTGGGGGTGCTTGACGGAGCCGATGGCGTCCACGGCGACATCGAGGGTGCCATCGGTGCCGTTCTTGAAACCGACGGGGAAGGACAGACCAGAGGACAGCTCACGGTGGACCTGAGACTCGGTGGTACGGGCGCCGACTGCGCCGACGGACAAACAATCGGCAAGGAACTGAGGAGAGATAGTATCCAGCATCTCACTGGCAATGGGCATGCCCTTGTTGGTCAGGTCAACGAAGAGCTGGCGGGAGACACGCAGACCCTTGTTGATGTTGAAGCTGTTGTCGAGATCGGGGTCGTTGATCAGACCCTTCCAGCCGACTGTTGTACGGGGCTTCTCGAGGTACGAGCGCATGACAATGAGGAGGTCATCCTGGTACTTCTCCTTCATCTTCAACAACCGATCGCAGTACTCGAGGGCCATCGCGGGGTCGTGGATGGAGCAGGGACCGATGACCACCATCAGACGCTCGTTGGCGTCGGTACCGAGAACAATTGCGACGGCCTCATCACGGCCCTGCAACACCGTCTTCCGCGACGCTTCGGTCAATGCGATCTCATGCTGGAGGAGGTTGGGCGGGGTGAGGGGGTTGTAACCCAGAACTGTGTACCGAGGTGTGAGTTCATTGCATCAATTGCAAAGGACATGGATTCAACATACTGCGAGAGTCCTCGAGGTGACTGTGGTTGCCCACATTGGGATTTTCAATGAAGAACTGGCGATTGGATGGCGTCAATGGCAGTTTGCGGCTTCACAATGAGGGGTTCACTCACCGACATGGCGGGGTTGACTCAATCAGCAAAGCAATGGGTGCAATTCAATCGATTATAAAGTAATAAAAGGGAGACACAAAGGGGGAAGTCTCAGACAATTGGAATTAAAATAGTTAACAGGAACAGTGAAATAAATTGAAGCTTTAAAAGCTGAGAATGAGTCAACGAAATCCCACGTGATCCTCGGTGAGTCGCGCCAATCATCACCGCATTTTAACAATTCCCATCTTCGCTGCTTGTTGTATGGATAGAATACGCTTGGATCGCTTGCGATTGCCTTTTTTCCTTGGGGTCACCAGACCTTTAGGGTCCCTGCACCCGATCATCCAGCTCTTGCAGCCCTCGAATGAGCTCTCGGCAAATCTGGGTGTGTTGCTCCTTGACTGACGACATCTGCTGTCGGTACAATTCCATTCGCACCTCCTGTGCTCGGAACAGATCGTCAAGAATACGATGGCATCCCGTTCGGTAGATCTGCAGTACGTCCCGAATGGTGTCTTGCTCAGCTGCAAGTTGAGTGGACAATTGCTAGATTGTTTCGCACATTAGTATGAGAATGGCATACTGTAGTGGCTTTCGATGGATCGAACACACTTGATTGGTTACCTGTAGCAGATCGTGCGCACTTCTCTGCGCCGTTTGTAGAGCAGAGATCCATTCTACACCATTGGCGTCATCCTGCACGAGCGATCGACTTGGCTCCAGTCCGGGATAAGATGGGCCCGAAGTTCTCGAAAGAGATGGATCTCCAAGACGATCATGGGCACGATCCCTTCCACACAAACCAACCTCGTCAGTAGAGTCCGTTGAAAATGTGGCGGCTATCGTGGAAGTCCTCTCATGATCAATGTAAGTTCTTGTCCCCGCAGAGGTATCATCTGCACGTTGTGGAGTAATCATCGGCCTGGTCTCTAAAAGCTTCTCCGTGTACTGACGATCAGTATGACTAGTCCCACATCTGGCGGTTTCGGAAACAAAAGCTTTGCTGAGAGAGGTGGGGCGATCTCCATCATGAAGAAGTTGCTCTGTGTTAATGCCGAACTCTGCAACCATATCACGGTGGAACTTGGACCATGTCCGTTGGCTCTCGGGTGTGTAGCCAGGTGAGTACATTTCAGAGCTTTGATCATAGTCACTGGAGCTGGAGCTGACACCAGTTAGATCGATACTCCCCATGCGTTCATCTATGAGAAAAGGCGTCTGGATGTTCTTGTCCCCTTGGTTTGCAAGTCGAGGGCTCCCATTGCGATCCACGAGAATACTCCTTGGAATCCATCGAGGACGCGATTCGAGGGGCGTTTCTTTGGTTAGCAGAGGTTTCTCGGATTCTGGTGTGTTCTGACTTTGATTTTCATGGATAGTAAATGTGGCTTGGCGGTCAGCTTTCGCTGCAGATGAGCTTTGCGACAAGGTATCTGCTTTGCTTCCCGTGAACTGGGAGTATTCCTGAGAATTTACTAGCTTCTCATGAACCATGCCTGTAGATTTCATTGCTGGATCCATCATGGCATGCGTCGTGTCATCGGTTTTCTCGTTTATCTTGATGTCAGCTTGGTCATTGAAAAGCCCGTGAAGATTCGTCGTCACTGGGAGATTTAGGTAGTCTGCTCGGATCATTCGGGAGTCTGATGCTAGTCGGTTCGAATCTGACTCAACCTGTCCCTGATCTATGCTAGACTCGGTGACCTCTGAGTTTCGGAACGGAGAGATGCGGGCCAAAGGCTTGCGGGAAGTGGAAACGTTAGCATCCTTGTTGTCAATTGCTGTTTCGAAGATCCCGGTAGGGTGTGTCGCAGGGTCATCGGTATGTCTAAAGGGTTCTCCAGCATCACGAAGTGCATCGGAGAGCTTCATTCCGACAACCTTTCCTCTTCCTTGGTTGAGGTTGAATGTAGGGGAAACATGATTGCTCTGTGGATTAATGTCATAGTCGAGGCTGGGTTTTTTAGAAGATGATGACGAGTCGCTGGATATCTCAATGACTTCGTGTTTTTCGACAGCGACCTGGCTGTGGTATTGATTCTGATCTTCGCTGATGCCAGGGAAAGAGGTCTTGGGGATTTTAGCGGTGTCTTTCGTAGTAGCAGCTTCAGACCGTCCATCGAGGGGCCTTGAGCTAGAACCTGTGTGGGAGCCAGATACTTGCGTTTGAGAGAAGGTAATAGGTGCACTCGTCAATGACAATTGTAGATCCCGGTCTCCCCCTTTTGGAACTGGACTGGTTTTATCCTTGACACCTTTCCGGCGTTTTGATGAGTTTGGCCCGGACTGTCGTTTCTTTCGCTTGGGAGATTTCCTGTCCGTGGAGTTTCTATACTCCGGATCTGGTGAGGTCAACGCGGTTTCTCCGTGGTCGTCAACTATCTCCATTTCATCATCCGTGGGCCGGAGGTCTTCATCCCAGTCGACATCAGGTTCTAGAAGTAATGTATACGACTTTCGGGTAGACCGTCTGGGCCGTGAAAACGCAGAATCTCGCTTGCTTGGCTCGGGCAACTTTTCCTTTCCACGAATTCCGGGGATTAAAACTCCTTTGCTCGATGATTCGACATCATTTGAGACACTGGCCTGCTGCATGTTCTGTATCTTGATTGCGTTCGAATCTTCTTTGTCTGTGTCAAAGATCAGTTTGCTTGGTGGAGCCGCGTCGGCGCTTGACGTAGCATTTGTAGCGTTAGCGTTAATTGAATTATCGCTAGAAGCGAAAGCACTAGTGGCATTCAGCATTGGATGTGGTGCATTGGGTATTGCGTGCTTGGTGGCGCCAGTCTCATGCGCGATATTCGCCAATCGTGACGAATCGTAAGCGGACTCTGTACTTAAAGCTGACATCGGATCATTGTTCACATCGCTTGGCTTCTTGCTCGGCTTCTCTTCTCTGACTGTCTCTGCTGTTGACTGTTCAGGCTCAAAAGCGCTTGCCAGATCGCTGTCATCTCTTCTGGACAAGGCAAGCTCCCGTGCTCTTTTATCTTTCGCTCGAATCACATGCAGTGGTTCTAGAGAAATGACTCTCGAAACAACTCGACGGGACATCGCCGCAGTCTGTAGATGAACAGACAGAACAGACAGATAGACAATTCAACAAACAATAGGCTGCGGACAGGTGAGAGTTGAACTGCAGTTGGGTCTGGAACAACGGTGATTGTCTTGAGCTGAGCAATGCGAGGATAAAGGAGCAAGTTCGGTTGGTTGAATGTTTACACTGGCCTTGAGAAACGTCACATGATTGACTCCAGTCGATACTATTCGACTTGTTATATTCATTTCATTCTTTTCCTCGCTCTGAGGATATCCCCAAGACACTCCCAAGCTGTTCGTTGTGGTCTACTCGATCTGCAGCCCCAGTCATCATCCACAGCCCCAAGCAATGCCACCAGAGCGTCTCTTACATGAACACCGATGCATTCAATTCTACTATCTCCAGAAGATCTGGAAGTTTCTTTGCGAGGGCCGGCATTCGGAGTGTCCAGCTCCCGTCTGGTCCGCCGCCGCACCAATTCCTCCGTGCCCGCGATTATTAATCGCGGATACCGGCTCAGCAATGATCTGGTTCGCTGACGGGCAAGCGATGCATCAATTAGGCCGAACAAGGATCCTATATAATCATGCTGACCCATGACTAACCCTTCCAAGCTAACTGCCAGATTTCTTAATTCTGTCGGGTAAGACTTCGACACAAACCATGGCTCCTATGCACCCCCAACCGGCTGATGAAGAAGCGGCGCCAACCACGGAGTGCCGCTTTAGCGCAACCTCGCCTCTAACACGACTGAGAGGCGTTCTACCTGCTGCCCTGAATCGATCCGCGAGTCCCAGTCCTCGTCCCCTCCCCACAACCTCCACACACCGCCGTCGTGCATCCAGTATCGGGGCCTCTCTCGATCAGGATGAATACCTCTCCGAGAAGATCACCGAGCGGCAGGAGAGGGGAACGGGTCTTCAGGACACAATCGCAAAGAAGGAGACAGTACTGTACCTTGCGTACGGCTCTAATCTCGCCTCCAAGACCTTCCGCGGAGTACGGAACATCAAGCCGCTCTCCCAAATTGCTGTCCTCGTGCCAGAGCTCCGGTTGACGTTCGACCTCCCTGGAATCCCATATGCCGAACCCTGTTTCGCGGGAACGCAATACCGAAATCCGAATAATGAGGAGGAGCAGGGCAGAGAGTCGGCAGATGATGACTCGCTCATGGATGGGATATACATGTCAGAGAAGGAGCCGCTCATGGTGGAGACGCGAGAAGTACAAAGTACGGATCTCCACGGGCACCGATGGCACAAGCCTCTAGTCGGCGTCGTCTACGAGGTGACTCTGGCCGACTATGCGATCATCATTGCTACTGAGGGAGGTGGTCGTGGCTATCGTGATGTCGTAGTTGACTGCCACGCTTTCTCAGAGTCCTACAAGCCCACGGACCCAGTACCGAATTACCCCGATACCCCGCCCTTCAAAGCCCATACGCTCCTCTCGCCAGCTGCAGATGAAGCCTTGAAGATGAAACATGCGATCAAAAGCGACCATTCGCCCGCAATGCATACTGTGCGCCCTACGACCTGGTGTTTGGGAGATATTGGTCCGCACCTGCGTCCGGATGGTGAATACGCACAGCCCTCTGCACGCTATCTCAACCTCCTCATGACCGGCGCCGCCGAACATGAGCTCCCAGTATCATACCAAGAATACCTCTCTCAGATCCGACCCTACCGAATCACCAAGACGCGTCAGAAGATTGGGAAAGGCGTCTTCCTTGTTCTGTGGGCACCGCCTATTCTCTCCCTTCTGGCCCTGGGTAAGATATTCGCTGGCCCAGATGGACGCAGTCCTCCGTGGTTGGTGACTTTGGGTAATGTGATTTTCGCCGCGATGTGGAACAGCTATGATACTGTCTTCAAGCCGGTATTTGGAGATGGCGAACGAACTTTGGATGATACCCCACCTCTATAGTTCCAGGTGCATGTGTATGTATATTGAGTCACTCTTATTTAATCTTGCCAATCTACCCAGCATTCCAATGGCCTTTTTATTCTATTTTTGCGTGCCAATATTCAAACATGAAATGTGCGACTTGGTCTGTGAAGATCTCAGTGCTTTTACTCTTTGAGGCATTGGCTCTAGCATCAACTGATGTCATTCAATATTTCGGGGTACCTCGGTAAAATATAGCAAGTTCGAATATTTCGAACGTTGGATCTTTCAAAAATGCACATTCACAAAGGAAATTAAATTCAGTTGACTCCTCGAGCACACAGTTTTCGGAAGGACAAGAAAAAGGAATATATCTAGGATACAGATACAAAAGTGTGCTCGTGGGGCATTCTAGCACAAAACAAATGATGAAAGAGATCTCTGCCAGAAGACAGGACCAACGGGGCAATTGGTACAGGGGGAGAAATGCCCAATGGGTCATACAGCCTCAGTCAGCCTCTCCCATTTTCCAACTCATACAGGTCTTGCAGCGTCACATTTAGCGGCGGGGGCCGATCGGGGGGGCTGTACACGACCTTTCGGGACTTGATCGGGGCCCACTTGTAGCGCTTGACCCAGACACTGATGGCGAACAGACCGGTCAGGAGAGCGATGGACTTGACACCCATCTTCTTGCGGTCGTCCATCTCGGGCTCGGCGGACCAGTTCAGGAACTCGACAACGTCCTTGGCCATCTGGGAGGTGGTGGCGGGGGTACCGTCCTCGTACTCGACGACGCCATCGAACAGGACACGGCCCATGGCAATACCTAGAGAATCCGAATTAGAGGTTGCACAATCGCAAAGCAGACTGGAACAGTCACGTACCGGTACCAGGGAAGTAGGGGTTGAAGTTCATGCCCTCAGCAACGCTGGCGCCCGCCGGGGGCTCGTCAGGGTAACCAGTGAGCAGGTTGAACACGTAGTTGCAGCCACCGTGACGACCCTTGATGATCAAGCTCAGATCCGGGGGCAGGGCACCGCCGTTGGCGGCACGGGCAGCCTCGTCGTTCTTGTAGGGGGCGGGAATGTAGTCGGAAAGCTTTCCGGGGCGCTTCTCGATCTCGCCCTGGTCGTTGGGCTCGGTATCGTACTCGTTCTCTTCGGCCATGGCCTTCATCTCATCGACGGTGTGCATAACACCGACGAACGAGCGCCAGGGGACACGGGTCAGAGAGTGGCAAGAGGCGCAAACCTCACGGTAAACCTGGAAACCACGGCGGAGACTGGGATGAAAAAAAATTAGTACGGTCGAGCCGCGACGCCGAGGTTGGTAAGGTTCAGGGAAGGCGTGGCACTCACGCGGCGTGATCGAAGGTCTTGTTGAAACGTTCGTGAACCCAGGGGTACTGAGTAGGGTGCAGACTGGAAAGGGCGATATGTTAGTTCAATGGTCCTTCACGAGCGTGAATCGCACAATCTTCGGCTCCGGTGCTCCGAAGCCATCTGAGAGGTCGGTTCGATCAGGGGAATATCACTCACCCCTCCTCAGCGGGTGTCATGGCGAAAGCCTCCTGGCCATAGAGGTGGTAGTACCAGGCGGCAGAACCGGCGGCGGCGGCAGTCGCGAGCGAGGCAGTGAGGGTGAGGTAGAAGGGGGAGCTAGCGAACTCGGCGCCAGCGGCGGTGGAAGACGCACGCTGTGGAATTGATTAGCATAAGCCCTTGAGACGAGAAGAGCCGATTCCGGCGAATCGATTGGCCTCTTCGGCCGGACTCAATGGTTGGAGGTTGAAGGAGGCGTACCGTGGACTTGCCGAGCGACTGGCGTGCAATGGCCCGGTTGGGACCGCGCAGGAGGGAACGAGCCAACATGGCGAAATCAGACCCTCCAATCGATTTCAAGTGAAGAAAGGGGGAAGTCGCTAAAAGCGAGAAGAGGGGAGGGGGGGGGGGGGAGGAGAACTGGGAGAAGAGCCGATGGAGGTTGGAAGTTGAGGTCGAACAGTCAAGTTTCTCTTTGGGGGGAATTGGTCAAAACCCTCGCCCTGATTGGTTGAGCGGGTCGCCCGAGCTGCCTTCGGTGAAAACCGCGATTTCTCGGAACGAAATTCTGTGCGTCTCTTCTACTCATCTATCCTCTCTATCGGCTTTCTTTTCTGGATCAGGGAAGAGGACGTGATCCTTCAATCTCTCCATCTAGGTACTTTCCAAAAACACCCATTTCCAACCACCCCCGAATCATCCCGAAGCACCCGGCCGGCGTGAGCCACGCTGTGATTGGTCAGCCTGTTTACTTGTGGCTTGCATAGACGAGTAAACAGATAGCTCGAATCACATCGGTATCATTTTGGCTGCTATGGAGTAGTGCTACAAGCTTCTGGGAGGCTAACGGATGGTCCAGTTGCTTTCAAGGACGTATTTATGATCATAATATATCCCGCTGTGATCACGGCAAGCTTTCCCTACCTGGGCAAGCCAACAAAGGAACAACCAAATCAAGAACGACTAGAACATTGATGCTTCGACACATGTGCAAGCTTTTTTCGAGTGCTTAAGCTTCTTTCTACAACTTCTACTATGTATAGGAATCCCCCAGGTGGTTATGATCAATTTGTCCCTTTTCGACCCCACGTGTAGCATCACGGTCACCGCCTGACCAAGAACCTCGGGATGTGACTACATTCATCAAGAAGTCTGCTAGCTGACATTCGAGGTGAAACCCTCGAGTTTTACAGCAGACCCAGATTGAATGTATAGAAATAGCTACTTATGGGATACGGTGAAACATTATCTAGGGCCATGCTCCTGTATGGTATTTGCTAGTTCCGTGATTCTAGATCTTTCAAATGTTTCTGCTCCGAGACTATTGGGAAAAAGTGAAGTATTAGGTGACACGAAAAATACCTTAAATGGGAATGATTCAATGAAGAAGGAAGGTGACGACCTCAGAGAATCTATGTTCATTCAATCCCATTTAGGACCCCGCACGGGTAACCTCATTCCCGGCGCTTTGCGGTAACCATCACAATAGCGTCGGCCCCATTGGACATATGACCTAGTTCGGAGAATTTAATAGGTACAGCTTGGTCTAGTGTAACACTGCCTAAAGCTCAAGCCGATACCGCAGGACATGCTACGGCTTGTTAGTGGCCCGTGAGTCATGTAGACTGGCCCCTCGCGTTTATAAGTTATAGATCGATCCTAGAGATGCGTCAGGCTTGCATATGAGAGGTTTGGGCTGCTCATATAAGAGCTTTAAATCCACGAATGCTCACCGCTGGATTCATGTGTTAGCTCAATGGTGTCTCGTCGTTCTTGGAATTGTTTCTTGTTGCTCTCACTATATAGTTACCTCAAGTCTTCTTGAAAACAAAAGGAAAATGTCTGGACGCCTGCTAAAAAGGTCAAAGAAGCTCGGAGTATGCATCCAGAGGAGTAATTTGCCTCGAGGAACGTGCTCTGTATCGTGTTCTGTTGCAACTGCTTCGGTTGGCACGGAGGGTGATAATGTTTCTTCCACAAGTAATCGCCCGGTCATACATTCGGGTAGGATCAATTGAGAAAGTTGGTTGATCGAAACTACATTGAAGTAAACGGGGGTGTCATTATGCTAGTTTAACTCAACAATCCATATCCCCTCGAGCCTAGGATACCCTCAAAGCCTGAAGATTTTGTGGGGAGAACGGGGGCACGTCTTCAACGATATGATGATTCGCCATGAAGTGCGCCATATCTGTAACTATTCAATTGCTTCCCGTTAAAATCCCATTTTAGTGTTTCTTCTATCAGTTGGATACCCTGATGGCGCCATTCTTTCTGTCTTCGATGCGATCTACAATTCAAAGAACTTTGGTTTCGTTCTCCCTCGTCATGAACAAGGAGCTGGTCATATGGCACACGGATATACCCAAGCTACAGGAGAGCCTGGAATTATTGTGGTGACATCTGGGCCTGGAGTGACCAACTTGGTCACATCCATAATGGACGCTCTGGCCGATGGGACACTGATAAATGTGTTCTGCGGCCAAGTCACCACCAGCGCGATTGGTACGGATGGTTCCCAGGAAGTAAATGTGCTGGCAATGTCTTAGCCCTGACCAAATGGAATACTACCGTGCACAACACCTCAGAGTCACCGAGAAAGATCGATGAGGCATTTGAAATCGCGCTGAGCGGTCAACCTGGGCCAGTTCTTGTGGAACTGCCTATAGATGTGACAGCGGGCATTTTCCGCCGTCCCCCTCGAGCTATATGTGCTAGATTCCCACTTGAATTAAGTCCAGCGAACTTGATAATGAGTCAGTTCCGCCAAGACAAGTTCATGCATTCTATCGACGAGGGTGCCAAGTTGGTCAATACTGCTACGCGGCCTGTCCTATACGTCGGGCAGGGCATTCTTGCCACCCCGAATTGCCCTCGTCTACCCAAGCAACTGGCTGAAAAGATCCAATATCCGTAACGACCAGTCTACAAGGCCTAGGGGCCTTTGATGAGACAGATATTAAAGCCTTGCACATTCTTGGCCTCCACAGATCTAGCCATGCGATTGTGGCCATACAATATGCCGGTCTGGTCATTGCCTTGGGTGCACGATTCGATGGCCGAATGACTGGCAGCATCCCCAAGTTGGCCCGAGGCCAGACTAGCCGAAGGCTAAGGTTGTGGCGGGATTATCCACTTTGACATATCAGCAAAGAATATAAACGAGGTAGCGCCAGCGACCGTACCTCGTCGGCGATTGTGCAGAGAATCTTGAGCTCCTTCTACTGCAAATCACGAAGACCCAACGATCTGGGTGGATGGTTCAGATACAAGTCTAGAAAGAACAATATCCATGCCAGGCGTTTAAACCGCAGCGGTCGAGACGACATGATCATTCCCCAACACGTCATTGAGCGTCGAGCGAGGTCGTAGACCCAATCAAGGATCGCACTATCATCACCAGCGGCGTTGGACAGCACCGAATGTGGACTGCCCAGCATTTCCGGTGGAGATACCCTCGTACCTTAGCCACATAAGGAGGGCTGGGCACAATGGGCTATGGCCTTCCCGCGGCGATTGGGGCAAAAGTTGCACGCCCCGAGCCTCTTGTCATCGATATTGACGGGGATGCATCTTTCAACATGACTTTGGGCAAGCTTGGTACGGCAAGTCAGTTCAATGTCGACGAGAAAATCTTTCTTCTGAATAACGATGAGCAAGGAATGGTCACCCATCTTCTGAAGTTTTACTATGATAATCACTTCTGTCACAGCCATAACCTAAACCCTGACTTTGTTGAAGCTTCTCGAGCTATGGGGGTTCAAGCTGAAAGCTGCTCCGATGTCTCCGACGTCAACGCAAAGATCAAGTGGCTCCTGGAATCCAAAGACCCTGCTATTCTAGAGGTCAAGGTTGCTCCGAAGGCGCTGTCTCTGCCCATGGTTCTAGCAGAGCCTGCTCTTCATGAATTCCAATTCTATTCCGAGCAGGCATATATTAGAAAACTGTTGGGGAAAATATCAATAAATAGATATGCAGTGAGAGAAGATATGAATTATACTGTTACAGCTCGACTGAGAAGATAGTCTAAAGGAACCTTGCTACTTGATTCTTCAGCTCTTTTCTGACATCTACCGAGGCATCTCTTGAGAGGTCTGTCTATATTGTTTCTTTTCCAAGATATCCTAATAAATGACTTAGAGTAGTCTGAGTAGATAAGTCACGCCTGCTTATTTAAAACGACTTTATATTACATTCTCGATCCGGTGGTAGCGAGTGTAGGGTCATGCTCAAATGTTACGTTCCGATCGGCCCGGGCTTTGCCAATCCTAGCGCCCGGCCCTCAACTTCACCTCCTCCACCATGGCAACTAGATCTACCAAACAAAGCGGGCTGGCCTCGCTGGCCTGTACAGAGTGTCGCAAACAACACCTCAAATGCGATGCACGCAAGCCTTCTTGCTCACGCTGTCTGCAGAACGCGTTCCTCTGCCAATATCTCCCTTCAAGACGCGGAGGCCGCAGGAAACCTCGGGATCTCAATCGCCGAACGACCTTATCACACTCTGACGAGTTAAATGTTAGTACTGACCAACCCGATCGATGAGACTCATGCTAATTATTGTTTAGAATTCTGTCATTTTGACTAACGATCACGTATCAGACCAGCCTAATACGCCCGACAGTGCGTCAGCCCGACACGTATCTATCCCCGCCGGGATTCCTCCTGGGCAGGTCCCTTGGCCCATGATTCCTCCGAGACATGACTTGAATCAAGAGAGATTAGAGCCAGCCCGAGATCCCTGGTTTCATGATGATCGCTTTTTACGTCTCTTTTATGAAAATTTTCATGTCGCGCATCCCATGCTGGTGCCCAGTGCCTCATACCACGATCGACAGTATCCGGAATTCCTTCAACTGGTGGTCAATTTTGTCGGGTCTCACTATGTTCCCTCTAGTACCAGTCAGCAATATCGAGACAAAGTCGTTGCGGAACTGGCTTGCAATTCCGACCGGTCGCACTGCATGGTTCAGGCTTGGTTGATTTACTCTATTGCTATCTACGCGCGGGGCGAGCCACAGGAGGCACAGGATGCATTTTCGCGAGCTGTTGAGATAGCTTTGGAGCTTGGTATGAATCGAGTGGATTTTGCCGCGTCTCTGAATTCTGAGAGCTCCCTCGAGGCTGAGAGCATCCGACGGACATGGTGGGAACTTTACATCACGGATGTTTTCATGGCAGCTCCGTTCAAAGGGAGCAGCTTTCAATGTAGCACAATGGCCCCTGAAGTTGCGTTGCCATGCGAGGAGTCGGCGTACACCGGGACTTGCGATATACCGACGCCTCGGAAGATGCTGGACTTCAAGCGCAGAGTCTTTGCTTCCGAGGAGACTGTCTTCTCCTCATTCAGTTATCGCATTGAAGCGACGACAATATTGTGTCGAGCTCTTGTCTTGAACAGGCTGCGTGACTACCATCGAGACCATCTCCAGGCGGTCGAGAATGCGCTCGTCAGTTGGGTTAACCATTTACCGCCGAAGAAACTCGACATCGTGGACTCCTATGGTAACATCGACGAAATGATGTTTCAAGCCCATATGACCATCTCATATGCCACCATGCTGTTGCATCTTCCACGGAGTGATCTTCAGTCTGTTTTATCTCAAGCAGATGACCAATTTTGGCCGAGTGCATCGCGTCATCTAGCCTCGACTCTCAATCGTCCCATTCACAGCATCAAAGCGACAGAGGCCTCAAGGCGAATATCGGATGCCATTTCACTCTGCCCAAATGTCCCAAAACATACTCCCTTCGCCATTCCTGCACTAGCACTCTGTGGCATGATTCAGCTCGCCACATCCATCAAGCACACCGAAGAATGCTTTGATCATCACTACAATCGAGTGACGCTCATACTCGGGTGTTTGAAGAGCACGAAACGAATATGGGGTCTCGCAGACTCTGCTTATAACAGTCTTCGGGCTTCGGCAGGCGAAGCCCTGTCGGACTCGATGGAACGCTGGTGCACAGAACCCCTAAGAAAGCTATTCCCGACAGACTCCACGCCGAGTAGCACAGACCGGACACATCAACCCACACGGCCAACGTCGGCGATCTCAGATGCACAGGATATCTTGTTCCCGCCGATCGTACCCGGATTCGTTGACCCGACGTGCTACAGCGACGCCTTCTTCACCTCCATTCCGGATTTTGATATAAGCTAGCCGGGGTGATCCTCTGAGGACACGAACATCTGGATACGTATGGTGCTGAAAACTCCGCCATTTGCGCTCACCATACTCTTAGATTGGCGAACCTATCAGGAAATACCTTATATAGCTCTTCTTAGAGAATTAGTATCGTAATGTAATTTGTTCACCATCTAGTATTATTTTTTGGCCCTCTTCTGAATACGTAGCTCGAACCTGGGCCGCGAATTTTCTTTCACATTACAAGCCACCCCGGGCGAATTCGAATGACAACAGGGGCATCTGACCTGTGCACGAGCATAATTGTGTATCAACACCAGGTTGAGTTGTCAGTTATGATTGGGTTTGGATGGCGTGTATGTACTGTACGCTGATCTCATAATTCGGGGATCGAATTAACGGGGCTGCGCGTCGTCAATCGCCGATTGACCGCACAACGTCAATCTTCCTCGGGGATTGCCGCGCAATTGCGGTCTGGACTCGCTGAGTTCCTTTATAACTCCTTCAATTCATTTACATTTTGCTCTAAAACCGTACCCTCGTACTGAGCTATATCACTCACCCCCCACGATGACTTCTTCTATGCTTTCTAGCCACGCCTCCATCGATAAGGGCTTAGCCCCTTCCTATCAACCCTTCAAGGAGCGATACGATTTGGACAGTCTCGTGGAAGACGTCAAGCAGCATTTAGGACACTCCGGAGGCATTTCGTCTGATGAGGTCGACTCTGAATACTTGATCTCCTTGTTAAAGAAGTACACTTCTGATCCCACCGACTGGATCAGCTTCTTCCACAATGATACCAGCAAGAACTACACGCGCAATGCGATCGAGAACATCAACCACAAAGCCAACATAGTGAGTAATAGACTATTGCTTCTCCGGTGGATTCAACTGATATTTTCAGCTTCTTCTCGTGTGGAATCCTGGAAAAGGCTCGCCCATTCACGACCACGCCGATGCCCACTGCATCATGAAGGTCCTGGCCGGACAATTGCACGAAACTGTCTACCATGCCCCTGAAAACAAACCAGGGGAAACTAAGCCCCTGGCTGTCAAGTCAGCCACAACTTTAGGGATGAACGAAGTCACCTATATTGCCGATGATATCGGTCTTCACCGAGTTCACAACCCCAGTAGCAACCAGCTGGCAGTTTCTTTACACCGTGAGTATCTCATACTTTCAATATGCGTTTGCCAGACACTAACAACACTCTAAGTCTATACCCCACCAAATGCAGCCGACTACGGCTACAATATCTTCGATGAAGCCACCGGGTCTGCGAGCCATGTCTCGCAGGCTCACTCGGTCCCAAAGCCCCAATAAAGGGACCTTTGATTTTCATGGTGATGTGGCTTGATGTTCTTCTGCTTTTGATAATGCATGGCTCAATCTTCGAGTCAACAACTTCTTGTTTTACTTGCATGGAAGTCGTCCAGTTTTATACCCAACGCCTCGATGGCTTGATATTTTGAAGCAATTTCGAGCTTCATGAGACACAGATGAATAGCGATAGTGATATGTGAATTGCATTAAGCATTTTTTTCGAACCTCGTAATGTTGTTAATTAGAGTATACGGCTTGTCTTAGAAAATTCACCGCTATCTACACAGTAAAAGCCAAGACAAGAACCGGATATTTACATCAGACCGCTTCTAGGCGAAAAGAGCCGGGCTCACATCAGTGTGCAGGTGATCGTAGCAAGGGGAGCTCGATTGAGCGCGGTCGCCGACTGTCCTTATCTTCGGCATGAGACCTGGCAGTCGCCGATATAAGTATGCCTGGTATTTGTGACCCCTGCAGATAACAGCTCATTCTCATGATTGGCATGACGTACTCAGGCTATTTCCGATGCTGAAAGTTGAATTGGCCCACTACGATAGTTTAAGTGGCTATCGGGCCTTGAGTATAGGGGATGGTACAGACAATGGCCAAAAGACGGGATGGGACTTCAATCCTATTCTCAACAGTTCGCGATTCCTTATCGAAGCTTTGTAAAATCTTATGCCCAGGAACTTGGGCCCTTCTAGCTGTGCCGTGCGCGAAATTTGGGCCATTTCACGCTACTGGTCAATCGAAGATCAAACGCTGGGCGCAGAAGCCTCAATGCCCGCCACCAATACCATATAAAGTACGCATTTTTTGGTTTTCATAATGCTGCCCACTACTATGGCGCCAAGAAGAACTGGGTATATCCGGAGGGTGTGCTCCCTATTCGCGTTCTTTCTCTTTGCCTCGCTCGTACCTTTGCAATGGCAGCAACTCCCAAGGGTCCCGTGCGGGAGATATTTGCAAGCCATCTAGATTTATGGCAACTATGTGCAGCATTAGGTAGACCACAGTTTCCTAGGTTTACAGTTTTTCCAAGTACCTATCAGAATTTTGAAATCAAACTTTGAAAGCAAACATGTCAGACACAAACTACGAGTTTCCATATTATGTCCAAGGAATAGACAGTCTATAAAGTCTTGATGTCCCGTTTCTGTTATCTCTGGCACACAGTTAAGCTCTTTTCGCATTTATCTTGACTCCAAAATATTTCACATCCATGTCAGTTCAACAAAAATTCGAAATGCCTTCATATACTCCACAGGAGTATCCAGAGGCTTTGGTGAGAGTCTTATTCCTCAGAAGCGTTCAAGGGCATAGATGTATCGCTCTCGTGTCCACGCACTAAATTTTGACAGTGAAGGCACTCAGGAGTAAAGTGAAAATGTGTGCAACCCTATGAACACTGCATTTGTTGTGCTTCACGATGTATCAAAAGCCATTTGGATTACCTATCACTTTAAAATTAACAAAAGTATCCGTTTCTTCACGTTTCATAGTTCGCGATTGTATAATGACACAACTCACAGAGGCGGTGAGGGGACCCTGGGCGCTGATCGCCTCTTAAACCGGAGGTCGATCAATCGTGTGCAGATGCGGCGAGTGACCTGTGGGATAATTTTTCTCCCTGGGTGATTGTGTCAATACCCAAATCTTTCCACGAACGCCCGATAAGTCATCGTCTCGACCTCACGCGACTTGGTGGGTTCGAGGCTGAAGTCCCGCTCACCCCGCGCCGACCAACTCCGCAAACGCTCTTATGTCCCGATGAAGATAACAGACACATAATATGCCGCCGAACGGGAAAAAAGGCCAGGCGCCAGCCAAGCCGCGCAGAGATGTGCTTGCTTCGCTGCGCATGGCGTCTATGGAAGAAATCTCCAAACCTCCGCTTCCAGCAGGTGTGTCATCTCATTGCCCGCGGACGAGACAGTTCACTAATACGATGTAGAGATCATGTCCTCGATCATCGACTATCTCGGGCCCGTCGATCTTATCCGCACAGCTCGCTCTTGCAAAGTACTTCACGAGATGGTGTATGACGATACCCGGTGGATAGGACGTCTAAAGCGAATTGGTTGCTGGGACGAATCGGACGCGCGAAGGCATATTGAAGAGGTTTATGGAACTATTGCGGACGTGGATACTGTCGAGCAGCAAGAAGCTGCCGGCCAGGAGGCTCGCACGGTCCCTGTAATCAAGGTTGAGAAGGATGTCAGCGCCATCTCTGACGGGTTCGACAAGATCGACATGAGCAACACTGCTCGCGCAACCAATCTACTAGACGATGCTGCCGATGACCCAGTGCTGGACGTCTTGAAACAGGCTCGGTCTATTCGCGGTGAAGCTCGTCAGGAGTATGGAAAAATCCATGCTGCGTTGGCACCCTTCTACGACAACATTGGCAGCAATGGGCCTTCGACCGAGAATCTTGTTTTTACCCAATATAAAGATCCGCAGGCGCAGGCTAAGATTCTGGCACAATTATTGAATTTCTCGAAATGCGACTTGACTACCGGTTGGACCGAGAGAGTGGATCGTCTTGAACGTGCGGTATCGATGTTCGAGACTGCCGCATTGAATGAATTCCGGAACGCATATGAAAAGGACGATATTGATGCCACGATGCGCAAGTATGCCCATATATTATGGACACTCAATGGCGGAAGCTCTTCCAGGGATCTCTTCATCCAATACAATCATTTGATAACTCGCAAGTCCCAATTGGGCAGCGTGGCCGATTGCATTCATAGCTCTGGTCAAATTAAGACTCAACAAACCCAAGCTTTCTTTACGCGCTTGAGTGTTGGCTACAATGAGGAGGTGTCAATCATGAACCGGGTCTTTCCTTCCTCCCTGGATGTGGCGACTCCGTTCATGGAGAAGGTCGGACAAGACGTCCTCTATCCTTTCCTAACCACCATTTTCGATGAGCTTCACCAGAGCAACTTGGAGTCCTATCTCACGGCAATCTCTGCTACATTTATACAGTGCATGAATCTCTCTGAGTCGTTGCTGCCAATTCGGAACTCGGGGGACAAATTCGAACAGTACCTCGATTCTGTGGTATGCAAGATTTACGAGCCGCATATTGACCTATATCTGGCTGAGGAGCTGGATCACTTCCGCAAGATCTCTGAAGCCACTGTCTCCGAGTGGGACCGTCAACTTTCGGAGCAGGCTGCCTCGACAGAATCTTTCTTGATGTCCAATGTGAATCGACAGGCCGACAAGCGCGACTTTTTAACATCTTTCAAGAAAGTGATCATGATGCCGGTGAACATTCTCCCTAGCTTCGGTACAAAGACAGAAGCCAAGTCAGACTCCGAGACGAATGGGAACCCTGTCGCACCCAAGAGTCCGAACCGGTTCTCCACCATTTCATCACCAGTGACACCAGTCATTGAAGAAGTACCGACAACTGAACTTGCGGCGAAGGCGGCGATCATGAAAACCAAGATGGAAGGCATCCGATCCTTGTTCAGTATTGAGATTGCACTGGGCCTCGTTCACTCTGCCAAGTCAAGTCTGGAGAGAGCTGCGCAGTTTGTTCGGCTGGGTGGGGGGTTTGGACGGGCCGCAAAGCAGCAGTGCGAGGCTATCTTTGTGGATCTTCTTCGTACCCTAGGCCACCGCCATGTAATTATTGGTTTCGACAAGGCTGTCGATCACCTCTCGAACTATCGGCCGCGCGAACAAGATGATCGCGATTCATCCGGAGTTGAGCCCCTGGTGACTTTCTTGGAGCTGGTCAACGTGGGCGATCTGATCTTGCAAATGGTGGACGTTTTCTACGAGCAAGAACTGATCGGCACAAGGCTGACCGACCGGAACGATTTCCTCAATCCGGCCGTGAAAGAAAAGAAGAAGTTTGAGCAGATGCTTGATGAGCGCGTGGCAGCTGGGTTGAACAAAGGTATTGATGTCCTCATGGAAGAAGTAGATTATATTCTTGCTACGCGACAGTTGGCTACGGATTTCAACCCTGGTGTCTCCTCAGATCCCCATCGACAGACCATGGACGTGAGTCTCAGTGAAGCTGCTATAGCAGTGGTGAATGTGGTGTCATCGCACACACAGATGCTTGTGGGCAGTACTGACAAGAGCACACTGGATGTGTTCAATCAAGAGGTTGGACTCCGTCTATTCACCGCCCTGTGCAAGCATCTCAAGCGACAGCGGATCAGCGTGGAAGGATCCCTAAAGCTGATCAGGTATGTTGCTTTCCAAGAATATCACCGGCTTTGCTAACTCCTTTTCCAGCGACATGAACCACTACTTCAAATTCGTCCAGAGTTTGAGGAACCAAGAGCTTCTGCTATACTTCAAAGCCTTCCGGGAGCTCGCTCAAATCTACCTGATCGACCCTTCCGATGCCAAGGAATTAGCGACAATTATCGCCGATGCTGATCGATTCCAGGGGATCTGGCGTGTGGAGGAAGTCTACGAGTTTGCAGAACGCAGAGCCGATTGGTTTCAAGTAAAGAGTGGTGTTGAACGAGCCATGTACGGCGCTGGGTGCAGCGTGATGTAAACAGATACCCCGATTGCATAGCGAGTTGTATAGAATAGGAATCTCAGGGCCCGTGCCTGGCATATCGTCACGATTAACTTTCTACTAACGTTTTGATTAAGAAGTCAGAATAAAGGATCCACTAGAATATTGTAAGAATCATTATTTGGTTGAAAGGGTTCCGGTTCATCCGCGATGTAGTATCCGAATGTCTGACGTCAACGGCGACTACTGGAACATCGCGCTTCGTCTGAAACGACCTCTAGACCTTCCGAACCAACAGCCACTACCGTCCGCTTTCAGGCTGAAATAAGCCAAAACTCAGTATGACGCGCGACATTGATATTCGTCTCTGTCTCAGGCTCTCTAGTTTGCGTGGTTTCTACAGGGGCTGACCCAACTTTTGGCTCCCGTCGACAGAACATGACGCTGATACTATATAGAACGTCATGTCTCTTGTAACTCACCTGGTTCCCCTGGTTCAGGTCCAGGCCAAAGCATATCGCATATATGTTCCTGGTGTGCCTGGCGTTTGTGCCTTGGAATCAAAGCAAACTTTGGCGCGCGACCATCCCCGGCCCTAGCGCGTATTGCTGCGAGCTGACCCAGCAGCATCGGCAGACGTGAAACCGGTTCTTCTCCAGAGAGCGCATTCTACACTTCAGAGCCATTTGAAATGCAGTGATCGATCACAGCGTCAACCTTTCCCTTGACTTCTTAGGGTGGGGAGGCCACGAGTTGGTATCGACAATGTCGACCAAACCATACTATACGTTGCTTCTTTGGCTCCTTGTGGCTGTCATTGGCTTGTTTGCCCGTGTCAAAGCTGAAGACATTGTCTATGTGACCACCACTGTAGACGCTTCGACAATTGTGGCAGCGTCGCCCACCGCGCCGAGTCCGGCCTCTTACACTTCTTTCGACGACTTCAAGAAGACAGTCTTGCAAGTTAGCAATGACTATCGCCAATCTCACGATGCAAAACCATTAGTCTGGAATGAGGCCTTGACGGAATATGCGCTGAACTGGGCAAAGGCTTGTGTTTGGAAGCATTCGGTGAGATATACTATGTCATAGTCCAAGGTGGTTGTCTAACAGTTTTTCCAGCATGGTCCCTATGGTGAGAACCTCGCCTATGGTTATCCCAATGCTACTGCGGCAATCGATGCCTGGGGCGATGAAGGCAAGCTATACGATTTCCACAAGCCGACGGGCTTCACAGAGAAGACCGGTCACTTCACACAACTGGTCTGGAAATCGACGGCCGAAGTGGGATGCGCTGCGGTCAACTGCGGATATACATACGATAAGGCACGAGCAGACAATGAGGACGACCCCCTTTTGGACGCTAGAGCTGAGGACAGCGCCCCGAGAGCACAGGGCTGGTATGTGGTGTGCGAGTATACCCCAGCTGGAAACGTGGTTGGCGAACACGACAAGTACTTCAGGAAAAATGTCGTACCGAAGGAATCGAGTACATCTTCTACTCATCCAAGCGGAGGCTCAACCATGACCAGCGAGAAGTCATTCTCGCTGCGTCTGACGCTGCTAGCTCTCGGGACCATAGCCGTTGGAATGAGTCTATATACATAGTCTACGATCAAATACGTGAAAGTTAACATCTGCTTGTTCGTAGGCATTTCTCATGCTTATCCACATTGCACATCAAGAGGTCGCACACAGCTCCTTCTATCGGATTTTGAGAGGCCCCGATCCTCAGACCAAACAAACGGGGAAAAGCCGGGTCGGAGCGCAGAGGACGCCGGCCAAAAAGGGAAAAAGAACATTATATGCGACAGAGAAAAAGGAAATTTCGTCAACCAATGACCTCTTCGGTCTCCTCGACAATCTCTTCCACGATCTCCTCCACCACTGCGTCGCCCTTGTCCTCGCCGCCAATCGGCGCATCCAGGGCCAGCTTGGGCGAGTCGGCGTCGTCGGGGAGTCCGAAGGCCTCCTTCTCCTCGGCCTGGAGCTCCATCTCGCGGCGCAGCCAAGCAACCCACTCGCTGAGCACGCGCTTGCGCGTCTCCACAACGGCGGTGTTGGCGATGTCCACAGCGTACTTGTCCTCCTCATCGAACTCCTTGGAGTACTCGCGGAGGTTCTTGCGAACCTGCTTCTGCTCCTCCTTGCTGAGGAGAGTGGCGGGGCGTGGGCGCCAGAGGAACTGCTTGAACTTTTCGGTGGGGTTTTCGGAGAGGGTATTGCCAGAGAAAGTGTGCAAGTTCCAGCCGTTTTCCATCTATTTTCCTGTTAGTAAATATTCAATTGCCAATGAAATAAAAGGGTAATCTTACTGAGTGAGTCCAGACACTGGCACTGCTGACAACGTAGCGACCGGTAGAGTCCCACTCAATGTCAGTCACACCGTAGTGCTCGACGGTCTTCATCAACTGAAGGTTGGCAGCAAGGTCCTTCTCAGCCTCAATCTTCTCGCCCTCGAAGTCCATATCCCAGAAGTCAAGGTCGAAGTTAGACTGGGAGTGAACGGTAGCGACAACGACGAAACGGCCCTTGGGGGACCAGTAGATACCGTTGCTGGTCTTCTTATCGACTGTGCGGACAAGCTTGAAGCTGCCGGCGACGTTGCCCTTCTTCTCGGGGGCAAAGAACGAAACAGCGGTCTTGGGGGGAACGGCAGCGCCGGTGGGGTTCTCGCCGGTGTTGATGAGAACGAAACGCGATCCATTGGGCTCCCAGGAGAAGTTGATCACGGTATCCTTGAGGCTGTCGACAACCTCGACGGGAACACCCTTCTCCTTCACACGGAAGATCTCCAGGTTGGTGGCGAGGGACTTCTTGGACTTGGAGTGACGATCAACCTTGACACAGACGTAGGTACCCTGGGATTGCCAGTGCAGCTTGACATCGGAAACGTTGAACAAATTACGGGTACGGACAATTTCCTTGGAAGGCACGCTCATCATGGCGACACGGGCGGGGTTGCTGCCAATTTCGGGGGTCCAGAAGCAGAGCAGCTGCTCATAGTGCTTGACACCCTCACGGGTGACAGTGGCGGGAGACCACTCAAAGTCGTTCACGCCCTCGATCTTCACTGAGGTACGGCTCAGGAGGTTCATGTTGGGCACCTCGTAAATGGAAATCGACTGACCCTGGAGCATACGGGCCACGTACTTCTCGTCCGCAGACCACTTGAAAGCGGGCCACTGGACCTTCTTCTTCGGTTGAACGTCACCCTCAACGGCGGGGGCGGCAGTGAGATCGTGGGAAACGAATGAGCGAAGGGGCTTGCCGGTCTCGATATCCCAAACAATAATGTTCTTTCCATCTTCCTCGAAGGTCAAGATGGGCTGACCTTCTTCAACCTGGATGGGGCGGGAGGACCATGTGGTCAAATAGCCTTCCAAGGGTGAGAACTCGATCAATTGCACGAAGGGGTGGGGGAACTGCTTTTGTTTTGAGAATGAGGCGCCACCCCAGAGTTGGACACCCTGGGGGTGGACGGAGGCGAGGAAGTTGCCCTTGGGGGACCATTGGACGAAAAGTTGTGTCCAGTGAGCGCGGTCGACGACGTTCTCTGGCGGGTTGCTCTTGTTGTTCCAGAAAACACCAACCTTATCGTTGCGGTAAAGGGCGAACTGATCACGGGCGTTGGCATCGCCCAACCACGAGCGCAGGTGCTCCTTCTCCTTGAAGGGCTCGGTCGTGGGCTCCTGGTACTCCTCCTCGATGCGACCCTCGCGACCATAGCGCTCGATATCCATCAACTTGTTCACGGCGAGGGTGTGCTTCTTGTCGAGAGGGACGCCGTGCAGTTGCTTGACGGCGGCCATGGCTTGTTCGGGGGTTTCGTACTCGACGAAGGCAAATCTGTATACAGTCCACACTAGATCAGTTATCGTATCCGCCACGTAAATCCAAGACCCATCACGCACCCTTCAGTCATCTCCTTGTCGTTGACCGGCATAAAAACGGCATCTTCGGAGGTTTGACCGACGGAGGTCAACTTCCTCAACAAGAACTTGACGAGCTTCTGTCGGCTGTCCTGGGGGACGATGGGGAGGCCATCGATGACGACGAATGTGTCCAGACCCTCCTCGAGTTTAACTTCGTATTGTTCCTTGAGATCTACCGGGATTGTTAGAGAGGGGCACACGGCCGGGGCGAAAGATTCTGCACGCACCGGAGAAATCGACTTCCTCCTCCTCCTCTTCGTGGAGGTCCTGCTCGGTCAGGGTATCGAAACTGGGCGCCATGATGAAGTTGCGAAAGGCGACAGCCGTGGAGCGGAGCAGATGTGCGGACTTTGAGGATTTTCCCACAGGAAACAAAAGTGGACGCCAAGCCGCTTTCTTTGTGCGCGCTGACTCATCATCACAGATCACGTGCACTTAGTCAGCGCTTTCCCCGGGCTGCGCATCGCCATTGCTTTCGGAGCTCCCGCGGGGCTGTCTTTGTTGCTTGTCATCTTACGTCCATTCTCGATTCTCGATTTTCGTCATTGCCTCTTGGTTCTCCTTCCGTCGGTTCTTTCCGTGGTGTCCCTTCGCGCCCCTGGTCCTCCCGCCCTGCACGACCCCGGTCCTAAGCGCCAGTGCGACTATACCCACCTGACCTGCCCCAAGTACCGGGTTGCGCTATCTACAATCAGTAGCCCAAATTGCCGGCGGGAGCTCCAGCGCAGGATCTACAGCTCGCTAGCACTGATAGCGAGTGATTACGGAGGACACTACTAGGATTGACTGCAGACAAGATGTCGCGTGCGTTACCTCGGCGTTGCCCCGGCCGCGAATGGCGGATCCTCAGCGTACGCACGCCTGTCGCTAACTCGGTGCTATAGTTTCTTCGGAAATACGCGATCAATACGTCGAGATCATTGACTCGATTCTTGGCAAAAGTGATCTCAACACTATCTCCGAGAAGCGAATTCGCAAAGGTCTCCAGGAAGTCGTCGGCTATGATCTCACTCCGCAGAAGGTATGTCTGCTCTGGTCAGATCGCCTTCGTCGAGACCAGGAAGCAAGATAATCGCATGGAGGACAAATGCTTACAATTTCGACGAACAGTCTGCTGTGAAGCAGCTCATCATGGAACGATTTGACATTTACGCAGAGAAGAACGGCGTTGGATCTCCGGAAGAGCCCAGCGCAAGCAACGGTCACAAAGAGGGCGACTCAGCCTCTGCAGTCCCGTCCCCACCCCCTTCTTCCTCCCCAGTGAAACGCGACCCCGACAGTGAGGCCTCGTCGCCTATTGGCAGCGAGCCGCCCGCCAAGAAGCGCAAGCCGGATGCCGATGTTGATGCCGATGCCGGCGTTGACGCCGATGCAGTGTATGCAGCGAAGCTGCAGGCTGAGGAGAATTTGCGCGCGCGGCCAACAAGAGGTGGAAACACTCGGCGCGCAGCTCCATCTAAGAAGAAAAGCAAAGCCAAGACCTCGAAGCGGGTCAAGGCGGAGGACGACTCAGATATCGAGTCTGGCTCAGAGACTACCACGAAGAAGGAGGTTAACCGGACTGGCGGATTCCATGTAAGAGGCCATTGTCAGGGCTGTATCCAATATAGTCTATCTTAACACTTCTTACAGAAACCCCTCAATCTATCGCCACCTCTGTCTGCGCTACTGGGTGGAGAAGTGACAGTAAGATATTCTCACATTTCACTCAATTACTTGTGATTAACTCTTCGTCTAGCTTTCACGACCTCAGACGGTGAAAAAGGTCTGGGAGTACATCCGGGAAAATCAACTTCAGGACCCCAGTGACCGTCGCCAGATTCGATGCGACGACGCCATGCGCGCCGTTTTCAAGCAGGATCGAGTGCACATGTTCACCATGACCAAAATCCTGAATCAGAACTTGTACAGCCCGGATGAATAGTTTTGGCTGGGATCGTGGTCTGTTTTTCGCTCGCCCAGATGGGTATTTCATCCGCCTTAACGACTCTCGTTGTCTGTCATTTGAATTTTGCGATGCATGGGGATGCTGGCGTGAACCCTTGTTTAGGGCTGTTGTTTCTCTGGCGCTTTTGCTCTTTTCCCAAATTCTTTGATTTTGCCCTCCAGCAGGAGTTGGCCAAGCCCTCGAATAGTGATCATGGTCGAAATCAACCATTTGCATCTATGATGTGGCGGTAACGTAGAATTGTGCATTTGTCAGCCAACCATGGCGTTTGGCAAATCTAGTAGCTTCCTTGTGCATTAAGTATGTCCAAGTTACTCTTGTGCCATGTAGTGGGTGTCTTGATTCTGATATAGAGCTGACAGATCTTGCAAAGCTCCGCTAAGTCAGCGGGCCGAGATCTTTTCTTTCCCACCCCACGCACAAATTCGCGCCCTGCAGCTGTACGCCACTGACCCGTGAACCTTTACTGCTGCGCTGATCTTCGACTCCACTACGCCATGGCTGATAACGCGCAGGCACCAGGGTCCTCAAGCCAAGGTCGTGGTGGTCGTCGCCGAGGCCGTGGAGGGGCTCCCCCTCCGGCCGTACGGACGCCCAGCAAAACTCCGGGGAAGGCGCGAACAGAGGCAGATCTCGTGGACGCGGTGGAAAGAATTCCGGGGGACGCGACAAGCAGAATGCCGACGGGGCTCGCAAAGATGCGGAGCCCGTTACAACTGCGACGGTAGGCTTGAAGCAGGTCGCTGCTGCTACCGAGGATGCGGATGACGGAGAGGTCTGCTTTATTTGCGCCTCCAAGGTGGAACACACCTCGGTCTCCCCCTGCAACCACCGAACGTGTCATATTTGTGCTCTCCGCCTTCGTGCGCTATACAAGAGCAAGAGTTGTGCTCATTGTAGGGTAAGTTGGCCTCCGGGGTGGCCCGCGATTCGGGGTCAGCCTACTTTGCGGATTCCCAATGGACAATGTTAATATGTATGGCTACCTAGACCGAGTCTGCCTTTGTGGTATTCACCGACGATCCTGTGCGCCGCTTCGAGGACTTCCAGAAAAAGGACTTTGCTCGGACCGATGACAACCTAGGCATCCAGTATGAGAAGGATGATATATTCGAGGACACCGTTTTGCTGCTTCGGTACAACTGTCCTGATGAGGATTGTGACGTTGCCTGTCTAGGTTGGCCGGACTTGCATCGCCATGTGAAGAGCAAGCATGGGAAGGTGATGTGGTATGTGCCTGCGCCTGCACCAACGACTAAGCAACGATTAAGCGACTAACTTTCATGCAATAGTGATCTTTGTACACGAAACAAAAAAGTCTTCACCCACGAACACACCCTCTTTACGCACGCGGAGTTGCGAAAGCACGAAAAGTACGGTGATGATCAGCCCGGTGCCATCAACCAGAGCGGTTTCAAAGGACATCCCGAGTGTGGTTTCTGTCGACAACGCTTTTACGGTGACGACGAGCTGTACACCCATTGTCGTGAGAAGCATGAACGTTGCCATATCTGTGACCGCCGATCCAACAACCGCCAACAACAGTACTACATGGATTACCAAGCCCTTGAGGGTCATTTCCAGAAGGATCATTTCCTCTGTCTGAATCAAGATTGTCTAGACAAGAAGTTTGTGGTGTTTGAGTCACAAATGGACCTGAAGGGTCATCAGCTGGAGGAGCACCCCAACGACACATCAAAAGATATCCGACGAGACGCCCGGATGGTAGATCTCAGGGAATTTGATAATATGCGCAGTCCATACCAGCAGCAGCAACAACGTCGTGGTGCTGGTCGGGGCCGTGACCCCAATGCTGAGCCATTGCCCCCATCTAGCGCTCAACCTATGCGGCGAGATCAACTCGCCTACCAGCGACAGATGGCCATCCAAAGTTCTCAGTCGGTCACTCAGCGTAGCTTTGGAGGTGCGCTATCTCGCGACGAGACCCAGCCTGTCCAAGCCCCGGCCCGATCAGCCGCTGCTACTCCATTGCAGTCTGGATCAAGAACACCCCAGCCGCCAACTGAGGGACTTAACGGTCTCAGCCTTGCTCCTAGCTCACAGCCACTTGGTCCCGAAGATCAAGCTCGTCGGTTACGACACACCGCTGTTGTTGAGCGAGCATCAAATCTCTTGCGCAATGATGCAAATAAGTTGACAGAATTCCGCAACAGAGTCTCCAGCTATCGCACATCGTCCATATCTGCCACCGAACTAATTGACGCATTCTTCTCTTTATTCGATACATCCAGCTCTGAGCTCGGTAAGCTGATCAAAGAGCTGGCTGAGATCTATGAGGACAACTCCAAGCGCGTCAACCTGCTCCAGGCCTGGAACGATTGGCGTGCCATCAACGAGGACTACCCTGCCCTACCGGGTCCTGGCGGCCTCTTGCCGGGCATGTCACCCAACACCGTCAACGCCGCCGGCGGCCGTGTCCTGCGCTTGAAGTCATCCACTGCTCAATCCTCTCGTTCAGCCGTTGGCAGAAGCGGCGCCCTTTCATCTTCAGCATCCTCCTCTTCATCAAACCCCTTCCCACCTCTCTCGGCCGCTGCTGGCTCTTCTCGTCGTTCCGGTGCACAATCCGCCACTCCTTGGGCTGCAGCCGGTCCCGCACCCTCATTCTCACGCCCATCAATTAACATTGCCTCTAACCGACCTTCGGCTGCGACATCCTCTAGCTCCAGCCGTCCCGCTCGCCCTGCTCCCAGCGGTGGTGATGCGTTCCCTGCTTTGCCTGTTGCTGTTAAACCGAACGTCTTGATGGCTGGCAAGACCCGGGGTTACGTTCGCTGGGATGACCGCCGCGGACCGGCGCCAGACGCCTGGACTTCTAATCCTTCATCCGGTGTCGCCTCCCCCGCTGAACCGGCGGATTTCGATGATTCCGGTGAAGGCAAGAAGGGTAAGAAAAATAAGAAGGGGAAGCAGACCTTGTTCCACTTTGGTTAAATGGACAATGTCTAGTTTACCTGTCAGATACCATGTTTTCAGCGATTGATAGATGAATGAGTAAACATTTGAATGTGGGCCATTAGCCAATTTTGTATTCTGGTGGTTTTTCTTGAATAAATGCTATAATCAAAGAGACATGTTAATTATTCTGGGGTCGACTCGTAAGGTATGCACTCGACGCTGCTCATCAGTAGAAAGTCATGGAACTATTAGTACAAGCCATATAGATGTAAAGAGGACGAGGGGAAATTTAGCTCGATCCACGAGTGAGAAGTCAAACCATTACCACGCTGTCGGTATCGGCAGTCTCTGAGGCAGAGTCGAGAACCAAGATAGGTTCAGAGCTAGTTCCCGCTTTTTCTGCAAAGTGATTCACTTCCCCCTTTGTGCTCGATGAATGACGAGAAGAGTCGAGTAACGGGCTGTTATGGATGGGGATTCGATCTTTGACAGCTTCACTGAAGCTGTCGCTAGTAGGGTCCGCTTCCTGGTCCAGGGCTGCCATGTTCAGCGCAAAGTCATTTTGCAGCTTGATCAGCCAGCGGCGTAGGGAATCGTCATCCATCGTGCTATCACGAGCAATGAAAAGTTGTTCACGCAGCGAGAGAAGTAATTTTCGCTTTTGAGCAATTGCAATCACGCGTGATGAACTGCTTCGGCGCTGAGCAAAGCCACTCAAGGTCTCCAAAACATTGTTTGCGACTTCAAGAACAGCTGGGGGGAGATCGACTAGCTTAGCGAGAGCAAGACCATATCGTCGGTCTGGGACTGGACCCTCGGCAATTTGATATAACATAGTCATTTTGCTCGCATCAGCTGTAATGTTGGCGGCGAGGTGAAGATTGATCACGCCGTTTCGCTCAGATAGAATACGTGCCAAGTCGTGGAAGTGTGTGACGAACCATACCAGAGCGTTGCTGGCAAGAAGAGCTTCTGCCAATGCGACGGCAATTGCGAGGCCGTCAGTTGTGCTTGTACCTCGGCCGACCTCGTCGACGAGCACCATAGCCCGTGGCTCGACGTGGCGCAGGATGAATGCCATTTCGCGCATCTCTGCTGCGAAGGTTGAAACATTGGCATCAAGGTCATCTGTTGTCGCCACGCGTGCGAACAGCTGGTGCGAAATCGGAAGAGAGGCATATTGGGCCGGTATGAAGCAGCCTATTTGTGCCATGACGGTCATTAATGCCAGGGTGCGGATATACGTCGACTTTCCGCTCATGTTGCAGCCAGTGATAATCTGAAATCGTGTTTGGGGCGTGGCATACGCGTCGTTCGGGATGAACTTGTTGCTGTGGATTTGCTCTCTGATCGGATGGCGGCCAGCCTTGATGGCCAGTGTAGCTGTCAGTTCTGGGCGGATGTAATCGTAGCTGGTAGCCAGCTGGCCGAAGGCTGCCAGCATATCTAGCATCGCAATAGCTTCGCTGACTCGGAACAGTCCTGAAACCTGTGCACACACATCTCGGATCAGTTCCTGGACTGTTTGGTCGCTCATGCTTATCACTTCGGTGTGCGCATCGTTGATCTTCTGATTCAGTTTGACCAGGTCTAGGGTCTGACATTCGACACGGCTCTTCTTGCGGTATACATTGATGAAAACATCAGGCAGTGATTCCGCATCTGATATTGGAATACAGATGTAGTACTGACGAGCTGAATCGTACTTGAGATCCAAAGCCATCTCACAAGATTCTGAAATTCTTTAGCTGTCAGTCTTACGATTTTGGAGAGCTGCATACCTGCAAGTTCTTCCACCAGTTCTGCAGCATCCGCATTGGCCTCCTTGTATGTCTGCCGGGCCACATCGAGCAGGCTGTTGACACCGGCCTATAACGCGTGAGAAAGTAGAGAGAATGGTTAAAAGTGTGCGAGGGCTACCTTAACACAGTATACTCGTTGGTTCCGAAGATCCAGTGGCTTGCTTTGGTACGTGGTATGCTCATTCAAAGTTTCCTCAATCAGCATCTCGATAGCACGATGCCCTGCTGGGCAGCATAACTAAGGTGAGTCAATTTAATTCATCTGATAGGATTTAGGAACGATACTTTGCGAATTGTCAGAAGTAGATCGCTTTGCGCAGCCCCCAAAGCCTGGTAAATCTTCTTGATTCCAGAGATAAATGTCTTCAGCATGATAACATTGTTGACCGACTGCTCGATATACTGGACCGTTCGGTTCATGGGGACAAGAATAATCTGCCAAGTCAGCTCGGCAATATATTCCATAAAACTAGATCGCTTTACCGAAGTCAAGACTTTGTCTGCATCGCCGAAGCCTTTCAACGCTTGGCGGACAGAGACGAACATATCTTCTTTGGAGGACAGATCTTCGACGGCATTGTATCTTGCTGTCAGCTTCGCACGCTCGGTGGATGGCTGCAGAATGTTGCTTCGCAGAAGTCTGGCTCCCATGGGCGATAATGTTTCGTTGAGCTGTCCGTATAGACTATCTTTCGACTTAGTATTGTGCAGATTCTGGATGAGTTCAAGAGATACGATTGTCGCCAGGTCGATGGTCATGCATCCTTGAGATGGCTCAAGTCTGATCCGCAGAGAATGGGAAGCAAAGACACGTTGAAGCTCTAGCTCGATGTATCGCAGTACCTGCTTCTCAGTTAGTTGATGCCCGCTCATTTCGGTGGGTAATCACAAACTGCAGCGAAGGAGCATGCCGCAAAGAAGTTCTTGCCCAGTGTCACTTTGAGGGAATCTACTTCATCGGGAAAAGCCAATCGATCCAGATAGTCATGCCCCGCCTTGTCAGACCAGCACTTGCGATCCAGAAAGGTGAAGATTGGATCTGGTAAGTTTTCTTGAACGATGTAGTTCAGTGTTGATCCCTTAGCAGTGTTCATGAAAAGGATCTCACTGGGCTCGAAGACACCGATCTTGGTGACTGTCTTCACATAAGTCTGGCTGTCGCATATTTGGCACAGAACTGCTTCTGCTGTGGCGAGGTTGACAAAGGCCAGGCCGACGGTGGACGAGACGCCACGAGACTCGCTTATGGCGCAGACGATATCCTGTCCAGCGACACTGGTAGCAGTGGTGGTCGGCCGCCCGGTTGGCGGATGTCTGCTACTGATTCTTGATGTCAACGGGACAAAAGATTCTGTTGTTTCTCGCGAGTTGATTGACATGTTGATTTTGCGAATTGACAACTGAGAGTGGGCAAAGATCAAAAGACGATCTCGGGTCCCTTTGACCTCCAGGGCTGCTTCCTGCCTAACCACGATCTGGTGATATTCCAAGGAGATTTCAAATGATGGGGGATTAAGCACATTTAAATGCCACTAAATGCCACTTTATTGCCTTCACAATTACAAATGGACAATTTAACAGGCATGAGAAGCTAATTGGGGGTGGTTACACATCTCTTTCCGCACCTACTTCTCATGTCTTCCAGTACGTGAATTTCCCTTTCGGCTTTTTCTTTCCGAATGATAGTGTTCAAAACAGATATTAATATACTTCCAAACTTGCCTGATCGTGAATTGCCAAAGGCAATACCCATATTCCCCGATTCGAAGAAACCTGATATGTGATCCGCTCAAGGGGCATCTATCACATCTACCGACCTTCACTGATGGGCAAACGGCCCATGCTTGGGAGATATGCTCTATTCGGCCTGGAATCAGCTTCTTGATTCCATGTTTTCCGGCTTCCTCTATTCCCAAGGCCGAGAGATTCCTTATCGTGACAAGTCGGATATTGCGCCTTGGGCGATACACACCAATCAAACCTACCCTTCCAGCTCGTCCTACCCCGCACGACTGAGATAGGGCTTCTCTATCTTCTTCCAAGGTTCTCATTTCCAGATCTCCTACCTTTCTCTCTGTTTCATAGAGCCCTGCCATCAATTTGAGCTTCATCTTTGAATTCGACTATCGACATCGTTGTTCAACATGGGGACGACATACTCCAAGCCGGCCCCCGTCAACGAGAAATCGGGGAACTCTATCTCGGTTGAGATGGACCGGACCAAAGTGAGCCTTTTGGCCAAAGAGCAGCCTGCGAATACTCATACTCGTGAGCGAACGCCTTCCCAAGTGCTGATGCCCAGCGTCGAGGTCAAAGTTGTTGACAAAAGTATAGCTCCACCGCCATACCTGGCTAGAGAGCGCCTTCAGACAGTAACACTCCCTCGAATGGAAAATTGGAGCGATGACTTGTTGAGTGACGCAAAGGTATGGCGCTATCTTATTCTTCTAACTCAGGCAAGGCTGAGATGAGTGTAATACTAAACTATCCAACAGAATCGCCTCGCCATATCAAGTTTCGCCAGCCAAAATTATGCAGAGGTTCTCACCAACCGCACCGCTGTCAATAACGATCTGCACATCTTTAACCTGACTGTGCCAGTAGAAGGGGCACCTATCACCAATCAACGATCTTCTGGCCGTTGCTGGCTTTTCGCCTCGACCAACATTTTTCGCGTGCCTCTGATCAATGCATACAAGCTGGGAGAATTCGAGCTCAGCCAGGCGTATCTATTTTACTGGGACAAAATCGAAAAGGCGAATTATTTCTACGAGCAAATGATTGACACTGCCCATGAGGACTTCTCCAGCCGTTTGGTTCAGAAGTTATGCGAGGATCCTGTCACGGACGGTGGCCAGTGGGATATGGTCGTCAACCTTGTGCACAAATACGGACTCGTTCCGCACACTCTCTACCCGGATGCCTTTCACGCGCAGAATAGTTCCAAAATGAACTGGCTGCTCACGGCAAAGCTGCGCGAGCAGGGTCTGGCTCTCCGCCGACTCGCCGTGAGAAAGGCCGAGGGGGAGAACCAGGCTGAACATGTATTGGCGGCTACCAAGGAGCAGTTTTTGCAAGAAATCCACTCAATAGTGACTCTTTTGCTCGGACCTCCGCCGAGGCCGGACGAGCAGTTCGTCTGGCAATATCACGATGCTAATGGAACCGCTCGGGAAGTGCGGCAAACCCCAATTGAGTTTGGCCGGCAGGCTCTCCAATCGGGGTCAGGGTCGCGCAGCCGCACATGTATCAATCCCGGATCACTGTTTAGTCTAGTTAATGACCCGCGACATGAGTGGAATCAATTGCTGACGGTCGAGAGGCTTGGAAACGTGGTGGAAGGGCAATCGCTCAGGTATGCCAACGTGGAGATGCAGACGCTCAAGCAAGCAGTGATTGCAATGCTCAAAGCCGGGCATCCGGTGTTTTTTGGCTGCGATGTGGGCAAATTCTCCGATCGCGATCACGGTATCATGGATGTCGATCTCACCAACCTCTCACTCGGTTTCAACATCTCCCTTGGTATGAACAAAGCCGAACGGCTCGCGAGTGGAGAATCTGCTATGACCCATGCTATGGTGATCACGGGAGTCCATCTCGAGGGTGATCGGCCGGTGCGATGGCGGGTGGAGAACTCATGGGGAGAGACAGCCGGGAACAAGGGCTGGTTTGTGATGACCGACCGGTGGATGGATGAATATACCTTCCAGGCAGTCGTCGACTCTAACTTCGTCTCAGCTGAGACCCAGGCAATCTTGAAGCAGACCCCCATAGTCTTGCCACGTTGGGATCCTATGGGAGTACTTGCGTGAAGTATCATTGCGACTCGTTAAGTCAGTTTTAGTGTCATTAAAGTGCTACTGGAGACACTATGTCTCTATTAATTCATTCATTAATCTCCTTTACTTCCTCCACCATATCTATATTCTCAATTGTCCCAGATAAATACGGCAGCCGATAGAGATAATGGGCTTATAACCTTTTTGCCAGGTAGATTCCTGGCCACTTACCTGTCTCTTTTAAATATTTGCCCTCGTTCTTATAGCAAACTACGTTGCTAGAAGCTTAGATGATATCATTAAGATGTTCATGTCTTTGCATACTAGCCGAAGCTACAGTTGCCCTATAAAGAGGAAGGATATAGAGAAGAAAATTCCTAAAATACTATAGCCCAATCGAGACAATAGACTATAAAACATCTACGCTCAATTTTTGAACTCCCTCTTTCTATCTTTCTAGACATCTTTCAAACTCTTTTCAGACATTTTTTTTTCTCCTTAATGAGATACTTAGTAGAACGATTAAATGATAGTTCATCCGATTTTTAATTTTTACTATAGACGGGGCAGTATCTGTTGGCCGCCGTAGACATTCCCCCCGCGATAAGCGATAAGCTTTGATAAGGCCTCAAATTTTCTTCCTCCTCCAACACCCCAAAGCACAATGGCCACTCTCGTTCCCCCGCCCAGTAAGCGCCAGAAGGTCGCTGCGGCCGAAAGGGCCAAGGAGCAGCAGGAGCTCTACAGCATTCCTTCAGACCTCGGCAGCGTCCGCGTCCAATTCTTCGACCAGGCTACCGGAAATGCCACCGGGCCTGCGGTTTCCGTCCCAGTGGCCGATGCCAACACCAAGAACCTTGAAACTCTTTTGAATACGTTACAAGGGAATGTGAGTACCTAAAAGAATTAACTGTGGGGTGTGGCGCAAAAACAGAATTAACAATCGACTTCATAGGACGACGATGACCGCGTTCCGTATCGCTTCACCTACCAGTCCGACAAGGGCGATCAGACGATCGATATTCTCGCAGACCTCTACCACTCGCTTCTCCAGCCTGGAGTCAAGACTACCGAAGATACAATTTCCCTATTCTTCACTCCGCAGGCGGTATTCCGAGTCAAGGCGGTTTCACGCTGCGCAGCCTCCATTGCGGGCCACGGCGAGGCTATTCTCGCAACGTCTTTCTCCCCCATCAACTCGTCTACAATGGTCTCAGGAAGTGGTGATTCCACCGCGCGGGTCTGGGACTGCGAAACGGGTACCCCGTTGCATACATTGAAGGGACACACCAGCTGGGTGCTGGCCGTGGCCTACTCGCCCAACGGTGCGATGATCGCGACCGGTAGCATGGATAACTCGGTGCGAGTGTGGGATGCGAAGAAGGGCGTTGCGCTCGGAGGTCCCCTCAAGGGCCACGCGAAATGGATCACCAATCTGGCCTGGGAGCCCTACCATCTCCAGGAACCTGGATGCCCCCGTATCGCCTCGTCGTCCAAGGACTCGACTGTGCGCGTGTGGGATCTGGCGTCGAAGCGGATCGAGCATGTGCTCACTGGACACAAGGGTTCTGTGACCTGTGTGAAGTGGGGTGGTACTAGTCAGATCTATACGGCGTCGCACGACAAGACCATCAAGATCTGGAACCCGAAGGATGGTACGCTCATCCAGACCCTCGCGTCGCACGCTCACCGCGTCAACCATCTTGCTCTGTCTACGGACTTTGCCCTGCGCACTGCCTACCATGACCACACTGGCAAGGTCCCCTCAACCGACGCCGAGAAGGTTGCTGCCGCCAAGAAACGCTACGAAGACGCCGCGACCGTGAACAAGAAGATTGTTGAGCGTCTGGTGTCTGCCAGTGACGACTTCACCATGTACCTGTGGGAGCCATCGAGCTCTAACAAGCCTGTTGCTCGCCTGTTGGGTCACCAGAAGGAGGTCAACCACGTCACATTCTCTCCCGACATGACATACATTGCCTCTGCCGGTTTCGACAACCACGTCAAGTTGTGGAATGGACGTGACGGAAAGTAAGTGTCCACATTATCTCTGGTTTCTTTTCTAATTACATGACTAACCACATTCAGATTCATCACGACCTTCCGCGGCCATGTCGGCGCTGTTTACCAGTGCAGCTTCTCCGCTGACTCGCGCCTCCTCGTCTCGGCGTCCAAGGATACCACTCTGAAGGTCTGGGACGTGCGCACGGGTAAGCTGTCGACGGATCTACCTGGCCACAAGGACGAGGTGTTTGCCGTAGACTGGAGTCCCGACGGACAGAAGGTCGGCAGTGGAGGCAAGGACAAGGCGATTCGGATCTGGAGGAACTAAAAAAAAAAAAAGAAAAGAAAAGAAAAGAAAAGTTTACATAGAATGATACCCATTGCCTGTACTCTGCATGAGCCCTGGACATTTTATTTTATTTTATATGTTTTTGGAATAGAATTGAAGCAAATCATTAATTCTTGTGACTAGATCACTATGCGCTCGTATGGATACTGTACAATGCTAAAAGATCGAAGCCAAGCGCTGAAAACGAGGATCATCTAGATGTACTGCCAGGCAGGGACGGGACCCTTGTAGGGCAGAGCCATGGCGGAGAAACCGAGGCAGTCGTCAACGTTGCCGGAGGGGACAGTAGCGTTCTGCATGGCAGCGTACACCTGCCAGCGGTTGTCATCAGTGGGGCAAGCCATGAAGCCACTGGCGCCCCAGCCGTTGAAGGTGTAGTGGGACCAAGGCTTGCCAGCCTCATACTTGAGACCACCGATGGCGGAACCAGCGGGGATAAAAGCGGAGTGGGCCTGGGTGAAGCTCAGAGCTCCAGTGGGGTCGACGTAGATTTGCTGACCGCCGGGGACCTCACCATCCTGCAGTGACGTTAGTTTTTGGTTCGTGCAAAGAAAAGCCGAGTAACTTACGAGGGCGCTTCCGCCACCGGCGATGACGGTCTGGTTGCCCGCGGGGCAAGTGATGCCTTCCAGGTCGGGGCAGTAGGAGGAGGTCTTGCCGCCGAGATAGAACTTCTGGCCTGCGGCGTTCATTTGGGAGTAGTGGATGGGTGAGGCGGAGCGGATGGCCATGACGCTGAAGGGAGGGTTGGCTTCGCGGGTCTGCATGGCCGGAGCAGCAGCAGCCAGGAGGGGAAGGGCGAGAGAGGCAATGAAGGTCTTCATTTTGGAGACTAGAGAGAAGATAGAGAATAGAGAATTGCAAGTTGGAAGTTGGAAGGTGAGAGTTGGAATGATCAATTCTTGCCGAGGAATGTGAGTCTCTTTATAGCTCGGAGTTGAGGTTGAATCGTCAGGGACGATCAACATGGTCCGACACCCCGCGTGGTTCGAATCCGCGGTTCCCCTGGGAAAGCCCCAAAATAACACTTGGGACATCAAGTCGATGACGGACAACACCGCTCGATGGAGCCACGGACTGGCAAGACGAAGCACTCATTGGGCACGTTTTAAGACACACCGGCTCGTGCCTGCGCGGGTGCATTGCCGATGCTACACCGTAGTTTTTAATTTCTACTTTTCAGTTTCCTTCGTGTTGTAGCGAAGGATGGAGACTAACAGAACGAGTATAGCAGCAGCGCTAGCCACAAGCACAGGCAAGTGCCCCCCATAAACAGTGAGACAATGGAGTTGCCAAGCAGCCAAAGCAGGAAAACACCGAGTTGATCATGTCTCAGTTAGGGAAATCAGAATTGGTATACCCGAACTATGACCTATGCCCTCTGATCTCTATGCGAAGAACGACTACTATTCACGGCAAACCCTGTCGGACGTCGCTCCGCTCATTCAGGCCCCACGCACCGCCGCTGCCGTCATGAACCGTCGCCCGCCGCATGTCCCGCCGATGTTTCCCCTCGAAACTACCTCCCACCGCGCGATGCATCACACTTGTATTGTCCCAGAGGACCAAGTCGCCTACTTGTTCCCACCCCACCCGGAGCACATATCGCGGCTGTGTCGCATGGGTGAATAACCGTTGAAACAGTGCGGAAGATGCCTCTGCGTCGAGTCCTTCGATATGGTGGATGTGTGCGGCGAGATACATGGTGTCCCGCCCTGACGCTTCATGTTTCTGAAACAATCGGTGTCGGCTCATCGGGTAGTCTTCTGGGTTGATGTCTGCAAAGGTGCTGGGTGATGCGACCTTGCGTGAATGCCAGAGCGAGTGTGCAGCGATATAGTTCTGCTCTTGAAGTTCCATCTGGATTGTTCGAGGGAGCTCATCGAAGGCTGTCCGCACGTCGGCGAAATCAGTTTCGCCGCCCATGCCTGCTGGAGGAAGTTCCGCTGCTCGGAGTAGTGAGTATCCTGCCCGTCGCGGGTTGAAGCTCGAGTCCACGTGGAACACCCCGTTACCCTACGCGAGTCAATCGAAGACAGCCTTGCAAAGAACGGATGACACGACACACCTTGTTCCACTCCCGTCGCACATTATCTAGTTCAAATACTTTGCCGTCGAGTTCAATGTTGCCTACATCGAACAGGCGGACGTCGGATAGTCGGTGCGCCCGGCCGCCCGCCAAATACGGAGTCACATCGTCCAGCTCGCCAAATTGTGCAGCGAAGGCGACGTGATGGGCGTCGTCGAGGCCTGTATTGCGGAAGACGCACACACCGTACTATGACTGTTCATCTTTATTCTGCTGTCGGTTGATAGATATACCTACCTTGCTGATTGCAGCCTTGATCTCCTGGAATACCTCGTCCTCAACAGGTCGAGAGAAATCAACACCGCTGATCTCGGCTCCGAATGTAGGATGCAGCTTGGTGACCGTGATCTGGTTGAAAGTGGGGGAATGAGAAAGGCCCGGCATCTTGATGGAGATGGTGAAGTGCCGTCTCACGAATCAATCTCTACGTGTCAACTGGTGTTTCTAAAGGAAGCGCTGATTTATATGGTCGCCGGATCGGAACGAACTGCGTAGATACGTAGATGCCGTGCGGGGAATGCCCGGACTTCTGTCCAGATAACATGAAAACACTAATCTCAAATAACCGAACATCGAGATTGCTCGATTCAAGTTTAGAAGTGGCTTGCTTGGTCCGAAGAGTGAAGATAAGAGAGTCTACGCATCGTTTGTGTAGTTGGTAAGGTGCTGTACCGAGGCCAGTTGGATGCCTTGTTTGGTCAATCTTGCCTCGGCCGATCGGCCTAGGCAAGATGCTATTATGGCAATCCCTAGACGTCAAACTCAGCTTCTCACAGAGGGAAAAAGAAAAAAGCACTGATAACTGGCTGGCCCACCCTGATCCGCATGGAACTAAAAAAAAGATTAGTGTTGATAGCAGTGGGGTTTGAACCCACGATCTCGAACGAGAGCAGAAATCAGATCGTTATCTTAAGTCTGCCGCCTTAACCACTCGGCCATACTACCTCCAATTAAGTCATTTAGCAAATCACAGCTATTGACCCATGTTCAGATTGTCCAGATTCGTCGAGTTCACGAAGAACTATAACTAGTGGGACGAACCGGATATTTTTCTGTTCAATCTAGGGAAAGAAGAAATCTTTTGGATCTCCAGAAATGAGACAGCGAGACAAGAAGACTACCTCGAAGATAAGTCAAATCTTGCAAAATTCAGGGTTCAAATGCTAAGCCCTTTGTTCTTTTTCAAACTTCACTTCTAGTCATGGTTTCTGATCAACCATGATTGGGTTGCGCAAGGTCGGGTCCAATCATAATGCTTGGGATAGAATATCCTGAATTTTTCACAGATGGGTGGACACTAAACCATAAAGTCAAGGATAAAGACCATTGGGGGGCCCCGCTGGCTACTACTTCTAATTATATAGTTTCGAAGTTCACGGGCATGGTTAAATTGCACGACTTGAAAAGCCAGTGCCAGGCTTCCAGGGGTTCAAGTACACGAGGGTTACTTCCCGTGAGATGGATGAGGAAGAGGTGATTCCGCTTTTCATTATCTCTATCCGGACTTGGATTGTCCCCTTTGTCACAAAATTCGAAAGATATCTATAAAAACCTACTCCTTTCCACACATCAATCGTTGATCTAGGCGAGTGATACTAGGTTCAACCAGGTAATGATGGAACGAATGGTCCCCAGTGAATGTCCAGGCGTCTTACACACGACGGCTAGGAAAAGACAGCCGACTTGTATGGCTTCGATTTTAATTGATGTGGGCTACCGACTGACACATTTTTCTGTTACCCACGGCTAAAAGTGCTCCGATGACAATTAGGCATTCCTGCTGATCTCATCATAAGTGTCGTGCGCGTTTCAGGAAACCAGGCCCAAGGATTATCAGCAACACTCTGACAGGGCCAAATAACCCTGCATGACAGGGATAACGCACTATTTTAAGGTTATCTGCGCCACCAGGGGCCCACACCAACCCCAGACCGTCTCAGGTACACAGGTCCCTGATTTCTACGTTCCAGGGTTTACTATTGCGGCTACAATCCCAAGGTTCAGGTTCGAATTCAGATTCAGGTTCAAGACAGAAGTGATTCACCGAATAAGATATATACGAGCAGCTGGTCAGCCACCGAGGTATAAACACGGCCGAGGGCCAAACAAAACCCAAGACACCTCCAGCTCCGGTCCGTGTAGCGTTGAGCAATATAAAAACCCAGAAAAAGAGGCCCCCGATAACACCGTTAAAGCCAACACGCCTCCTTTTTTGCCTCCTTGGATCCGCCGACCCAAGCAAGAGAAAACACCTTCCGTTCATTCATCGTCTCCGGAGTCTGGACCCCGGGGATTCGTTACGTACTGGAGCAAGACTGGTCGAATGCTCGTCTAAAAGTTCACGTCCTTTTTTCCTTTTTGAGTTAATAGTCATCACCGTCATCGTCATCGCCATCGCCGCCGCGACCACGTGGGCCCTTCACGCCGTCTTTGCGGATCGGAATCTTGATACCCTGCAGCGCGAAGCATTTGCTAAGCTGAGTGCTCTCGATCACACCGGGGAACTTCTTGGCTGAGAAGACCTGGAAGGGTTCACTGAAGACCGAGGCCAGAACGGGTGCTGATCCGTGGTTGATCACGGGGGCAGGGTTGCTTGTCTCGTTGGATGGCGAACCCACGTTCACGAAGCTCATCTTGAGTCTGTTCGTCATTAGTAACCCGTTCAATCGCAATCACATCGCATATATAATGGACCTACCGGAATGTTCCCTCTGTCCGCACACTCAAATCCTGCAAGATGAACCACACACCGATCTTGTTGTCCGGATCCGTCAGGCGGAAGGCACTGGCACTAAGACTGCCGATCAGGTTGCGTGTGAACATTCCTCCCGGGCCGCCCGAAACGGGTTGAGCGGGCGACATGGCAGCAGGCATTTGACCGCCTCCGTAACCGTACTGAGGATATCCCACCTGGCCGTATGGGTTTTGATATGTCATCGGCTGTTGGCCGTAATAGTTGTTCATGTTCGGGTAGGGAACCTGCTGCCCGTACGGACTTTGGCCGTAGGCCGGGTATGTGGGAGACATGCTCTGGGGTGGGGGAGGATAAGAGGAGGACATGGCGGTTGAGATGGAGGGAGAGGTGGCGGAGTGCTTCACGAGGTTGACTTCATTCGTGCCATCGGCATTCCATAGGTCGACAGTGAGCACGTAAAACGAGGTATCGATTTCACTAGAAAGGGGTCAGCAAAGCAGAGCGCAGAAATCCGCGGTTAGAAGATCCGTACTTGATATCAATCTCCTTCTCGGTGTGTGCATCCCGTACAATGAGTCGGATACATGGAGGCGGGGTAATTGGTCTTCGATCCTATGATGGACATGCAGGTTAGTACCGATGGATCGTGTGTAGCGGGAGAATCACCCACCTTATCACCGAAACCGCACATGCGAGCGCGAATGGGCTGTTGGACCACCTGCAAAGACCAGATGCGACCCTCGTGAATGGTTGATATCGGCGCCAGGTGTTCAGAAGACCGAAGAGGACCCGATCCCGGGGTGGGATAGGCGGCGGACGGGGCAGAGATGCGGTCCATAGAGAGGGGAGGTGGAGGTGGCGGCACCGGATGGGCCCTATCTTGCTCAACGGCGTACATGGTTTGTGAAGGGAAGGAACCGGGGGCGTCTCTCGCGAGAGTATTAATGGGTCCTTCCTCGTTTATAGATCTGTTCGACGGTGGACCCTCAGCTGCTTAGAGGTGGGGGGATAGACGTGACATGCGACCCCGCGAAAATCAGACGTCACAGTTGGAGCATCGACTTTCGGCCGGGCTGAAGCGGTCGCGAACGGTCTTATCGGCCTCGGGGGACGAATCCGGGGAAGACGAAGGATGTCGAGGCTTGATGATGGTCGAGCTGATGGTGTCTCTCGTACGGTCGAAATGATGCGATCGGGGGAATTTGCAGAGAAGAAAAGTCGAACCAGGCTGTCGGAAGCGGACGGCGCCAAAGGAATTCCCACTAGAACCACCGAAACGAGTGCGAGAGTGGCGACGGGGGGTTCAAAAGGTTAGGCGGAGAGGGGAAGCCCGAGGGGTAATAACGAGCAGGGAGGCGAGAATCGCGATCGCTATGAAGCATTCAAGTCAGACAGAGCTATTCGGGAGAGAGAGACTGCGCCCGGGTCGAGCCATAAGACGAAGCTGTTAGGGTGCGGGAGATTTGCTGGGCTTCCACGGATCGCACGAAGGCAGGCTGATCCACCCCAAAGGAAAACCCAGGACGTACCGATTCAAGAGATCCGGTGAATTCAACGGCACAGAGCAATTCCAAGGATGAGGAAGATAGAGGTAGAGGTAGAAGGAAGAGTATTAAGGGGAGGGGGAGAGGTGGAGGAGGGGAGTGACGTTCTCGAATCTGGTTGCAGTCCGCTCCTCACTTTTCCTCCATTTCATTCCCAACTGTCAGAACGATCCGCGTTGCCGGCGCAGGAACCTTGGACCCAGTCTCTCGGGCCTTTCATACCCTGACATGTAACATACCTTCTTTTCTTCTCTTCCTTCCTTTTTTTTTCCCCCTTTCGTCCTCGCTCTTTATTCCGGTTGCGGAAATATACAGTCGCTCGGTTCCGGATCTAGACCTTCGTTCGACGGATTGGGGTGAAGGGTGAATATTGTCTGCTCTTCCTCAAGTGGGGATTTTGGTGTCCAGCCATCGTCCTCGGTTCCAATGACATTCTCGTATCGGCTCAGTCTCGGGTGTTTCGCCGCCGACGGCTACCTCGGGTTCTACAGAGCATGGTTCGGAGGTCGAGATGATAGACGGGGACTCGAAAAAGTAAATAGAAGACTATGACTTTAGAAGATGAAGAAACGACGAGATTAGGAGTATAGGATCTGAGACAAGGCACAGGCATTCCAAGCATCAAGGCTAACGCGGGGCCGGAGCCACATCGTGCCGACCCATGTTTTATCTCCATCTCACGAACCTCGCAGTGTTGCCGAGCGGTACGCCCCTGTAAGGGCTATGGTTCGGCATTCGAGTCCGTGGATGGAATCAGGAACTCGTGATGGTGCGCATACAATGGTCCTTCAATTCTTGGTCTTCAGGTTAGATGCCAGTCATGTCATACTGCATGGAGTCAAGCGTTTGAGACTACTTCCATCGGGTTCAATTCGGTCGGGAATATTTGGTCACCTCCCCATTCAGAGCCGCATCTTGTACTTCTCGGTAGTACCACCGTAGCTTATTGATAGTCCAGGCGTAAAGCTCTGAGCATCCCGAGACTATGATGACTCGCTATCCAGGCTGATGCTTTGAAGCAATACTGCTCCAGGCCTGAGAGGTCAGACTGGACCAGCTACACGAAGACATCCAGTCGAGCGCAGAGTCTACCGAAAAGCTTGATTTCTGCATGTCTAAGGGAGATACTCGGGTCTCCAACCCGAGTCTGGAAACCCGAGTCTGAGTCTAGTCTCTACGGTGATGAGATTGTTCACTCATCCAAGCCCATGGCCCTTACTTGTGTGGCGGATGTACCGAATACTTCAAAGAGCCAACCTAAATACCGCCACATATGCACATCATATCAGTAACAGAGCTTTTTCCAGGTAGGAGCCCTTTGGGTGCACCTAGGTCAGGTTCTAAGAGTCAGGAGTCGAGTCCGTCAACATCGAAAGCCACCTCCGGCATTGATTTCTGCGCATGATCTGGTCAGACATAAGTGGTTTTGCTTTTCGTAGCCACATCTTTCCGGTGAGGGTGAGGGCTTCGCAGTGCGATCCCAGTGTCCTAAACTCCATCTGCGAATATTCTCTCATCCGACTTTTCGGCACCCACTCGGCAGCCCCTCGGCACCCCGAGATTCAACAGTTCCTAAGACTCAGGGGAACAAACCCTCGGCTCGGGCCCTTGCAGAAGCATCTCCTGGATATCCATGTGCAACGAGGCCGTCCTTATGGTAAATCAAGAGGGGATGTGCGCGTCCAGAACGGTGAGTGGTGAGAGCTGGCAGAGTCGTCGTCAGCAGATCTGCATGCCCCTGATTATCATGCACGATTGCCTGCTGGGATAAACATATGCCGCTGAAAGTATTTGTGTGTGATTCCATGGGATCCGGCGAGGTTTTGAAGATGAGAAGATGTGAAAGATACCCTCGATCTCACCCGTAGAAGCCCTAGGGCGAAATCGGCCGAGCAAGGGCGGGGAAGGGTGAGAACTTGGCCGCTTCTCACGCCATCCTGGTCACCGATGCCATCGTCCATGCAAAGTGACTTGACCCCGGTCGCAGAAGTCAGAAGACGTCAGACACATGGCCAAAGCCCGGTTCAAGCCCACGTCCTCTCAAAACGATGCTACATGACCTCAGAGTCCGATGCAATGTCGTGCACTGGCCATGGGAGATGCTGATGCATGAAATGAGTGATTGGTTCGGGGAGAAGAGTGCAGTTGGTTTTTTGATAACCCCGCAGTGGGCCGAGATGAACTAAGTATGAGCTAAGATGGAGAAGATAGTGTGTGATGTGCCGATCAGTGATCGAAATGTTTAAGATCTGAAAATGAGAGAGCGTAATCCATGGTCGGATGTCAAGTCCACTTTTCTAGGGAATGAAGGGGAAACATCAGAATGTTGGACAAGTCTAGACTGATGTATCCACTCGCTTGCTTCGTACTATTCATCCCCTTGCTGGTATGTTGGCTGGGTCTCCGGGATGTCTCATTCCCACTTGGCAAGTCGAGCTATCTCCATCCTAGGCAGGGATATTCGACCGGTTGATCCATCATGTAGTCCGAGTCCAGCGGTCTGCATTGCTCGGTGATTCCTTGGTTGTAGCCCCGTCGTGCTTTAGTCTGTACCTTGACAGCTCCACAGATTCAAGGCCTGAAATCAACAAGTGTGGAGTGTGGAGTGGACAATGATTGCCCGAAAAGTGATACCGGAGCTCCACGTTAGACGTTAATATCGCCATGATGAATCTAAATCCTCGTGACGCCATTCGGCTGGCTTTTTACGAGTACGTGCTTCCGCTCGGCTCTCGCCTACCCTGAAGGTGATGCGATTGGACTGGCAGATTAAAAGAGAATACGATGTACGAAGTTGTCGCGCATCATGAGTCCGCTGGATGGCGTGCTTAAGGTTGCTTGGTTTGGAAGTATAATGAATTGTTATCCTTCTACGATCAAATGACATCTTACCCTAGCACAGCGCTTGCGCAAGGAGCACTTGTGATGTTGTGATTTGGAGGTGTTGGATCGACAACTGGAACCACGCGAGAGATGCATCTCGCGTGGAGGAGAGATCGGGGAGGGGTAATTAGAAATAGACCTGAAAGTAGAGCTAGAACTAGAGCTAGAGCTAGAGGTAGAACTATTTGAATGCCAAAGATTCCCCTGGCATTCTGTCTTGGACTGGGTGTTGAGACTGGTTAGTATACCCCTTGATTCGCATCTCGCGGTCCGGATCTACATACCTGGGCCTTTTCTCGACTTGAACCGTTGACTGTTGACCGTTTGAGCATCATGTTTTCCCAAGCTCTTGGTGCGGTCGCTCTGGCTGTATCGTGCTTGGTGTCAGTCAGCACGGCCATTACATATTCTCCCGTACAGCCTCCATCATATCCCTTGGCCGTGCGAAGTCCATATCTATCTGGTGTGTTGATCAAGCGAATTCCGGGGATTTTGGCTAATTGATCGACAGCGTGGATCCCTGGTAGTGAAGCCGCATCACTTTCTAGCAACAATGCACAGTTCTGGGCAGGCAACAAATTGACCTGGTCGGTGATTGCACGCGTGAATGGCAGCACGTACAATCTGTTCGGCGTAGCCAGTCCCCCCGAAGGCACCACATCGGCCACCGTGACCGAGGCCACATATACCTCGACCCATTCGACCTTTGTCGTGACTGCTGGATCGCGACAGTTCACGCTCGATTTCTTCTCGCCCGTTTCACCCAAGAACTATCTCCGCCAGTCACTGCCCTTTTCATACCTGACGGTGACCCTGGCCGCCGGCGATTCCAGCTCGGTCCAGATTTATTCCGATATTGACTCGAAATGGACGGGTCAGACCAGCGATTCGACTTGGAGCCATACCACGAGCGGATCGGCGAGTGTGTTCCAGATCTCAGGCGTTGGTGCGGCGACGTATGCGCAGAACAGCGACGGCCAAGCTCTGTGGGGCAGCGCGGTCTACGCCACGTCAGGCACATCACTCTCCACTCAGTCCGGCCCCATCTCCACTGTCCGAAAGCAGTTTGTCAACAACGGTACCCTCAGTGATTCCTATGCTGACTGGACTCCGGGCGGTGTTGTGGCATTTTCGCACAACCTGGGAACCACCGCGGATGAAACCGCGGTAACCTTTGCAATTGGTCACGTGCGAGAGGAGTCGATCAACTATTTGGGCGCGGCTCAAACCGGTTATTATCGTGCGACATACAAGGAAACCCCCGCTGCTGTGGCTTACTTCCTCGAGGACTACGATGATGCCAACACCGAGTCCACCAAGCTCGATGACTTAGTCCAGTCGACCGGTATATCCAGCTATGGAACCAACTACTCCGACATTTTGGCTCTCTCGGTGCGCCAGACCTACGGGGGAATCGAGATCACCATCCCCAACGAATCGCTGGATACTAGCGACACGCGTGCCTTCATCAAGGAGATCTCCAGTGATGGCAACATCAACACCGTCGATGTGATCTACGCCACCTTCCCAATTTTCTACATTCTCAGTCCCGAGTACCTCAAACTACTCCTCGCTCCCATCTTTGATTATATGGCTACCTCTGCCTATACCAAAAACTATGCGGTGCATGAGATTGGAGCCAACTACCCGAATGCAACCGGACATCCGGCCGATGGCGAAGAAATGCCCATTGAAGAGAGCGGCAACGTGATATTCCTTGCCTACGCTTATCAGAAAGCCACGGGCAACACCGACTTTGCGAATACATACGCTGCCCAGCTCAAGACATACGCCACCTACTTGCAGGACAATGGCCTCTATCCCGCTGCGCAGCTGTCGCTTAACGATGCTCTGGGTGCGCTCGCCAACCAGACTAACCTGGCAATCAAGGCTGCCGTGGGCTTGGCAACATATGGTGCTCTCATTGGAGACGCAAGCTACACCACCGTGGGTAAAGAGTGGGGTGACAAGATCTGGACGGACCACCTCGGGACCGATGCCAACGGGACCCGCTTCCTGATTCAGTATGGGATCACCCCCTGGTTCCTGGTTTACAACCACTACCCAGATCTTTTGTTCGGCCTGGACGCCTTCCCTGATGAGGCTTATAACGCGACGACTAATTTTTATCCGACCGTTCGCGAGACGGCCGGTGTCCCCTTGGATGGCTCCCTTGGCTGGGGCCAGACAAATTGGCAGTCTTTCGCAGCAGCTACAGTCAGTGGTGATGCTCGGGACATTTTCATCAGTGATCTGCACGCGTACATGTCCAATGGACTGAACAGTGCGCCTTTCTCAGATCGCTACTGGGTCGAGGCGAGCGGATCGTACTCTGCTGGAGAATCGTATTCGTTCCGTGCGCGGCCCACACTGGGCAGTCACTTTGCCCTGGCTGCTCTGTCGGGAGCTAACACTTGGTCTTCCTGAGACTTATGCATATTTTTTTAATCTCCTCTTCTTTTTACGTTGAGAGGGTCCGGTTACCTGGATCCATCTTTGCATCTTGGATACCCGTTGGAATTTCGCATAAGATCGTCTTGGGTTTGAAGACGATTTTTATAGCATATTTATGTCCTACAGTCCATATTTATAATACAGAATTGCATTGCCGACGACCTTGATGTTTTTCCTTTTCCCCTCTTTTTCGGGATATGGCCCAGCCCAGGTGCCCCCAGCCGGACTGGGAAAGTAGATTGAAGCTTGCGTATGCTTCTTGGCAAAAGCTTCAGCACGTTTCTGGTTCACTGGTATCATTCCCCTGACGTTTGGTATAGTAGTCGGGATGTGGGCGGTTCTTCGGAGTGGCCCACAGGAGCTCTCCTCTACCCTTGTTCACTTCACATTTCCCCAGATACAATATGCTTCTTTGCAGTTCGTCTCCACTTAGACCCGAAGATGGCTATTCCCCAGTCGGTCAAATTGCGGGGGAAGCATGCCCCATGGGGAAAGGCAACTTCAAGTTTGCGTGTCCTGCCTATTTCTGAGATTCCGAGGTTGTATTTGGAGAAGTATTTAAGGGCGGTGCAGTGGCAAATGTGATTCAGGAACAAGTTCAAGAATCTCTCGGAATACAGAACCAGCGTTGCGACGATGTTCCCCAAGGCTATAATCCTCTTCCCAGCGCTTGCGCTGGCATCGATAACAATCGAGGACCCCTCAGATGTGATCAAGCCTACCTGGTGGAAGGCAGACAATGTCATCATCCCGGATTATGATATTGCGATGATAAGTACACAACCGTCGGACAGTAGGTTTGCAATGGATGTGTTACTAGCAAGATAATGTCCTGACAAGGAATCTAGTTGAGGCTACTCACAAGGTCGACGACAAAAGTGGCAGCGCAGACCATGTTACCTGGACGGCCACCGCCAATGATACCAGCGTTCTTCTGGTAGCCAATGATGCCGATTTCACCGGGTCCTATATCAATTTCAAGAAGAGCGGGTACGCGACCAATCTGAACACCGCGAGTTTCTGGGGATTCAATGCAGCAATCAATGTGGTAAGTCAACCTATGCATTTCACAAACAAGTCTTCATCTGACTTTTTGTTCACTCTATAGGCTAATGCTTCCACTGCTGTCTTCGATAATGTCAATGTTACTGTACACAATGGAGCAGCCCAGTTCTACTCCTACGGTACTGACACCGTGATCAATGTCACCAACTCCTGGCTATACTCCTCTGGACCAATCAGTCATGGTCTGTACGCAGCTGGTAATGGAACCATTCACGGCAAGAATCTGCAGGTCTATTCTGGTGGAAAGCGGTCTTCCAGTTTCTCTGGAGATTCGCCCGGTGGCTATATCTACGTTGAGGACAGTATTGCGCACGCAGCAGGCATTGGCTCAGCTACCTTCTATGCATTGGGACTGATCGATGCGAAGAATGTGGTCAGTCTGTCCGAGAATGGCCCTGTAGTCTTCTCGGATGGAGCACAGACGGCTACGTTGGTCAACTGTGACTGCACCGCAGGATTGTTGGGAGGCGTGGCTATGTTCAGCAGCTCTACGCGCAATAGTGGTGCAGTGCTGAACTTGACAGATACCAAGTTCACTACCCTTGGAAAGGCCATGCCTGGACTGTGGTTTGGAAACTTGATTGCCGATGCTTACTTGAACAATGCCGAACTCAACACTAAGTCGGGAATCCTCGTTGTGGCCAACTACTCTCAGATCACTCAAGACTTTGACTATTATGCCGATTATGATGACAACAACAGCCTGAAGCCTGCTGAGGTGACCATTGCCATCACCGAGTCAGATTTGAAGGGCGACCTTGTTGCATACAACGGCAGCTACATTGGCTGGTCTCTCAGCAAGTACAGCACCTGGACCGGCGCCGCTTACTCGGGCTACAAGGAAGCCACCTTTGACGTGAGCCTGGACTCGACCAGTACCTGGACCATGACTGCGGATACTACCGTACAGAACTTCACCAATTCTCTGTCCAGCCTAGAGAACATCTATAGTCATGGCCACACTTTGTACTACAACTCGACTGTTAGCACCTGGCTGAAAGGTAAAAGCGTTCGTCTGTCTGGCGGAGGTTATGCGCGACCTATTTCGAAAACTTCGAGTCGAGTTCAACGATCATACAAGGCTTGAAGGACATGTCCTCATTGATATGAGAGTAATTCGAGATAATCAAAGCAAATACTACGGTGAAATCAATATTTCCACACTGTAGTTCCATTCGTTCTTAGGAATGGCCAAAACAACCTCTAAAAAAGGATGCAAAAAGCTACCCAGAAAGATTCCACAGGATGTTCAAGTAATTGCCTAGAAAGAGACTGACAAAACATGCAAAAAATGGCAAAGGCCTTCAAATGTTGTCAACTTTGTGAATTGAGAGATACATGTGGCTATCAACTGAAACTGCGCAGAAAATTGAAGACGAATCCAGCAGAATCTACAACAATAGCGCGGATACTGGCTACTTCTCGGCAGCACCCATAAAAATCAAAATCGAGCTAGTAGAGTAAGCCTGAATCCAAGGATGTTACGGTCTGTAACAGTACTATGTAATATAAGGAGCTACGGGTAGGTATGGTGCTAATTGTATATGTTGAGAGCTATTTTGGCATCGAGGATTGAAAAAGAAAGACTGAATGGAAACACACAAGGCGATTTTGCAAGCTACTGTACTTATTAACTTCATTCATAGAAGGCTAGATGATTCGGTTTAACGCCACTTAACCGAGTCTTGAGTTCTCAACCGGCCATTGGTGGCTCAGGTCATTCGAAATTCCATAGTTTGCCTCAGTTTTTAACTCAATTCGGTAATAAAGAATAACATTGGTCTCCGTAGGAGTGATCTAATTTAGAAGAATGCCACTGCTGCTAGTACTAGCAAGGGAGGGTTTATTTGGAGGCAGCTATGGGTGTCACAGCTACGTCATCCACATCAATACGAGGTCTCCAAGGACATCTAAGCTCCAGATGTCTGTTGTTAAAGCATCGCAGCCGAGCTGGAAGTCACACGGCCTGCACCTCCTTAGTATACGAGCAGTTTGCCACTTGGGAAATCCGGGCGTGGAGGTGGTGACAGTCGCCAAGCTCATAGAATAGAGGCTGCAAACTAACTGCCGCATCTCATTCCCGCTACTAATACGGTTACGATCTACCCCGCTGAAGCTGCAGGATGTGATCGTTTAACAAAGAAGTGAGCGGGTTGTGGGCCGCCGAGACCTGAACAGGGTTTAGTCTCGACGATAGACAAGGTTCCCCGCAGAGTAAAGAATCACAAATATGTCTTCGGTTCAACTCTCTCCGATAATTTGATTTCCTTAGAGTTATTCTGCAAAATTAAGGTTATTCACGCTCAAAATTGTTGCACATGCTGTTTTTACTGGTGGATTGAAAGTGCAGATCAACGAAAATTGTCGTTGCAGAGCGTGAGACAAAGATCCCCCTGTGTCTTAGAAGCGCCTTGAAGAGGGGCGATCACAACGTCGGTATGAAGCAGCCCGAACGTGTGGAGCTTGTGGATGCCAGGTTTTCCAAACCATATGCTATATAGAGCGGCTTGGTGAATGTAGACCCCGAGCATAGTCGAACATTGTGAATATTGTCGCAATGTGGAAGCCATTGGTACATCTTTTGAGTCTGTGCCTGCTTCTGCAGCTTGTAACTGCAGATAGAGATGATCAAACATCAGCACATATAAACCGAGGCTCTTTTGAAGATCCTGCAGCACGTCTTCGGCCGCGGTTTCGATACTGGCTGCCTGATGCCAGCGTCGACGTCAAGACTGTTCAAGATAATATCAAGTCTGCTGGAGCAATAGGTGCCGGAGGTGTCGAGTTTCTCCCCTTTTATAACTATGGTGGTGAGTTGGCCCCGGCTCCGAAGGGATCCGACTGGAGCAAGTATGGGTTTGGCACTCCGGCATTCAGAAAGCTGTTCTTAGCTGCGTTACAAGCCCATAAACAGGCGGGCCTCGCCATGGACTTTGCATTGGGCCCGAATCAGGGCCAGGGGGTGCCGGCGGATCCTTCCGATGAGGGGTTGCAATGGGATTTGGTAGGTGAAGTCAGAGTGAACTACGTACAGACTCATTCTGACATGAGCATAAAATCTAGGAGCCATTTTCTGTCGCTGTACCAAAAAGTGGTCGCTTCATTGGCAAGATCCCCGGTTGGGGGTCCGGCAAATTAGTTGCTTTGGTGTCAGCCGAGGTGCTCTCTTCAAAAAATATCAGCATGGATACCGCTGGCACTGCGAGCTTCCTGGGAGCAGCTCAATCTTATTACATTCAAATGATCCTCAAAAACGGCACGTTGACTGAGTGGTCTGACAAGGTATCTTCCACCGGACACGTCTCCCTCGACCTTGGCACGACCAAGTCTTCGACCCATCACTTGTTTGCATTCTACCAGTTCTTGTCTCACAATAAGAATTTGGAATATGCTGCCTCTCCGTCAAAAACTATTTGGGATAACGGCTCCTACATTGTGGACCATTACAGTGCGCGAGGCGCTCAAACCACGACTAAGTTCTGGGAGAAGTATCTCCTCACAGAAGAAGTCAAAGAGCTTTTGATGAGCGTCGGCCACTATGGTATGTTGCTCTTATCCTTGAAAATTGGCCATATCTAATAGATGCATCCAGGCTGGGAAGATAGCATTGAAATCAAATCGAACATTTCTTGGACTCCGGGGCTCCCGATGCTCTTCCGATCCACATATGGATATGATCTGAAGCCAGTACTGCCGCTTATTATGTACAACGACAACAATATCAACATCCAAAGCACGCAACCAGGCACAATTCAGTGTCTCCTCAATACACCGGATCAGGGCCTCGGCTACGTTAACGATTTCCGCGGCGCGCTGGTTGAAGGATATCGCAGCTACCTACAAGAACTGACTAGCTGGATCAACTCAGAGCTCAATCTGCAAATATCGGCTCAAGTTTCATACAATCTTCCAATGGATATGGAAGCCAACATCCCCTACGTCAATGCCCCGGAATGTGAGAGTCTGCAGTTCGGCGATAACATCGATGGCTATAGGCAGTTTGCTGGGCCGGCCAATCTGGCGGGAAAGCGTGTCATTTCAAACGAAATGGGAGCTGTGATCCTTAGGGCATATAGCCTACAGCACAGTGAGCTGCTATCCTTCATTAATCGGGCGGTGGCCGGTGGTGTCAACCAGGTGGTGCTTCATGGGCAGTCGTACACGGGTAACTACTTCGGGACTACATGGCCTGGTTACACAGCATTTTCATATCTGTTCTCGGAGCTCTATTCAGATAAACAGCCCTCCTGGAATCACGGTTTTGGAGACGTTCTCGACTATGTTGGCCGAGTGCAGTATGTCCAGCAGTCGGGCGTTCCTCGCACCGACGTTGTGATCTATAACAAGGTGTCTGCTACGAACCCAAACTTCCCGACAATGTACTCAGCTATTGATTTGATTGATGCTGGTTAGCTGCTACTTTAAATTTTTCCTTTTTCTTTTTCCATCAAGATTGTCACTGATTCACTCCAGGCTATACATACACCTACCTGTCTCCGGACAACTTTGCTCTCCCTGAGGCTACGGTACAGAACGGTATCTTGGGCCCCAATGGCCCCTCATATAAGGCTATGGTCATCACCAGCGACAGCAATCTCACCGCGGAAGGTGTACACCACATTCAAAAGTATGCCAGGGCAGGGCTGCCCGTTATTTTGAGCGGCGGAGATCCTGGTGTCTACGCAACCCACGACGGAAGTGACAAATCCACTGTTGAAAAGGCCCTTCAGGCTCTGAAGAAGTCGCGAAATGTTTACGTTGTCTCAGCCGGACAGGTCGCGGCCAAGCTTCAGAGCCTCGGGATCCAGCCTCGAGTTGCAGTGCAAACAAATGGCACCTGGTACTCGACTTGGCGGGAAGATGCTCAGAATGGCATGGACCACGCTTTTTTATTTTCTGAATACGCTTCGGACGGTACAGTCGATATTGCTAGTGCCAAAACCCCCTTCATTCTCGACCCTTGGTCGGGCACAAAGAAGCCCCTCCTTGGCTACAAACGTGACGGCGAACGAGTGGTGATCCCTCTCAGCTTTGCAGCCAACCAAACCGTTGTGATCGGCTTCACCGACAGTGATGACGGCGCTTCAGATTATGCAACGCAGCTGCCCTCCACCGTTATTGGCTACGATTATGCACATGATACCGGCGCTGTCCTCCATGTTTCTGATGGATCAAGCCAGTCTCTTCTTCTCTCAAATGGTACGCGAGTCAGACTTGGAGACAAACATGTCGCTAGCCCCAGTTCACTATCTCAGTGGACTCTTATAGCCGAGCACTGGGAAGCACCGACCAACATCTCGGATGCAGCCACTATCGCCACCAAGCACAACACCACCCACCACCTCTCCTCGCTGGTCTCATGGACCCAAATCGAGGGGCTAAAAAATACCTCCGGTCTGGGGTACTATACCACAACGGTGAGCTGGCCTCCTTCTCATGGATCCGCAGACGGGGCCTATCTCCTCCTACCGAGGATTGAGCACGCCGCACGTGTCTTTGTTAATGGTAAACGGCTGCCTGGCTTCGACTTCGCAGCCCCGCGGATAGATCTGGGTCAGTACCTGCAGCAGGGGGCGAACCAGGTGGCCGTAGTGGTCCCGACCACGATGTGGAATTATATTCGCAGCATCGCTGGTGAGCTCGAAAGTGCGGGAGTCGGAGTGAAGACTGTCATGGCGGGAGTCGGGGCAACGACACTTCCTGCACGCCGCGTGAACGGGCTAATTGGAACCGCAACGTTGATCCCGTATGTCAAGGTGCCGTTGAAGGTGTAGACAACCGTCATTACCTGCTCAGGTGGTCATGTCATTCCCCTCAGGGATAAGCAACGCAGATTAGAAATCTATGGATGCAATTTTCCCAGCCCACGTCGGTAATCCCGGACGTAGTGCGTGAGGGTGACCGCTTCGGCTGCAATGCAAGGAATTTCCAGCCTCACGAGTAGCCGTATGCGGTATATGTATACCCAAGCTCCGAGGTCGCGCGCGGACCATACCTAGTTGCGAGACGAATCGGCGAAGACAGGGCTAGTGAGGTTGCAGCGGATTTCGGGCATGGGCCAAAAAGTTGATTTATCTAAATCGGTTGGGGATGGAAATATCGGGCTTACGATGTATGCATATTCCCAAAGGAGCAGACCCAGAACGTGCACGGACGCTTCCAGAACAAAGCGGCTGTCAGCCGGATCCCGCGCGTTCCTGCCAGATCGAAAGCCCTTGAATTCCATGAAATCGGGCATTCCGAGAATTGCGCCCTAGTCAGGCAGCAATTATAGGTAAATTCAAGCGAGGGGGGCTACGCTAGGGTAGATTGGAGCTTCATTAACCGATCAGGGAGAAGTCATACGTCGCCTCTGTCTACACCGGAGACCGATAGTTGAGGAGTATCGTGCCGCTAACGTGACGCAGCGTGGTTGACCCCCAGACAAGTGGCGCTGGAGAGAAGGCAAGGTCGTTTTGAGGCGTTGTGGCACCGAAAGGATCAACTAGGGGCATCGTAACCGAGTACCGAGCGTTGTTTAGTCAGCGGGGGCTACTTACACACCAGGCACGGGATAACCCCAATGCCACCGATCGTAGGAGTCAGGAGACGGTGTATATAGATCAGAGGCTTCACTGCCTATCAAAGGCCACGCCTGCACGACCGAGTTTAGTCTAACCCGATTCGGAAAACGCATGGCTCGTCCAGCTGACTAAGGGCCCTGCGATCATTGGGTTGTCATTGGCTGGCAAGGGATAGACTCGTCGTGCTCCATACGGCTAAACGCGATGCGGCAAGACGGTTGGGTTTTGGCCCCCCGCGTCGGGGTCGAAGGTCTATGGTGTACCCTGCTCTTTGCCAATCCGCTATATGAACATTTGGACGCGTGGGAATACTATTGGAAGCTGACTTTGATGCGGAATCACTCTTATTTGCCTATCACCGTCACTATCACTCATCATCAGTAGATGCGAAACTAGTACAGAACAAGATGGGAGCTTCAATACTATGTGGACCCCCGATTATGTCACTCGTATCGGAGCTGCATTTACCGATTCGGGGAATCGGCGCATCGCATGGCATCGCATCCCTAATCCACCTCCATTTTATCTTTTTTTTTTTGCTTTTATATTTTTATTTTCCCAAGCTTGTTTACTCCTAGACCCCACTATATGGGCCTATCTTTTCACAATAATTTTTTCCCCTCTCCTTGACCGGGGGTAGTTGAACTCGTTCCAATATCTAAGCATTCTCGCCTCCAAAGGCTCTACTATAGCTCCGAGAGTACCAAGGTCCGAGGTCTCTCAACTCACTCTGGTGATGCCCTGGCAGAAAAAGCGACTCCGACAGGGGAGTTTGCAAACAGAACGACAGGTTCGTTCCTCACCCCCGGTTCCCCTCCCTCGGTCCACCCGAGATCTGAGCTCGTGCATCGAGTGATCTTCCCCTCCCTCGTACTGGTCCGCTGACTCGCGATAGTATCCGGACCCGAGCTGCCCGCACTGCATTGACCGCAGGATGGTCAGCCAATATCCGCCTCGCCCTCGCCTGACGCGTCTGGATAAGTCCCGTACGGCTTCGTCCGTCTCCAGTGCCTCTTCCTCTTCTTCCGAGTCCCTTCCGCCTACCATGACCGACCTTGTACCTAGATCTGCCCAGCTCAAGGAAGACGATGCTGAACCGTCACCGTCACCGTCACCGTCAACGTCAACGTCAACTCCAACGCCGTCAAATATGGAGGAGACATTGCATCTACACGACCTCGAGTTGATGATGTACTGGTGTACAACGACGTACCGGTCTATGGCCCGCGACAATGTGGCGGAGGCGCTGTGGCAGACGGTTATTCCCCAATTATCGCTACGCTTCCCGTCCCTGCGGCATGGGCTGCTGGCCCTATCGGCTCTCCAACTAGCGGGGACCTGTACAAGCCCGGGGCGCAAATGGCGTTATCTGGTCTCCGCACGCGAGCATCAAAGTCATGCTCTCGCAGGCGTTTCGCTGGACGGAGTGCAGGACCTCACCACGGCGCAATGCAATGCCACTTTTGCTCTTTGTGCTGTTTTGCTGGTCTTTTCATATGCATATTGCTTGATCGATGACGAAGTGGGGGATCATGAGGAACAGCCGGATATCTTGGACGAGTTCCTCGAGGTTTTTGCACTCACGCGCTGGCTGGTCAGCGCGATGATGATGATCATGGACCGGGTGGCAGCTGGCGAACTATACCCGCTCGTGAACCCCGAGCAAACTCGGCCGACCATGCCGGATATGTCCCAACTGGTGGTTCTGAGTCTTCGCCGGCAGAATGAGATCGAGGTCCAACTTGACCCAACCCATGAGAAGGAGGTGTACAACCAGGCGATCGACCATCTGCGGAGCGCACTCGAGCAGCTGATGAACGGGGGTGAGCCCAAGGATTTTGCTTTTTGCTGGGCCTTCCGCATTCCCGTCAGGTACCAGGACCTGGTGCGCGAGCGGAAACCCTTTGCTCTGGTAGTTCTGGCCTATTACGCCGTCATCCTGCACCATCTGCGCGATTCCTGGTGGATGGGGGATTGGGGAATACGTATTCTTCGGAGAGTCGATGCCTGTCTTGAGCCGCAATTCCGCCATTTGATTAGCTGGCCTATCGATGCCACCGGCGGGTACTTTGTTGAAGAGTGAAATCTTCCCGGGTGTGTTGAGCAGTAATGAACAAGCTCGCGCATTTGGGAAAGGGGAAAAGACGGACTTAGCACCCGTCGATACTCTGCCGAACATCCCGTGCTGGGTTACACCTACAGTGTATCTCTCGGGAATAAGGGACTGTCCTGCCCGGGCGGACAGAGTCCAATCACGACCCCTCTGCAGGGAACACCAGCGTCAGCTGACGGCTATAATTACCAACTTGCATATGCATCTCATGATGCGTCCTGAGCATTATACATAACGAGTCATGAGGGATATCATTAGGCATAGAATATATCCAACAGAGGGGCATTCCCTTGCTGTGCGCCTGAAGCCCTGAAACAATCTAGAAAACAATAAGTATAAGTATAAACCTTGCACCCGAACCGACGCCATTCCTTTTCCCCCCGGTTGGGTATTTGCGGCACCTTTGGCCATGCAGATAGGAGAACGGGAAAGATAAGGGAAAAAATAAAATAAAAATAATCCAAAACCACAAAGCAGCAAGATAAGACTAAGGTCTCGAACCCCGCTTTGTAGCTGCTTTTCAACTCCCGAGTGCTCGTTTTGATTTCACTCTGCGATGTCCCTTGGTGTCTTCCGTATTCACCATGGTGAACACTTTGACCATCCACTGAGTCGAGTGAGTCAAACTCGAATTGGCCGTCCTACTGCTGATTGCGTACGTCCTGTCGCTCGTGTTCAGTCTCCCGATTGCGATCCTGAGACTGGGTGTGCACTCGCATCAGCTCTGCGCCCTGTGCCTGAGCCTGCTGTCGAGCTCTCTCTTCCTCCTCGGCCGTGGGGATGTAGGCATTCGCAGCGCCACCTAGAACCACTGGGTCAGCTTCACATTATCGTCATCCCTGTCCGCAATTGCATACCTCGTCCGGTATGGTGGGGGTACTGCTCTGCCCGCATCGGCGGGGAGGCGACGTCCTGACGCTCGCGCGCAATCTCTGGTCGCTCGGGGTCGTTGTGAACCATGTTGCCTTGGCCTCCGCGACCGGTCGTATAGACGTCCTGTTTGATTGTTGGGGTGATGAGATCGGTGGGTGTAGTGGCGGAATGCTGACGGGTGATGCTGGCGATGTTGCCTATATGATGGTCAGATATGCGACGCGGGGTTTCCAACCTGATCGACTGATCGAACACTTACCGGCGCCTCCACGACCGTAGGAGATGTTTCGACCTGACATGACTGCTGATGAAGGAGACCACTGTGCGTGAACCGTACAAAATATGGTGGGGAGTCGTGGAGCTTTCAGCCAAGACGGGCGGCAAATTCTGTTCCGCCTTGCGATGATCGTGACGTGCCTCGGGGTTGAGAGACTATTCGAGCTATACGAGCTAATGCAGGGCTATAGTGCTCAACCTAGGTGATAGACAGGGGACTGAACTTTCACGTTTTTTTTTTTTTTTTTGCCCTTATCTTTAGCTACGAGATAATGTGGCGGATCTGAAGTGTTTTCCGCGCCAAGGAGCTTCCGGATGAGGTCATCGAACCGCCTCGGGCAGGACAATTTCCATTCTCGGGCCTGCTACCTTTCATACTCCATGCTAACCCTGATCCTTGCTGAAGAAACGGATAAAATCCAATGAGCGATATTCAGCACAGTCCGATGCCCGGCTCTCCGCAAGAGTCTTGCCAGTGGCTTTTGTAGTAGCCGTTCAGCTTTAAGCTCCACGCCCAAAGGAACCTGCACGCCCCGCGAGATTTCGTCTTCCGAGAACTCCTCCCTTGGGTGAACAGTGTTGACAAAGAGGTTTCCGGCTGAGATATTTTTTTTTACATCGATTATCTGATGGGCGAAGGGATCTCTTACGCTCACACAGCCAGTCTCCTGGTTGTAATTACCGATCTTGGCGGACGTGCCGTTGCATGCGTTGCCAATCAACGTCGCATGGCATCAGAGACACCCTGGCCAATGTACTGGGTCAGGGTGATGATAGGCGACAAAAGGGTGTGAGGACTGGGCGAGGGTGACAGCAGGAGAGTGAGGGATGCTTTAGCCCTAGATAAGCATAGACGATTCAATTTTTTTCCTCCAAGACATGAACAGTACGGTACCTGCACTCAATGCACTGAAACTCCGACTGTTCCACGATGACCTCCGTATGGCATATAGTGTGAGAGACAATAGGTATCTCTTTTCAAATGTTCTTGTTTAAGAGTGATCAAGTCCTTCCGTAGTCCCTTATTATGTGCCTAACTACCCAGGAGAAACCCTCTGACTTAAATGAAATGGCCAGCTTCTCTAGATATCCACTGTTCTAATAATCACAGAGGATTGATATTCGGACGTCGTTACAAGCCTGGGAAGTGTCGACGCTGCCCAGGTCCCAGCGATGCTTAATAAGCACACTCACACCGCCCTGGGCGTTCGCAGCGGAGAGCAACGCAATCTCTGGCCCGATACATCTCCGCATAACAGCTGATCATCCGCCATTCCCTTAAACATGTCCGTTCGTTCCGTTCTCGGGGGCCGTACCCCTGCTGCGATCAGTTCCCTCGCATCTCCCTTCACGCTCCGTCAATCCGCCCCGATGGCTTCCAAATTCACCCGCCTCCACTCCACGGCCATTCGTCCCTCGCAATGCGCAGCTCCGAAGGTGGTCTTCCGCCATGCCAGAGTTCCCCAGTCTTCTCTTAACCGCCCGGCTATTCGCACACAATCGACCTCTGCTTCAGGAAAGGATGAGGCAAAGCTGGACTGGAACTCCTTCTTCAAACTCCGCGCCTCTCGCCGCCGTTACTCCCTGGCATCCTCAATTGGTACCTGTCTCGTGTCGACGACAATCGGTGTGCAGCTCCTTTCATCGCAAGATTTGGAGTCTCTTGGCGCTCAGGTGATGGGCCTTGACCCTTTCGTGGTTCTTGGTCTGGCAACCGCTGCCTGCGGAGCTGTCGGCTGGCTGGCCGGCCCCGTTGTCGGTGAGGGTGCATGGGGCCTGGTCTACCGGCGATTCAAGCCATCCGTTGCGACAGTAAGCTAGAATTTTCTGCAATATTGGTTCGATGATACATAGTGCTAACATGCCATTCCTCTTCGCAGAAAGAGAAGGAGTTCTTTGACCGAATCCGACGATTCCGCGTGGACCCCTCGACCAACTCGATCGCAAACCCAGTGCCCGACTACTATGGTGAGAAGATCAACAGTGTGCAGGGCTACCGACAGTGGCTCAAGGATCAGCGGGCATATAACCGAAAGCGCCGCAACTTCATTGCCTAATTTCTCTTTTGTTTGAAAGCATCGCCTTTTCCCTGTTCGAGTGCATACGATTGACCCTGCCTGCTCAGGTTGCAGACTCAGGACCGTACAGGTCAATTTCTTTCTGGACTGGTGTTTTACTTTTCGATCTCATTAGCGGTCCGGGCGAGCTGGGGTATTATGTATATTCAAAATGTTCTTCAATAGCGTCAAGTTACCATTTGTCTTGGATGTGATTGTAACATCAAATGATTGCACATGTAGAATCGTGGCTGTCTATGTACAATTTGACAACTCGTCCCCGTCCTGTGTTACAGCTTGGCTGGAGTCTTTGCCTTGGAATTGCGGCCAGTATCAACCTCGGTCCACCAGGGTACGTTAAGTGGGGGATTGTCATCAAGATTAGCTCGAAAATTGGGCTTGCGCTTCTCGAAGAACGCCTGGACACCTTCTTTCTGGTCTCTGTTCACAATCAGCATCAAGTCTAGTCCACCAGATGATACCACGTACGGTGCGGCAAACGTCTGGATAATGAGATTTGACTCCAGCAGGTGCGCTTCTTCCGCCGTGCCAGGGTTACGCCACATAAGAGACCGATTGAGATACTGAGAGGTCGGGCTCACATTCTCGGCAATCTCGGTAGCGAGTTCCAGGGCACGAGGAAGAACATGAGACGGGTCCGGTAGAACCTCGTTAAACAGGTCACCGAAGTGCTTCGATGTAGGTGGGAATACACCACCCGTACTGACGAGGTAACTGGCATTAGAGAAACCGATAAGACGTGGCAGGAAATACGACGAGCAGGATTCCATGACAATACCACGCCGTCCGAAGACGAAGCCATACTTGCCCTTCTCATAGGCGATCCTAGAAGAGATTAGTTTCCAGATAGTTGGATGGAAATGCCAGCGAGTTACCGAATAATGGCCGGAAGGGTCATAGTCATCCCAACTCCGACTGCTGAACCCTGCATGGCCGCAATAGTCGGTTTACGGCAGCGATGAATGGCGAGGACGACGCGGCCGCCCCTACTGCCATTAGCAAAGCAGATCGCTGATAAGTGATCATTTAATATGTAGCAGGAGACTTACCCATCACGGTGGTCGACAGGTCTTTCTGGACTGGTACGGAATCCTATATCCAGATCTGCACCAGCACAGAAGATCTTCCCGGCACCGGTCAGGACAATGACCTTGACGCGCTCGTCAACATCGAACATAGGAAATACTTTCTCAAAGTCTTGGACCATTTGCCCCGTGAATGCATTGTTATTAGCGGGTCGGTTCAGCGTCACGACGATTACGGGCGTGACCGTCGGGGAACCAGTTGGGTGATGCGACACCGTAACATGGCCGGTCGTCGGGACTTTCTCGTAAGAGGAAGGCAACTCTATAGCATCTGGGTCAAAAATCATGCTGGGCTAGAGACTTCAGTAAGAATTAAAGAGCGGTTGAAGGGAAACGAAGCAACTATAAGTGTGCCGCTGAGCTCGACCTCGGTTCGGCTGTGGAGAAGGCGGGGACCCCGCCTTCTCCATGGGGTCGCTACAGCCGTACTATGATGTTGGTCACCTAGCGCCCACGTTTTGATCGTGGGCGGCTCGCTGCCCTTTTCAGTTGGTCTAAAGGCGGCAGTTCACTCGCCTGAATATTCTTCACCCGAATGCCTGAAGCACCCAAAGAAAAGGATGGGATGATGGGTTGTGGGTAGAACGATAATCAGTCGTTAGCGGTACGGAACATAGGGACCCTGTCGGGGCAGAAGAGAGACCACTGGTAGACTGGAAAGGATGTTTTCCCATACAATGGAGTTATACGCTCCCTCATATGTATAAGAGCTATGTACGGAACCCCCTTCCAGCTCGGGAAGCGAGAGGCGAGCGATCAATTTCTAAGTTTTGTTGCTTGATAATAGAAAATGAGCCATTAGTCATGTACTCCCTCACGAATTCTGTGCTCCATCCGAATCTGCTGTAACGAAATGGGGCGAATCACAGGGTTCAAAAACTTCAAATGGTGGATTGCATCACCATGAGACTGGACAACAATGCCAGCGTCCAACATCTCCTCAACAACAATAGATTTGTGACTACAATGTTTCAGCGCCACAGCTTCCCAAGCCTGAACAATAGGAGCTCGCAGGGTGAATTGCCATCTTCCTCTCCAGGTTAACACAGCAGGCTGCCCTTCCCCAGTTAGCTGGTATCTGAAGAGTATTGCCAATCCCTCTCGTCCATTCCATATCTCCATTGATTTAAGATTTGGCATTTTCATGGCCACTGCTGCCGCTTTCTGGAGCATATTATCAATCTCAATTAGGCTCTCATCAGGTGTGAGCAGTTGAGAAGTCAGCGTAAGTGAAGTCATGCTGGGCCACTTCCAATGAAGTTCACAGGCATAGAAGAAATAGCTGGCATCCACAATAAATTATGCTGAGAGGTACTCAAGCTTGAGACTGGCTTTGGCGACTGCGTAGCTGACATCAGAGGTCGGGATACGGATTGGACTGCAACCAACAAAACTACCCAAAAAAAGTAGCGCGTACTGTTGAGCGAAATTCTCGAAGAGGATGAGTCTTCGTAGCTTACTAGAAGCGAGCGATTCAAAAAGCGATCGGAAAGCTAGATGAGTGGTAAGTAATATAGCAATAAACGTATATATGGTAGAGAATTATGAGCTGATATAGCGGTGCTTACATTGATCTGTCCACTCTTGCTAGATATCATACCATTCTCTCCAAGGCTCGTAGTAAATATCCTGGAGTCTGGGAAGACGGGCAAACATCTGTGCTAATGCAGTTGGCTTCCACCGTCGGCGGTTCTGTTGACGTAGAAGCACACCTGTTACTGCTGGGACTAACGGTAGTTGCTGCCACCACTGGTCTTCCTCTTCGCCATCATCAAATGGTCTTTCACCCATGATTTCATCGAAAACTTTGTGGATACCAGCCTCTCTCGCGATATAACACTTGAAGTTGAGGCAATCCTGACACCTGGGCTATTACTTCACGTCGCCGACCAGTGCAGACAGAGGATGTGGGATGGGCTATGGCTGCAATGGCCCCTCCGAGGCAGCTATCACGCCTCACGAGCCCCGCATACATAACGTGCATTTCCTAATATGTCGGCATGGAATCCATCGGATACCGGGAAAAGTGTTATTCCTGCATTTTTATAGTGTTTGCATGTCTATTCTTATATAAATTGGCAGATTGATAGAGTAGACAAATCAGAGTTTTTCAATACCCCAGATCAGGCTGACCGCTTTCTATATTCGACATAATACTCTAAGACTCCCCAGGTTAGCTTTCCTGAATCCATTTAAGCTTCTGGCCTCGACCATCCTACCGTCGGCAAACAACACACTCAGCAGAGAACGGATTAGTCAGGGTACATGAATCTCTACTTTCTTTCGTCAAATGAGAAAGCTGAAGGTCTTATCCGTCATCCCCCCCGAGGTTTTCCAGGTGGATGGCTGGAGCGTCATTGCCCACATGAGAATAGCACTGCTAGGCTGAGATCGAAGTATTTCGCACCGCATCTTGACTTGCTTATTTCTGGCCTTCACTAGGTCGGAATCCAGATTCAACATTTTTGGTCCCATAAATGTAAGGACCATATTTATCCTCAATGTCATCAAAGTTAGAGAAGTGGTTGGCCCAGAATATTTGGCAGACCGAACACGATTTGAATGCGAATGTCTTTTTCGTCAGGGAACCTAGCGGCTAATAGTCTTTCAATACCTGCGTCATATTCCGCTAAAGATGCCTTGAACCTCGTGTGCAGGTTCTGGAACTCATTGAGTTGACCTCTTGTTAGGCGAATCTGTTTGGTGTTGAGTTTCGAGCTGAGGGATTCCATTCGGCCCACCAGGCTGTCAAATTGGGCCAACACCACACATACAGACATGTCGAAGCAAAGGGGAAGTACAAAACCACAAACATGAGGTTTTTATGGTAGCATAATTGGAGAGGGGTTGATACCTGATGCGTAGTACTTGGCCAACGCGTTTTTGTGAGTCAGTGCATAGTTTAGTGAAGGTAGAGGTTAAGTAATATCGTAAAAAATTGATATAATTCTCATAAGTAGTGTACAGTATAACCACTGACTGGGACCCAGGATTCTCCAAGTCTTTTTGTTATGGCGGAGAATAGGTAAATCCGAGGCCGATCCTTCCTCGTCGAATCCATCACATCTGCGCCTTCATCTTCACCTCTGCCAGCACTTGAGAGGCGGTTGGAGATGCCACGCAGGCCGAAACTCATCCATTTCATGGAATTATGGAGATGAAGTTTGTCTTCATCAACGTCAAAGAGCCAAAAGACGCCCTCCAGCTTGCCAAAGAGACGGAGGTCCGGTCTCATGTGACGCGTTATCAATGGAAGCGGTTTGCGCATCGAGACAAGCGAAACCAGAAGAAAGCATTAGTAGCGTCTCGGGATGTGAATGGTATTGAAGGTCAGAACGACCCCGGGTCCAGGTCTTCTACTCTGGAGCCAATCCCAATATCACCTCAAATAGGCGGGCTCCGAGTTGACCCTTTCCGATCATATCCTATCTCGGCCCAACCTTGGATTCCGCTGCTTGTCGATCACTGTAAGTTATTTCCCTTTGAATCAGCAAAGCACAATCTAATACAATGTACCAAGACTTGCTACACATGGCAGTTGATATCCCCGAGCTTGACCTGCCCGGAAATCATGGCCTTTTGAGGACCAGTTGGTTTCCTTTAGTGATGACCGATCCTGCCTTATTCTCCGTCATCATGCTCCTCGCTGCATCGCATTATGCCTCTCTACAGGACCACCCTACCAGTATGAGACTAGACCTCCTCGGCCTTCGCTATGAAGCTGTATCATCCATCAATCGCGGCTTTGAAACCCCGCTGTCCGAGACTATAAATGATGCGTTGATAGGGGCCATAGCAAAAATGGCAAGCTATGAAGCCATGTTCGGCAGCCTCGATAATTACAATGTCCATATGCATGGTCTCGCACGAGTGATTAGCCTACGAGGAGGTCTTGCGTCATTGGGTCTGAATGGCTTGCTCAAGCGGATCGTGATTTGGATTGACCACAACGCCGCTTTTTTGCATGGATCGGCGATGTATTTTGCAGAGAGTAGCTTTATGCCGGGTGAAGGGTTGCCAGATCCGAATCCCGGTCACTTTCTCGGAAGCTCGTGATCATCCTCATTTTTGGTATTCATGCTTGGGCCAATCATGCAGCCAGATCGGAGTTAATGGTGGGGACATCCTAAACGGGATATCACATCGAATGCACGATCCATATTTATGAACCAATGAGATGAAGTATATACTCCCGCAACCCATATCTTTCCTATTATAGATAACGCATACTAATGTGAAGTCTAAATCATCAATTGCTCTTACATCACGACAGGCTGAGCTGTGTGCTCCCGGGTATAAATAACGAGTTCCCTTGACCGAATACTCGATTTCTGTCACTCAATCTGCAGGGTTCCATCTCAATTATTATTAATACCTCGCTATCACCTACCGTTATTACCAAAATGTCTCTTACTCGGAAAGTTGCTCTTATCACCGGTGGTGTGAAGAACCTTGGAGCCCAAAGCGCCCTTGAGCTAGCTGGCGTGGGTGCCAATCTTGCCCTTCACTATCACTCTGCCGGCGGAAAAAGGATGCAGCCACGCTGGAGGCAACGCTGAAGGAAAAGAACCCTTCAATCAAGGTCATCTTCTACCAGGGTGATCTCACCTCTGCAGCTGCCGTGACGAAGCTGTTCCAAGATGTTGTTAGGGACTTCGGCCACGTTGATATTGTGATCAACACAGTCGGCAAAGTGCTGAAGAAACCTATCACGGAGATCAGTGAGGAGGAATATGACACGATGTTCGCGTATGTGTTTTGGAATCACCTTGCAAATTCCCTGGTTATTATTGGCTAAGTGGGTGTTTTTTAGGGTAAACTCCAAGACTGCGTTCTTTGTTCTCAAGGAAGCCGCTGCTCATGTTACCGACGGCGGAAAGATCATCAGCATTGTTACTGCGCTCCTTGGCGCGTTTACTGGCTACTATACTTCTTACGCTGGTAGTAAAGCTCCTGTAGAACACTTTACTCGGTATGCCGTCAGATTAGCCTTCACAGTCCTTAGCTAACAAAGGTACAGGGGAGTGTGCAAGGAACTCCAGTCTCGCAGGATCAGTGTTAACAATGTCGCACCGGGACCAATGGACACACGTAAGTCTTTCATGCGTACTCAAGATACCTTCTTTCTTCCAGAAATTTAACCAAAGATGCCGCAAATAGCGTTCTTCTACCCCCAAGAATCCCCGGAAGCCGTGGAATTCCACAAAGCAAACGGCATGGGCAATCGCCTTACCATGATTGAGGACATCGCTCCTATTATTCGCTTCCTTTGTACAGATGGTGCTTGGATTACTGGCCAAACTATCTTTGCCAACGGCGGATATACTACTCGCTGATTGGATTCTGAGTCGTCGCTGATTCTCGTGCCTTTATGATAGTCACAGTTGCAGCCTAGGATTAAAATCAAACTTGATACTTGGATATCATAGACCTTTGACTGCGTTGAAGCTGTTCATTCTCCAAAGTGAATTTGGCAAGAGGATAATAACCCCACAAGTATGATCCATTGGTCGAATATCACCCAAAGCGTCGTATACCGAAATTCCCCAATTAGGCATCGCTCGACGTTTCGTAGGGGGTTCTAGCAAGATAATCATGTTTTGAAGCATGCGTAAGCCTTCATAGTAAAGTGAGAGTTGGATATCAAGGACGTAACTGGGACAAAGTGTGGACTTCATAGGGATTATTATTGATAGGTTCCACGGAAAAATGCGTGTCAGATAATCAGAAGTTATTTCAATCCACATTATATTGATTCCGCTTGACCTCATTGGTCTTCTCAGCATCCTAGGCTATACGAATATAGCCTGTGTAGACAAAGCACTATTATATGTGGCATTCCTACCTCTTTATAACAGTCTCTTTTTTTCGCTGCCTCTAAATTCCACCAATGGTGATTCATACTAGACATTGACATGGGCCGGCCCATCGACACCTAATCCTGCCTGAATGTCCATGTCCACTTCACCCAGGATAGCCCGACAACGCCGTTAAAGACGCAGCTCCTGCGCTATGGAGAATATCAGATGCCTAAAAACTCAAGGCAAGAGTCATGAGGCTCATTAAAGAGAATGCCACGACGCCCGAGGAATTGGCCATCGTCAACATCCAGCTGGGTGAGGTCATTGGCGACGCCGTCAAATGGTTTGCACAGAAGAATGATCTCAACATGGCAACGGACATCGACCTGATCGGTGGCCAGGGCCAGACTATCTGGCACCTGCCGCTGCCGGAGCTCTTTGAGGGCAACCAAAGCCGGGCACATCTCGACATGGCTGAGATTGCCATCATAGCCGCTAGCACTGGCGTCACCTCACTTGGCAACTTTCGGGTGTCCGACATGGCTCTCGGCCGGCAAGGCTGCCCACTATTCGCGGCTCTCGATTCCCTCCTACTGAGCCACCCGACACTCAACCGTGCTGTGCAGAACATCGGTGGCATCGAAAGCTTTTCGATCTTACCCCGAGGCGCTGTCGAAGAGTGTTACGACTTCGATACGGGACCTGGTAACGTCTTTATTGACGCGGCCGTGCGGTACTTCACCGGCGGTCAACAGGAATATGACAAGGATGGTGCAATGGGCCAGAAGGGTAGGGTTGACCAGTCTGTTGTAGATAAAGTGCTCCAGGGGCCATACTTCGTGCATGATATACCTAAGACTACGGGCCGAGAGACGTTTGGGGATCGGATGGCGGAAGATATCTGCGATGAGATGCTGCACCGTAAGTCTGACTACTCTACTCAAGACAGGGGTTTTGGCTGACAAAACGTGGCACTGCAGGCGGAGCGACGCCAGAGGACTGTGTTGCTACCATAACTCGCATCACAGACAAGGCCCTGGCAGATGCCTACGAACGCTGGGGTCCACCTGGGGGCGTAGACGAGATATACATGGGCGGCGGTGGATCGTATAACCCCAACATCATCAACTACCTAAAGCAGCGCTTGCCCAACACTCTCATCGTCCCCATCTCCGAGATTGGGATCCCTGTCGGCGTAAAAGAAGCTCTCGGCTTTGCTCTACTGACGCTCAAGTGCTTTGTCGGACGACCCATGATTGTGCCCAAGAGGACCGAGTCGGACCGTTCAGGGGTGGTGGGCCAGATCCAGCCGGGCAAGAACATGCATCGCATTCGACAGCATGTTGCTCAGGTGAGTTGAACTTCCCCCCTCCCCCTCCCCCTAAGAGCTATCCAGGCACCGTACTGGATAATCTGACGCTGACATTGACGACAATTTTGGGGAGACTTCGCTGAGGAGCATGTGAAATGCACAACAGAGATGATTCTTCTCCCTTCTCAGTGCAACACGTAACATACCGCGGTGGGAGTTCACTCATTGGCGATGGTGGCGGCTTCGTACCTGCGAGCAGTCATTGCTTATGCTACGATAATAGCTGCTCTCAACGAAATGTAATGAAACAGCTAAGCTTCACGTTGTTTTCTATCGTCACTATTCCGGTAAATTACCGTCAAGTCGAAAAGTTGTAATTATGAAGGCAAGTAAGGTAGCACAAGGGTTGTTATGAAGCCAGATTATTGGTGGTCTCTTCCATATGGGAATGTCTGAACTTCTAAATTGGTAGCTTGTAAATCCAGAATATATATCACAGGACAAGAAGAAGCATGATCAGCTAGTCGGGACGACCTGTGAACCACTAGACTTCAATCGGCTATTTCCTGTTCGGACTTCCTCAATATGTTTCACCCGAAAATTTCCCTTACCATTAACCCATTAAATCAAGGATATTGTCTAACTATATGAAGAAAGAAAAAAAAAATCTACAGAACGCCAGTGTGGGCTATATTTAGGACCCCACCTAAATAGGATTGCGGCACTTCTTCATGCAATTGGACCCTGAGATACGATAGAAAGAGAGGAAATTAATTTTTAGATAGCGCATATCGGTTAATGAGATATATAGCAGCGGTTGTGGCACTTAGCATTGATAGGTAGTGTTAAGCACTGATGCATATGCAGATGGGTGGAGATTCACCGTGTTAACAGTCTCTCCGCCTTTTGGTGTTTCCTCCTGCATTCCTGATTCTCATCATGGCCACCGACGCCATGGCCTCACGCCGGCTTGCCACAGCCCTATTCGGGTCCTTACGCAACTCTCGCTGGACTCTGACCCGTACCCTCCGAAGCGATAACCCCTTGGACCTCAATGGTGAATTGCGGGGCACGGCCAACTTTACCGCGCTTCCCAACTCCGACCACGACTGGCTCTACAGCGAAGAGGGCGAAATCCCGGGGATTCCTGGCAGTGGGGCTGCATTGGCAGGACTGCGCTGGACCAAGAAATACATTTGGCGGACGACCGATACGGACAAAATTAGCGTGTGGTTTGTGAAGGTCGCCCCCGGTCCCGACGAGGCAGACTACCTTTTCCACGACTTTGACTTCGAAAACGCACCGGATGAAACCGAAAGCAAGTCAGAATTTGTGACTGCTCCTACACCTCCGACTGTGACAGCTGATAGCGAGACTACGGTTCTTGCGGCGCGTGGAAACCATCTCTGCATCAACGATATGTATCGTACCGCGTACGCGTTTCGTATCCGCCCGGAGACTGGGGAAGTCGTGAGTTGGGCGAGTCGGCACGTGGTTCATGGTCCGAAGAAGGACCAGGACATTGTCAACCGGTACGAGAGGAGCGCGTAGCCTCGGAAGCCGTGTGGACGACCGTGCTACGGGCTACGGAGATTGATGGCGGAAAAGCTCTTGCATTTGAAGCGTATTATTATTACTATATCCCGATCTGTTCACACGTCCATATTCACATAACTATCCATCTTCTTCATCTTACAAAGTGTATATGAAGTCCGGCCGTTTATCTCCAAGCAGCTCGATCTGACTCTGGTCCAGACCTTCGACCCACTGATCACGATCACCACGCATCCGCTTGCGGTTTTCGCGGCGCAGCAGGAAGTACTGCACGATCGAGCCACCACAGAGAAATAGAACAAGATAAGCCAGTACAACGCCATGGCCGGGGTAGAATCGCGGTTTATCCTCATCACGATAGATATTGGATGAGACGATCCCGTTCAGGTTTCCCCATCCTATAATGAAACCGAGAGTCACACCGCGCTTGTAAACACCTGGGAAATCAATAAGTAGCTGAGGATATACCGACGAATAGAACAACCAACCTTCTGTATTGTTACTGGCCCAAGCGATGGTGTTGGCGATCGCAGGATAGATCCCCATCGCCCCCAAGAAAACTCCGGCGTAGCGTCCGCCAGCGGTCTTGCATCCCAATAACATGGAGAATCCGACAATTCCAAGAATTGATACTCCGATGTTGCACAGTCCACGCTGGCGAGTGCGATCTGCAAGGAACCCTACCGTCACGGTAAGAACGGCGGCTACGGCGTACGGGGGCACGCTAAGCAGCTGAGCATGAATCGAACTATAGCCTGATTCAAAGTAAATGGTGTCAGTTCAGCTACACTTGAGGTGAATATCCATCTTTCATACCCTGGTTCTTAAGTCAGTAAGGTGATTTCCAAGCTTATCAACATATGGGAACTTACTAGTTCGCTGATGATAGTGGGCACAAACAACGAGAATGCATAAAGCGAACCGTCTGCGCCCATATAGACAACAGCACCAGTCCAAGTTTTCCAGTCTTTCACACTGGCCCAGAAGTACGACATCTTGAACTCTTCATGCTCCGCACTCGACTGCTGATCGAAAGCCAGGCGGCGCAGGACACGTTTCCGATCATCTGGCGACAAAAATGTAGCCTGATCTGGGAAGTCATAGACGCACCAGAAGGATGCGATACCGATCAAGAAGGTAGCAAGTCCCTCCAAGATGAAAATCCATGACCAGCCTGCGAGCCCTCCGATTCCGTTCATATTGGCGATCGCTGCAGCGAGTAGTCCACCGAATGAACCAGCTAGCGCGGCCGCAGAGAAGAAGATGGCCATGCGCACGCCAAACTCGGAGCGTTTATACCAGCAAGACAAAAAGTATCCGACACCGGGGAAGAGACCAGCTTCGCTGAGACCTAGGAACCAGCGCACTGCCATCAAACCTGAATAGTTCTTGACGATGCCCATGAGTGTCATGCAAATACCCTAATTCCGATCGTTGTCAGATGAAAATCTAAAAGCACATACTCCAATACCTCGGATCATGCATACCCAGGACATAATAATAAGTGGAATGAAGATACTCGGTCGCAATCGCTTGAGCAGAATGTTGGTCAAGGGCTCAAAGACCGAGTATGAGACGAAGAAGATCGTAAGCGTGGCATTATACTGGTTCGGAGTCATATTCAGGTCCTTGGTGAGACCGACGATCTTCGCATTCCCGATGTTTGTCCTTGCGAGAGTCAGTATCGTGGGGGCTTCGCGGCCAGGACACGGCTGTGCGCGAGATTCATCGTTCGACATACCGATCGAGGAAGGAGACGAGGTATAAAAGACTCAGCCAGGGTACCAGGCGGAGATCGAGCTTCCATAGAAGCTTGCGATCCTGCAGATTTGATGTTAGCGATCTGAAGAGGGTCATCTGGGCTTGCACAGGGATGTTTCATACAATCTTCGCCCTCTCCTCATCGCTCAACCCAGCATCAGGATCTTCAAATCCAGCAACTCTGTCAGAGCTATTGGACGTGTACTTCTCGGGATCCGAGAGCTGCGACGCGTTGTCGTAAGCAGGTTTCTGATCAGACACTGCCATGATGCAGGAACAAAGAATGAACAGAAAGAAAGCAAGTCAGAAGCTCCGAGTAGCACACCGTGGAGCCTCTGAGCGGGGGTGCCAGAGAGCTTATAAATCTGCAAAAAGCGCTTGGAGGCAGGTGCAGACTCTAAGTTCAGCCGAGTCCACTAGGTGCATTCTCGGAATGGACGAACAAGGGGCATGCAGTTCCTACTCGATAGTTTTGACGCACGATCATCGGCGCGGCCCACATGGAGACGGGAATGGAGATGATCTGCGAGGACTGGACTGGGGAGTGGGGAGTGGGGAGTGGGGGGTTGATTGTGAAGCTTACCAAGGTACTAAACTTTGTGAAACTCGGGGAGAACAGGCCATGGTGGAAAGGATAGAGAAGCTTTGCTCCGAAACCTGGATGCAGGGATGCCAAGGACCCCAAGTACCCCAAGTTTGTATACTCGGTCTCCATTCAACCGATCGCGGGGAAAGTCGAATCCGTGGGGCCGTGCGGGTCGGGGAACTTACTCCGCGGACTACTCGACTTTCTGTTATCTTTCTCGAGATATTGAACTCATATTGCACAACTATAGACAAATTGTGCTTTGGTTCTCTTCTCTTCTCTTCTCTTCCCTTCTCTTCTCTTCAAAGATTTGCGAATCACCTCCTCGTCTTTGCAGTTCACGCTGAGCATCACACCTCCGAACAGGGGTCAGTACCGAACTTGGCCTCCTTGAAAATCTCGAGCCCGTTGAGGATCTGGTAAACTTGTATAGCTGTCTTGATCGAATCGAATCGAACGGTAATCGTTCCGTTGTCGCCATGCTCCCCGAAGCACTCCACGTGAGAAGAGAAAGATGACTTGGCGAGCTTGCTGTAGAGCCTCTCCCTAGTCGTCGGATGATGAGAGGTGAAGACTAGGCAGCGGCTTCGGCCGTTCTGCAGAATATTATTCTCCATATCCTGGCTCAAGAGATAGGTTGGGGTCGATACGGGCCGGACTCGCACGGGTGTGAAGCCCATATAAAAGCCCTCCTGAGCAACCCGGCTGAGGAAAGCGAGGGCACCGTCCTGATGGATAAAACTGACGATGGCGGTCGGAGACCCATTCATGATGTTCTTAGTATCGCACAGGGACGCAGAATAGATTTGTCCACCGCGGATTCGAGGCAGGATCTGGTCAAGGGTAGCACACTGTGGGAGATTTTCAATAACGACAGCGCGATAAACATTGCCAGCATCACGAGGCGGGACGTAGCGAAGTCCCCATTGGAAGAACATGTTGCTCTTCACACCCTCCGGACCTATGATGGTCCCGGGGCACCTGGCAGCGGCAACCTCGTCCTCCTTATTGTCGAACACAGTCGACCCATTGATGGCCCAATCGATCCAGTCCTGCGGGTTGGCTAGTTGGAGACGGATCTCATCGGGCGAAACGATCTTTTCACTGAGACCTGGGATCAATTCAGGGGTAATGTCCCGGCTGGCAGAATCAGAGCCCAGGTAGATCGGAGAACCCTGGCAATCAATCAGTCTGAAGACTTGCGGAGCACGTCTGCTACCACCGTTGCGGCCAAGGCCACGGCCACGGGCACCGCGAGAACGGGAACTGGCAAGTACCTCACGGATGATGAGCTCAGGAGCATGGATGCTGTAACATGTCAGAACATTCATCCCTCAGCAAGCAGACAAACATACCTGCGGGGAAGCAGGGTTGGGTGCTCGAATTCTGGAGATCCGTCCAGCAAATTGGCCTTGGACAGACCAATCAGCCTGGACTTGGACATGGGCTCCAGAGAAGTCATCACGGATGCCATGTCCATCTTGGACTTGGACTTGATAGGAAGTGACGAAAGAGGCAAGGGGGAGGTCGAACGGGACGAAAAGTAAATGAAGAAGGCGATGAGAAGGAGCAGGGCGATCAAAATTCCAATACTCGGAATTGGCAGAATATCCGGGGAAAGCGTAGTGCTCTCGATGTAGGTGGTGTACCCCATCTTTGCAAGGTCGGCTTCTAAGCGATAAATACTACTGGGATGAGATATGGACTTGTCTCTCACTTGGTTGCGGGTGGCACAGCATGGAAGTGAGGCCCGTTTGAATCTTGATTTGACAAAAGCAGTAAGCAGTGAGCAGTGAGGATGCAGCTGCAGCTGAGAATATATGAAGACGAAGAAAGATGAAGCTATTGAAGTTATGACCGTGATTATGATCATGATCGGGAATGATGCTGGTGATATCTTTGTTTATCCCAGAAATTCACCTCCTGCGAGTGCAATCCATGGGAGATTGTCATCCCAGCAATGTTGCATCAATTGGCGAGCATTTTGAATCTGTGTGACAAAGTTAACGAAGCTCGGCAAAGAACAAACAAAAAGATTAACTAACCTGCTTCAGCCCCGACTTCTCGAGCACAAAGAATCGGTTCAACAGCTTGCCGCGCTGCGAGGGATCTCGGGATTCACACCCCGCAGTGAATAGCGGGAACAGAGCACAAACCTCGGTGGATGCTCCAAGGCGCATACGTTCCAAGGCCCCGATAAGCTTACGAAGAGCCTCTTTCACAGGGAAGGAATCAGGCGATGATCCCAGCACTCTCCGATGCAGGTGCAGCAGGCCCGCACACCGGAAGGCCTCTTCAATGGCCATCATATCTCCGCTTTCACCAAGATGGTGGTCTGCGTCTGCATGGGCACGGTCACCCAGGCCGTCCATATCACCAAGCACTGCCTGGGCTTCCATCACCACATCTGCGGACGGATGCCACCCGTGCCGGAAGTTGCCCATCTCGTCAAACCGCTGATTATCGCATTCTTGTACCAATCGAGCAAGGCGGATGAGGAAGAATCCAGTCCGCGGAGTGCATCCCGAAAAACAATCGACACAGAACTCATCGTGGTCATTGGGACCACAACAGGCCGCCAATACAGTATGGTACAACGTCAACGGAGGACCTGCTTCACGACAGGACAGGGCCCCCATGGTGTCGATATACCCCAGCCAGCGGGCAAAGAACGCACCAACTCGATTACCCGGTCGTGCAATGCGCTCACTTCGGGCAAGGAACAAATCTCGCGCAAGCTTCAGATGACTTTGCCACGTAATGGGAACCTCGAACGTCCCAGGTGAGACAATTTTGAGCGACAACAGCAAAATCGAGGTTGCTAGATGGCTGTCGGTGATCTCATCATGAGAAGACTCCAATGCAACTCGCAAAGTCGGGAACACATCGCTAACAAAGTGCGCGATACGGTTGGCTGGCTCTGGATGGCCCAGATAACGAGCACGATGACTCGCAGAGTATGCCAAAAGCAGGTTCAAGAGGTTAGGATCGCCAATGGCCACTGATCGGTTAGTATCGCGAAGAAAGGGTTGAAAATGAGACGACGTAGACACTTACTCGCCGGCAGAACAGAAATGAACGGATTGTTATCACAATCATGCGGGACCAGCATTCGAGAAGTGTGGTTGAGGAAATGATGGAAATACATCAGGTTGATCGGGTTCTCCAACAAGGTCTTCGGAAGCGGAGACAAATATCTCGGAATGTTGATGGCCACTGGGGTGGCATAGTAACCGCTGTAATCAGGTTGCAATATGTCGGATGCCGCCCGAGCCACAGGCGAGGATGCAGTATCCTCACTTCGGCCCCGCGAGCCGATCATATCCAAAGCAGCATTGATGTCGATGGCAGCGTGGTCATTGTTGAAAGCCAGGTCTCGGTCCGGGCGCCCACAATCCAGGCCATAATTGTCATTAACACTGGTCAGATATGCCTGCCACTTGCTTTGAGCCAAGTTCGCATCCTTGGTCGCCCGGTCATCCTCCTTGGCATCGGGTGACATCACGTCTGAATGATGAAACGAATGAAGCGACTCGGTTCTATTTGCAGGCGTTGAACCGAACATCATTCCATTATGGCCGGAAGATGTTGTCCCGGGAGTTCCTACTTCGTGAGAATGAAGCATCAACGCAGCGATACCACCGGCACTTCGCAGGTCGTGGTGATGTCCATTGGAATGGGTCGAATTCATGGAATACCCCATTCCATGCTCATTGTGCGGAGACAATTGAGCTTCATTGTGGTGTTCATGGAGTGATGAATCAGACAAATCATTAGAATCATCTACCGAGTTGCGCAGAAAGGACACCGGCTGCGCCACCGGGTTGGAGTGAAATGCAAATGCAGAAAGAGACCGAAGGCCTACGCCTTGATCAGCAGCCGCTGAGAAGGACCCATGGAAACCCTGAGCGAATGGAAACTGACCAGGCGAGACTGAACTGGACAGGGATGAGTGCTCGGCCCAAGTGGTAGCAAAATGGCCTTCAGCTTGGGTCGGCGAATGGACCCCGTCGGACGTCGAGTGGGGCTTCGGGGACTCGAAGATACCGCGTGCCGGAGTGCTGGGTGAGATGGCGCCTGGAGAGCCAAGATCGCCAGCGCGAACATGTATGAAGCCATCAGAAGGAGCACTGGTCATTGGCGCAGGCATTTGTGCCAGGTTGGCACTAGTAGGTGGGACATCAAAGCCTATCAACGTGCCCCCATATCCACTGGATTGGGAGCTGGGGGAGTCGACGGACGAACGTTTCGTCCTGCCACCCCAATTCAGACGCACGCTATAATCGCAAACCTCTCCCTGCCGTTGACAGTTGAGACACATCGGTTTCTCCTCGCCACTGCACGATTAATGATTAGCCACCCGGACAGCTGTTTAGCGGGGAAGCTTCGTGCTTACCATTTAACTTTGCGAGCTTTGCAGGGCCTAGCCGTGGGTTAACAAGCATCAGTCTAACGTCACTCGGGTGGACTTACCAGCATCCTTTTCGGCTTCGACGCTTGGGCTCCGGCGCGCCGGGTCTTCGCGGGCGAGGCATGGCACCTCAGACCCGAGGCCTCGGAGGCAAAAAGGATAAAATAGGCTCGAACTTGCCCTAAGTTCCAACCAGTCTATCTGTCATGCAGTATTACTCAATATCACCCAGTGAACTGCAACTCACGGACCACAACTGCAATTGTTTCGCTTCCTGCGTTTGCAGTTTTGTTGTCCCCAAGTGGCAATAAAACGATAATCGACAAGACACCCACACCTGGTAGACAAGCACATCGAGGTGTGGGAGGGAGATGTGCCAGAAACAAACGGGGTTGGCTGCAAGGACAGCAAAATGAGCGTTCTACTGCAGATGCAGTAAATGAACACTGATAGGGTTACGATCAATGACGATCTTGCACAAGTGAACTAGGCTAGTTGGGTCCACTCAATTCAGGGTTGTTATTCACCACAAGGATCACGCAAGAGATGGAAAAAGGAGCTCGAGGCAGAAAAGATTCACAAATCTGGAGCAGCGTGTTAAAGTGTGGGGAAAGCGATAAGGGACAGCTGACTCAGTCGGATGTCGGGAAAACCCGCGGTCCGAGGCGGCATACCGCGGTATCCCGGTCACGTCACGTGGCCTGCGTCATCGGAGGTGCTCGGGTTCCTGGATTTAGATCCTGGTTGATTATTAGTCCTTCCTGCAATTTCATCAGCCATGGCCCAAAAACTGACTTTACAGCATCCACTGCAGCGTTTGCCGAGTCCATCACGGGGCTTCTCTGCTCTCGTTCATGTATGTCCCCTAATCAGACGGTCCATGGATTTGGGCCTGGGTCGACCGCGTGGCCAGGTTCCATGGCTAACATGCTCAGGCAACTGGTCTTGCCAGCTTTCTATGGTCTTTCAAATGGTAAGTCTTATACGTGGGGAACCAAGGACAACTTCACTGACCGATCTTTAAAGGATGCACGACAATCCTAACCAGGCGTACGTAGCTCGGAACGTCTCTAAAAACGTTTCATATGCTGATCTACTCTAGTAATGAGGCCTATGGCTGGCACTTTCAGTATTTGACCGTCATAGGGCTGGGTCTCTCCACTTTGACCTTTGCTTGTGGCCTGCTAGCTGACCTCACTCTGTCTCGACGGCTATTTTTGGCCAAGAACATATTGTCTGTGTGCAGTTGCCCCATGGAAGTTTTGATCAGTGTTCTGTACTGGGGCCTTCACCTGGTGAGTATCACAGTCCTATCTGGATGCTCCACTTCGCTCCATAAAATTTGATCTAACAAAGACATCTAGATTGACAAAAACCTGGTCGTCCCTCCGGAGATCTTCATCCCGATTCATGCTGGTTCGTCTCCAACCCTTTTCAATACGATGCATCTAAATTGGCCCTTTACTTATCCAAGAAAACAGACATCAGCTTCCATGCAATTCCTTCGATTGTCATGCTGGTGGACTTGCTTCTGCTATCCCCGCCTTGGACTATCACCGCCCTTCCTTCTCTGGGGTTGTCCGGCGCCATCGCCTTTGGCTATTGGTTCTGGGTGGAGAAGTGCTTCAGCTACAATGGCTGGTAAGTACTGAATATCTATTCTGTGGAAAAATTTGCTGATCCAGCTTAGGTACCCGTATCCTATCTTTGAATTGCTGCCCACTCCTGGTCGCATCGGCTTGTTCTCGATGAGTGCCATCGTCATGGCACTTAGCACTGCCACTTTGAAATGTGTGTATGGACGGATTAATGGCTTTGGGACCCTTGTTCCTGCCCAGTCTCGATCCGGTGATATCAAAAAGGAGGACGGACTTTAATTAGCCATTATACTGGAGCTTGGGAGATGGATGAAAGTAGTAGCATTGCATCAAGTTGCTCGCGGTCTCTCTTAGAAGTAGAACTAGCAAGGGAATACAACATTTAGATTCAGGAAATATTTGTACTTACCAACAACGTCTGACTATTTATCTATCCGACTTTGAAAGCAATTGAGGCATCATTAAGAATCTCACTGAGCCAAAAAGAAAGACCCCCCCTTAAAAAAAAGGGAAGACCGGTGACCGAACCGGCAACCTTGAGAAATTCAGGTATCATTGAAGTGAACTTCAGTCGCGCGCTCTCCTAGAAGGGAGGTTCCACAAGAGGAAGGTGAAGTGGTCAATCTTTGTCATCATCGGAGAATCAATTAGGTAAGCCCAAATTGGTCGTGGCCATGATATGCCTCTGGAACCAATATCGGCCTTGTGACTTGGGTAACCCCCTAATGTCAGTCCTGTTCCAGGCTTTACCAGGGATTTAAAGGATCCAAATTAGGGGTTTAAAACTATGTACTTTTTTTCTTGGCGTACCTGATCGGCATTTATGGATAGATCATGGTGGGGTGAGTTCGGTTGCGTGAAACTAGCCAATCGCCGGAAATAGCGATAAGTTCGGCGTTGTCGTCTTAGTGTATTCTATTTTCATAGCATCCCGCGTTAGAGTCAACTGGGGCCGACGACGCCAAACAAGACCCGGGTAACAATAATCAAGAAGATCGAAGTGATAGGCGCCTTAACGGCGGATCGTCGGTGGAGCCGTTTGGGGTTGATGACCCTTGCATTGGAAACGTGGAAGTGTCAATCATTTCCCGGGAATTTAAGGAAGATGCAAGCGGAGAATGAACCATCTAGCGCGCTATGGATTAATAAAAAAAGAGGCACCGAATGCAGGAAATCGGGCTAGTCGCGAGCCCCGGCTGCTTTCGGCCCAGACCCTTTTTTGCCCTTTTCCCTTTCCCTTTCCCCTCTTTTTCTTCACTTGCGATATGGGCTGCGTCTAATCCCAGCCGATCCAATTTGTGACCATGATTTTCTCGGCCTTGCTGCTCCTGTCTGTCGTTTCAACCGCGTTGGCTGTTGACAAGAACTTAATCCCCACGTCCGCTTCCTCTACCTTCCCGTCATGCGGTCTTTCATGCTCCGAGCTCTACGCCGCTCAGGATAGCTGTACCGCCAATTCAGACTCTTCCACCTGGGTCTCCTGCTTCTGCCAGTCCTCATTCGTTTCGAATCTGAAAACATCGGGCGCCGTCTGCTCTAACTGCGACACCTCTGATCAAGCCCTGGTCTCTACGTGGTATAGCAACTACTGCAGCTCGGGAGGAACCACCACCACCAGCACCACCTCTTCGTCCACCTCCACTGCTACTGCGGCCTCCAGCACGTCAAAGTCGTCTACACCTGCTACCAATGAGAATAAATCCTGGTGAGTTGGGTCGCGAAAAATTTCCATTTCGTGACAGATGCTAATCTATGGTTCCGTTCCGCACAGGTGGAGCACCCATTACCAATGGGTGATTATGCTGATCGTCCTCGCTATCGGATTTAGCGTCATCGCTGCGTTTGGAGTCTGGCTCAAGCGCCGCTACGACGCCAAGCGACCTGGTTTATACCATGGCGGTACTGCAGAGGCCAGCAGCAGCGGCGCCCTCGGCGGCGGAAACTCGGGTGTCCTTAGCCCTGTGCCTGTGGGAGGCTATGCCTCTCCGGCACCGAACAAGTCGCGCAACTTCGGCGAAGACTCGGTTGCCAGCAGTTCACGTACTGATATTGCACCCAAAGGTGCCCTTGTACCGGGGAGTCGGACGCGGTTGCAAAAGACGGGTCAGACTCCGGCTGCAGATGTGGAAATTCGGCAGGTTTCACGTCAGTGATTCTTGATCTATTGCCTTGGAGGGGGAAAAATCGCGTGCTATTTTTCAGGGGCATGTGAACCGGTATCTGTGACAATGGCTACTTTCTCGTCGTCTCACTTGCATTTTTTGGAGTTGTCTATGTGGATATATTGGTGAACGGATCTGCTTCTATTTTTGATTTACAAGGCCGGACTGGAGCCATATATTGTTTGATTTCAAGGCGCTGGCTGCTATTTACTGGGTATTGCATGACCAGTGTTGCTTTCCGCTTTCCGCTTTTTACTTTCTACTTTCTAATTACAATATCTACAGTACGCCTGGATGGTCCTGACAAGTCAGCAGTAATTTGCACAGGGCTCGATTCCCTGCAATTGAAAGTTCAATGCGCCCGTGATCTCGTAAATATTTACAGTAGACCTCCACTTTCTAGGAAATGCTGATGCTGACAATCTTCACGTCCACCTCCGGCTTCTCTTTGTGGGTCTTGACATTTTCAATCTTATGCACCACGTCCAGTCCCTGCACGGCACGTCCGAAGACCGTGTGCTTGTTGTCAAGCCAGGGAGTCTTCTCCGTAGTGATAAAGAACTGACTGCCGTTGGTGTTAGGGCCTGCGTTGGCCATAGACAGTGTGTAGGCTTTATCGTGTCGCAGACTGGAAAACTCATCGGCAAACTCGCCGCCCCAGATCGACTCGCCACCAGTACCGTCACCCTGAGGGTCACCGCCTTGGATCATGAATTTGCGGATGACCCGGTGGAAGATGGTGTTGTTATAGTATCCTCGTCGTGCGTGCGTCACGAAATTCTCTACCGTCCGCGGGGCCGCAGATGGGTACAGTCGTAGATGGATATCACCCAGCGTGGTGTGCAGAACTGCGGCTGTTCCAGTTTCTGCAGCCTTGGTGGGCCCCGTAGCGGAGTCCCCAGCAGCCTGTGTCGGCTTCTCGTTCTGGACATCACGACTCGACTTGGAGACTTCCGTCTCGTTGGTGAACATGTAGAAGCGCACCTTGGCAAACCCAGTGCTTAGTAGAATCGGGTCGCGTTCTTCAGCCTCCTGCAACAGCGGATTGCTACTTGCAGCCATTGACACCGTCACCACGCCCTTTTTCAGCGGCGCTCCCTGGTAGAGAGCCAAGTTCAATGCGCGGAAGGGTTCGTCACGACCGTAGACCCGGACCACGCGGTTAGTATAAGTGTTGATGCACTTTATTCCATACAGTGATCCGTAAAGGAGGAAGTAACCCGACTCGTCGAAGGAGACATTGACCTTGTTACGGGTCGACTCTCCTTCCAGCTCTCGTTCAACGCCCAATCGTCGTCCGAATTCTACCTCGTCCAGCTGATACGGTGCTGTACCAGCCTGTTGCATTTCGGTGATGGTCGCTATTGACTCATCATAGGTTCGGTAAAGCTTGCCTGTGGCAAATTCGAAGACGCGCACCTGGCGGTCAGGGAATGACATGGTCGCGAAGTGTTCACCGGAGGGTGAGATGGTGATCATGGTAGGAACGGACTTAGCCTTCTTGAATGCAAACAAGTTGGTCGATGACTTCAATTCAAACACGTTGTCTGGTTTCTCAAATGAGCCGTCTCCGGCTCGCCAGTATTCGACCATGCCCGACTCATCTGCTGAGATTACGCAATCAAATGCATTGTTGAAGGCCAATGACACCACGGGAGCGCGGTGAACGGTCTTGACCGTGTGTAGGGGTTGGGGATTTTCACCCCGTCCATCAAAGACTTGAATGATATTGCTTGATTCGTCCGTTACGGCGAGCAATGGCAGAGAAGCGCCTCGACGATGCACCCAGCAGACACATCGAGGTATAAAGTCGAGTGTATACATGGCCAGAAGATCTGCTCCTCATTAGCAAGGCGACCAACAGCATCGGACTAAGAAACTAACCAAATGTGATCACATCGAAGATCTTGACCGTTTTGTCGGTTCCCGCAGTCGCAAAACTGCGCCCATCGGCACTGACATTCGTACTGCGAATCTCGCCAGGGTGGGCTCGAAACTCCTTCACGAATTCGATGCCTTCGGCCATCTTCTTCCAAAATTTGACAAAGCCGTCGACGGAGCTAGTGATGACAAAGTCGGTGACCGGAGTGACGGTCACGAACGACAATTGCTCCTTGTGCATGAGGGACTTGGAGTACCGTGGGGAAGCGGGCAGGGCGTTGACGTAGACCTTTTCGAAGGGGAGCTTTCTGCGCTTCTTCTTTGGCGCCACTTCGGTGGGCAGAGCAGGACCGAAGTCATCGTCGGAGGAATCATCGTCACCTATACAGCTTCGTGATTAGCAGTCTGGCGCAAAGAGGCGGAGCTCCGGGCGGAGCGCAACTCACCGTTCTCGTCGCCATTGATAGCAGAGTGAGGGCGCTTAGTCGCTGCAGAAGCAGCGAGCTCTTCGGAATCAGCCATTCTGGAATTGAGTAGTAAAGAAACCAAAAAGAAGAAGGGGGAAAGTTCAGGAACGTCGAGAAGGCGGGCGGTGATGAGCGCACCCAACCAGAAGCTCGGGCCACGCAACTTTTCTCCTTTCCCTCGTTTCCCCCACTGTTGACCGAAGTTGCTCATCTTTCCAGCTACCTTTTTCAACGAACAGTTCCTGTGTTCGTTATAGCTGGTCAACATGGTCTGTTACTCATTGCCCTTCCCTTTCCCTTGTCTCCCAACTGACATCTTTTTTCGTGCAGGCGTCGTTCGGCAATCCCACACAGATCTTTGGTGAAGATGTCATTGAGGAGAAGGGCGAGAACGCCCGTCTATCTGCCTTTGTGGGCGCCATCGCTGTTGGCGACCTCGTGAAAAGCACACTGGGCCCCAAGGGAATGGACAAGATTTTGCAGTCTGCGTACGTGGAGGGGTTCTTATCTGACTACCGCGGGGAGAAACATATACTGACATGCGTGGTGGGATAGGTCAACCGGAGAGATCCTCGTGACAAATGACGGTGCTACGATTTTGAAATCCATTGCTCTCGATAACGCCGCGGCTAAGGTGCTGGTGAACATTTCCAAGGTTCAGGACGATGAGGTTGGTGATGGCACAACATCCGTCACTGTGTTGGCCGCCGAGCTTCTGCGCGAGGCCGAGAAGTTGGTCAACGCCAAGATACACCCCCAGACTATCATCGAGGGTTATCGGATAGCCAGCCGTGCTGCTCTTGCCGCTCTTAAAACCGTGGCCATCGACCGAAGCCAGGACCCCGAGGCCTTCCGTAAGGACCTGCACGCTATCGCCCGTACCACACTCAGCTCCAAGGTTCTCGCCCAAGACCGTGAACACTTCGCCCGCTTGGCCTGCGAGGCCGTACTCCGTCTCAAGGGATCGACCGATCTCAGCCACATCCAGATCATCAAGAAGGCCGGTGGCAAGTTGAACGACTCGTACCTGGATGAGGGTTTCATCCTGGACAAGAAGATTGGTGTCAACCAGCCCAAGCGTTTGGAGAATGCCAAGATTCTGGTGGCCAACACCGCCATGGATACTGACAAGGTCAAGATCTTCGGTGCTCGCGTCAAGGTCGAGTCAACCGGCAAACTGGCCGAGCTGGAGAAGGCCGAGCGCGAGAAGATGCGCCAAAAGGTGGAGCGCATCAAGTCTCACGGCATCAACTGCTTCGTCAACCGTCAGCTTATCTACAACTGGCCCGAGCAGCTGTTCACCGACGCCGGTATTATGTCCATCGAGCACGCCGACTTCGACGGCATCGAGCGTCTGGCCCTGGTGACTGGTGGTGAGATTGCCTCTACCTTTGACCACCCCGACCAGGTCAAGCTAGGCTCCTGTGACCTCATTGAGGAAGTGATCATCGGCGAGGACACTCTGATCAAATTCTCCGGCGTCTCCGCCGGCCAGGCCTGCACCATTGTGCTGCGTGGTGCCACCGAGCAGCTGCTCGATGAGGCAGAGCGCTCGCTGCACGACGCTCTGGCTGTGCTGTCGCAGACCGTCAAAGAGCCTATGGTTACCCTGGGCGGTGGCTGTGCCGAGATGGTGATGGCCAAGGCGGTGGAGCAGGCGGCCCAGAACACTACTGGCAAGAAGCAGCTTGCGGTGGACTCCTTTGCTCACGCCCTGAAGCAGCTCCCTACTATCCTGGCGGACAACGCCGGTTTGGACTCGAGCGATCTGGTGACTCGTCTGCGCCAAGCGATCAACAACGGACTGACCAACTCGGGTCTGGACCTGTTGACCCCCGGTGGCGGCATTGCGGACATGCGTGAGTTGGGTGTTCTGGAGGCTTACAAGCTGAAGAATGCAGTGGTGTCTTCGGCTTCCGAGGCCGCTGAGGTATGTGAATTTGCATTCCATTTAACGTTCATGGGTACTAACGAATCTAGCTTCTTCTCCGAGTGGACAACATCATTCGGGCAGCTCCTCGCCGACGTGACCGGATGTGAAACGAATGATACGCTAGTGACCATGTACCTATTCCCAGGAAACCCAAAAGAACAGTCTATAGACAATTTTGCCTTGCAGCCGTGGTGCCTCGACACCTTGTGGCCCCTAGAGAGAGTAGTTTGTTGCCTTGTTGCCTTAGTGCCTTAATTTCTGGACCCCGATCTCCTTTGTCAGCACCCAGGACCCTGGACCCTGCGGACCCTGAGCGTTGATTCCAGAACAAAGATCGAGCTGAGAGAGCGAGCATGTCTCATCGTAATGTCAGCTTGGCCGAATACCATACCATGTAAAATTTCATTCGAAATGTCTTGGCTCAGGCAGCAGAATAAGCGCCGAGTAGACCGGACAGAATAATAGGCATTTCGGCAGTGGATTGACGATCCTGCGGGTCAGCGGTGTCAACCGAGCTGGGGAGACGATCAAGATCTAGGTAATCGACAATCGTCAATCCACCATCGACCATCGACCATCTGAGAACTTCAGGAATAATGAAGTCGGGTGAAATAAGCTAGAACCCCCCAAGCGAGGGATGCCAAGGATGTCTCAAGATAGCGCAGGTTCCGCTCACTGCCGTCAGGGACAAAGTCACCCCGTCATCGAGG